AGCAAACACTAGTTCTTTGGCTAGAGACTTAAACACCTGAATCTCATTAATAACATTTTCCTAAATTTTACTACTTTACCTTAGATGATTAACCTTGTAACCATTTGCTGACTCTTACTGGCTTCAATTTTTAAATCTAGCTTCATATTTTTATTCTTTGGTCTTGTGTTTTGCATTTTTCAAGCTGTGTATATTTTCCTCTGAACCTCGTTTATCACATCTCAAACACGTTGACATGTTTCTTACTGAATCATTTGAAAAATAATACATGTTTTTCTTTTGGTTAAAAGACTGCTATTAGATAACAGGGAGTTTCATTCTGCTTAGTGGATGATTTGGGGTCTTATCCTTACAGCAAATTTATAGTTAGCATTTTATTAGGATGTATTTGCTTTAAAAAAAAAAAACCTAATTTGAAAAATGATCAAATATCTGGTTCAAATGTGAATTTTTTTTAATGGTTATTTATATAGTGAATTTAAATTCTATATACATTTGAACAGACTGTATATGTGTTCTCAATATTTTTAGAATAGAGACATTTGTGTATTTTGTGTAAATTTGAATCAAGCTTGATCATTGTCACTGAATATTTCATGTCTATTTAGCCTCTTCTGAGAGCTCTGTGAAAGTCGAATAATTTATCCATGAATTTATACAGGATGGCATAGAAGTTTGTTAGATACATAATCTTTAATGGCTGGTTGGTCTGTAGGAATTTACACTGTGACGTAAGACTTATTTTTAGTGTGAACTTTATCTTTGCTGTTTTTGCTGCTTTGTTGTCAGATCCTATTTTCTTTGCAACCAGCATTATACCCGCTTGCTTGTTAATAGTTTTGTTTCTCTTCCTCTATCCCAGCTCTTTATTTTTGAGTTTGCTATGCCACTATGCCCCAAGCTCACTCTCTCACACACACGCACGCTTAGCTTATAATTTGTTTGATTTTTAATATGTACACATGTATACATGGAATATATTTGCATGTATATGTGTAAGGTGTGTGCCCATATTTGCGCATTTTGAAAGGTGCTATTGAACTATTTTGTGTTATTGTCTATGGACTTGACTATTCACTCAGCAAATGTTAAAAGTTTAGTTTTAAATACTTTTTGTAGACTTTGGGAAGATACTGCTGTTTTTTTGCTTTTGTATTCAGTGTTGCTAATATAAGCAACACTTCACCTTTCCTTGTAAATGATGTTTTTTTGGTGGAGGGGGAAGGCTCCTAGGAGTTTCCCTTAATCCTTATAATATAAAAAAATACCCCCGTGTTGCTAGGTGTGAGACACATTGAAGTGAATCTGGTGTTTTCTGTCTTGGAGGAAATGTGACACACTAACAAGGTGCTTTGTGGGGTGCAGCTTTTAGTGGAGTTGAGGTTGAGGCTCTGTCTTCCCCCCCTTATCTGTTAAGTGGAGATTATGCTCAGCAGGTACCAACTCTTATTAGATAGTTTCATCTAGAATAAATTTTCTGATTGTAGTCCTATTTAACTCCTTCTGATACTCTTGTAAAACACACAAGAGACCTTTTAGGACAGTTTCTCATTTCGTTTCATTTTGCTATTTTCTCTTCCTACTTTTGCTATTTATAGCTGCATTCTGGAGGAATCCCAGCTGATTGAAAGGAGAAAAGTTAGGTAAAAGATTTGATACAGTTTGGTGTGTGAAAAAACTAAATATATTTGAAGTTTCTTAGAGCATTTAGCATACCAGCCATAGTTGATACGGGATAAATACTTGATAATTAATGAGTGGCCTTTGAAATAAGTAAAACTTTTTGTTACTGTTTCATAACTCATCTTTAACCTTAATCCTCTGAAATTTTGTTATTCTGTTTATTTTGTGTTATAGATTTGAAATATCCTTTCTTTTGTCTAGTGAACTGTTGGCATCCGGAGTGTATTCTTTTTTCTTTTTTTAAGATTTATTTATACAAGCACTGGGTACAGACAGAAGCGCAGGAGGGTGAGAGGATTCACCAGAGCCAGAGCGGGGAACAGAACAGGCAGACTGACAAAATACACTGCTGAGGGGAGCAGCGGGTGGCAGGAGAGGTCTGTCGTGCCATGTGGGACCCTTGCCGGTGGCCGGGGAACAAACCGGCGCTGCAGAGGCTGCGGGCAGCTTCGCAGCCCAGCGTTCAACCGCTGCGCCACCAGGGGAGGCCCCGGAGTATGTTCTTGAACTAATGTCAAAAGATACTGTAACACTTTCCTTTTTTTCTCCTCTTTTTTGAACGATTAAAGAATGTAGAAATACAAACAATATGCTCTCTAGGAGTTTGGGATGTTGATTCCAATAAATTGATTAGCCCTATTTGCCTTACCTTCATCTCCCCAAATATTAGCTTTCTTATTGTTAGCTGATTTATATTTGTTTGACTTTGAATATGTGGTAGGTGATGAGAGTTAGAGAAGTTGTTAGAGAAGTTCTTTCTGGAAATTTTTGTTTTTAAAGATTATTTATGCATACAAGAGCTGGGGTACAGGCCAGAGATGCGGGGGGCGGGGTGAGAGAATTTGCCAGAGACAGAGTGGGGAGCAGAACAGGCAGACTGACCGAAGTACATTGCTTAAGGGGAGCAGTGGGCGAGACAGGAGAGGTCTGCTGCACCATGTGGGTTTGGATGGCTGGGGATGGAACTTGTGCTGCGGAGGCTGCAGATTGCCTCATAGTGCGGTGCTTAACACCTTGCGCCACCAGGGAGGCTCTGTGAAAAACTTTTTTCTACAAATTTTCTACTAGTGCTGTTTATTTGTTTCAAAATGATAGGGTAGTCTCTAGGTCTTTGCCAAACACCTCGTTGGCAATGTCACGAGCACAGATGGTCTGGGGGATCATTTCAACCTGCTGGCACTTTCTTTTCCTTCCTTCACCCCTGTGTCTTCTGTGTCATTGTGAGTTAGTACTTGGGTTCGTCCCAAAAGCACTCACAGAGGTTTTGCTAATGTCAGGTCAGTTACTACTGCAAATGTGATGAAGAGAACACGTTGATGTTTCTAAAATGATAAGGACAGTGGGGAAGGGTCAGCTTAAATTATTTTTCTTTATTATACACTTAAATATGTCAGTGTAGTTCATTTGCCAAAATTCTTAACACAAAAGACTTGTCCAACTTGCCATATGCTATAAAAATAATGGAGGAACTTGATTTTTTTTTTTTTTAATTTTATTTATTTATACCAGCACTGGGTACAGTCAGAAGTGCGGGAGGGTGAGAGAATTCACCAGAGCCAGAGAGGGGAACAGAACAGGCAGACTGACAAAGAAATACACTGCTGAGGGGAGCAGCGGGCGAGACAGGAGAGGTCTGCACGCCATGTGGGACCCTCGCCGGCGGCCGGGGATCGAACCGGTGCTGCAGAGGCTGCGGACAGCTTCACAGCCCAGCGCTCAACCACTGCGCTACCAGGGGAGGCCCTAGAGGAACTTGATTTTAACAATAATACATATAAAATAATTATTTCATATTTAATAAGTTAATGTAAAAATTTTCCAGCAGTTGGTTGGACACATATATTCGCTGTCCTCCCCAACATTGTCTCGCCTGCCTGTGCCGTGCACACATACTGTTAATTCTGGTTCTGTTATGAACTAGCTGTTTCGATTCCTTGGGAGGTCATGGCATAAAAATATGTTCACTTAGGGAAAAGCTGGTTATTCTCCTCTAGCAATGAAGAGAATGTAAGACTTTATATCTTTTTCTTGGTCTTTCCAATGCAATAGCGCTTTAAATAAAAAAAAAAAAAACAAAAAGAATGCATATTAGTATGTGAATTTGTGGCCATTATATAAAACTAAAATGCTGCTAATCACACTTGGATTGCTGAGACGTGACGGTGTGGCGGCGCTGAGGAGGAGCTCGTGCCCATGGTACCATGTAGGCTTACAAGGAAAACGTTGAAATTAATAACGTTTGTAAAATGAGGGTGTTCTCTGGCTTACTGGCAGGGCCAGAACCAGCGAACCCCATGACAGGAGCCTCGGTTTTCCCAGATTGTCCATGTGACGTCAGTTGTTGCGCCAGGGTTGTTCTCAAGCTGCATGAGCAGGTCAGCGACCCACCTGGCACTGAGAACCCCGTTTTCCAGGGTCTTTCTGTGACACAGATGGGAAGACAGCACGACCCATCTCCTCTGCTCACAGGTCTCGGCTTCTGGTAGAGTGTGACGCTGCCTTGTGAGCCGGCCAGGCCTCCCCTGGGGCTGCTGTGCCGCAGGCCACCTGCTGAGGCTCCCCAGAGACAGCGACACCCCAGTGGGCTCAGCAGAGCAGGGAAGAGCAGGGTCACCCTCCTGAGGAGGGCCCGGTGAGGAAACACAGCTTGTGGTGGCTCCTCTGCCTTCTGCCCTCCCGGCCGCCTCGGCTGGTTCTCGTGGCTTTGTGGGGCTTCGTGCTCCGCTCTCACCTCCCCGTGGGGCTGGAGGGGCAGGCCGGGGCAGGGCGTGGGCAGGACAGCCGGGACCATGCTTGCCTGTGAGTTCCTAGCCCAGATGATGCTGGGGAGGGCATGGCTGTGGTGAGGTGTGTGCCCGTCCCTCCAGCAACTTGCCTGCCTTTTGTCCGCTTGGTCTGTGACTGACGAGTTTACGTCACAGTGGCTTTTCAGCAGGTGGAGAGGGAGAGGTTTTATAAATGCTGTGCATTTGTCTGACCTCTGGACTGTGGAACTTAAATATCATCAGAGTAACCCTTCAGGAGAAAGGTGCTGCTAAGCCACACTACTAACAAAGATGTTCCACTGTACGGCTTTGACAAGGGTACTAGAAAGAAAAAGCCCCATGAAGCTGACGTTCTAGCCGGCAGCAATGCCTCGGAACAGTGTCGAGCATTGAACTGAGAGATCTTTGGGTTCTCTGGCTTTCTGTCCCTTAACCCACGCCCTGCAGAGCTGGCTCGTCCCTGCAGCAGTGCTCACGTGAACCTCCCCAGCCCCACGTTGAGTGTCTGTTGAGTCAAGTTTCCTAAAGATCCGTCTCTCCTTTGCCCTACAGCGCTGTGCATTTTGTAAGCACCTTGGAGCCACTATCCGATGCTGTGAAGACAAGTGTGCCCGGGCCTACCACTACCCGTGCGCCGCGGGGGCCGGCACTTTCCAGGACGCCAGGCGCTGCTTTCTGCTCTGCCCCGAGCACATCGACCAGGCCCCCGACAGGTGTAAGTGCTCGCGCGGATGCCTTGCGTTTTGTTCTGCCCTACTGGAAGGTGATGGCACCCCTCCTTGATAACACCAGGGGTCCCCTGCCGGGGCTGGGGGCTGGTATCAGCTTGCCGCTGACGTTAAATCCGAAAACATCATTTCTTTAAAAATTCAAAGATAGTTTGTGTGCTGTGTTTTTGTTCTCACTTTAGAAACATTATCTAAGTAATGTGGAAAGACTCTGGGGCCACTGCTCACACACAGGTGTGTTCCAGACCCAGCCCACCGTGGGTGTCTGCTGGCGGGGACCCGACCCCCCAGGGAAGGCCCGTTTGCAGAGAAGGACCTTTGACGGGGCAGGAGGTCACACTGCCCGGAGCTGCAGGGCCAGTGCGCACAGCGCCCGAGTGTGCACGGTGGAGCCAGGCACTAGGAAGGGAAACCACCCAGTTGGAGAATTAGAAAGATGATCTGCTCAGGTGTTATTTCAGGATGTGTATTAATAGAAACTCCGGACACCTTTGAAATACTTGGAAATCGCATACCAGGCCCTGCTGCTCACGTGGCCATCTTGGGGCTGCTGCTCCGCTGCCCACCTTGGTTACCTGTAATCCTCGGTTTTCCTGTGCCACGCAGCATTTTGTAATTAAGTGAGAATGTTTAAATGATTGAATTTTATTTTATATGGAAAATTATAACTTCCCCTACTTTATCCTTTAACAGAGATTGTTTCTTTCTCTTAACTCTGCGTATCTCCAGTGAGCATGCCTGCTTGGGGTCTTCCCCTACTGGGAAACTGAATTTCCATTCTCATCGCGAAATCTCTGTGACATTTTATTCAATCTTTTTCATGTCACCTCTTAGTTTTCTAATTGTTAACTCTTACCTGTTTCTTAGCAATGTTGATAAAGGCTCTTTTCCTGCTCTGGGGAACATAAATATTGTTCCTTCAGCTGAAACTAACCTCAAGTGCTATTAGAGTTCCTAATCATTATTTTTATCTTTATCCAGTGTTATAATTTCATCTTCAGTTAAAATTATTTTATGTCTGTATGCTAAGCATACTGCCCCTAATCACGATACACACGTAAATTAAAGGAAAGCAAACTGAAATTTCAAATTGTATTTAGGCTAATATGAGATTTAAACCTTTATAAACAAGTGTTTTGGATTGTAGTCTATTAAACCCTGGTCATGCTATGAATTACTTCACTAAGTTCACAAAGTTGATTATATTCTGCTTGGTTTAATACGCTTTGCCAGTCAAATGAAAACATTGCTGGGTATGAAACAATCTGAAGTGTAGCAGCCTTTGTACTAAGTTCTGCCTTAGACATCAGTAAACATCTTGCAAACTTTTATGTAACTGTTTCTAATGTCAGAAATTTTATTATTTAATGTACTAAAAGTAGTACTTAATATTTTCTGCTGAAGACTGTTCTAGTAGTGTATATCTCATTTACATGTAAGAGGTCAGACATCACTTTGTAAAATAAGATAAGGGGCAGGAGGCGAGGTGGTCTGCTGCCAGGCGGGCGCAGGTGGGTGCTGGCAGCACAGGGCTGCAGGTTGCACTGAAGTTTCTGGTGCCGTGCGCTGCCCCTTGCAGATTAGGGTACTTGCACAGCGGGGATGGTACACCAGACATAAGGATGTTTGACTGTTGGAAAATCAGGGAGGCTAAATGTGAAGGTAATGGTGAGAACAGACGTCCAGCATAAGCACACACTTGTTAGAACTAAGCCACACATTTGGCTCCAGAGCATTCCAGCCATGGACACAAAGGAGGGAATCTGAGCAGTCACCTGGTTAGTGGTGAAATGCAAGAATTCACTGGATCCGGACACTGGATTGACACACAGTGCAGCAGTGGAAAAAACTACACGTAGCTGCCTTGCAGCATAGAAAAACAAGCCCTCAAAGTAAGCCAGCGGTATACAGTGAAAGCCCAGTTGAGTCCCTTTCCTCGAGGGTCCTAATCATCTAAGCACACAGCGTTCTGATGCTTATCCCAGGGCATAGGAATATAGCAGTGGGGTGTGTGACAGTAAATGTGAGTGTGCGAAGTCTCCATGAGGTCATGCACCCATCTCTACTTGTCCTAATTGTGTGCCAGAGCACCAAGTGCGTACCTGTGTTTTAAAAGTGAGAATAGCTTGACAGCATTATTATAGTGGTTTAATGATAGTAATTAATGAAAGTCATGTAGCGTTAGACCTTGTATGTATTAATTGCTTTACGAAAAGCTAGTTATTGTACCTCTTACCTAAGATTCAAGTCAAACATGGACCTCTTTCGAAAGAAGCCCAACAAAGACTGCATTTTGAACAAGGTGAAAATTTTCATAAGAAATAATTTTAGGGGTGTTCTGTCATAGGTCAATGGTGGTTAGGGCCCCAAAGTTATTTCCTCTATGGATGCAAGTGTACACCAGCCTCACCAGCCTCATCAGGAATTTAGCATCAAGTGTCTGTTCAGGAGCCAGAGCCAGATGGACTTGCTGAGCGGTTTTTGCCTCTCAGGGAAAGTGGAAGGGCATGGAGCCTGCCCGGCAAGATCAGACATTCCAGGCAGAATTCAGAGCTTTTGCCCAGGCTGTGGGGGTGTGCCAGGCATGGTCATGGACAGACAGCTGGTCACTGTGCCGGGCAGGTGCTGTCGACTAGGGGATGGCCAGGCCTGGCAAACAAGGGAAGGGGTTGGGATTTCATTCTGTGTGCAGTGAGGGGCTTCACAGGGTTGCAGCTGGAGGATGCTGTCAGCTCACTCCCGGCCCCAATCATCGATGGCATCCCTCAGCTTGTGCCCCTTCACCTCACCCGGGTGTGCAGCTCCAGCCTTGTTTCTCTCGTTTCAGTCTTACATGCTCTGTCTGTTTTTGCAATTCCCTCAACTAAGAATGTTTTTTGCCATTTTTAAAGGACTCTAAAAAAGTCTGTATGCCAGATTTCTGTGGTCTGTAGAGTCAGTTTGCCAATTCTATAGGAAATACAAGGGATAGATTATTACTGTTTAGACATATTTGATTGGAAAAAGGAAGTGGATAAAAGAGGGTTTATAGCCAGAGAGAACTGATGAGATGTGAGAGAGAGCTAGAGAGAGAAGACTTAAACACAATTTAAAACACTTTTAAGGTAATCCACCAGTCAGACCATTTAGATGAGAACATATGTGTCAGTTATAGTTACATATGTCATCAAATTGGTATAATTTTAGATTACATTATTTTCTTTATTATCTTGTGATATGCGTGAATTTAAACTGTGTACTTGACAAGGCAGTTTATATTTAACATTTATTTTTTGCTTTAGATGGTAAAAGGATTAAACAGTGCCATTTCTCCTAATCCACATTTAGGTATACATGATGTCCATAATTATGTAGATTTCAACGCTTCTACAACAGACAGGTCATATAGAGGAACATTGACTCGTGTCTGACGTACAGTATTTGTGTATAAGATGTCGTGTTCACCTTTAATGTTCTCCTTCCTATTTCCCAGTATTAGAAAACTTTATATGATTTGAATAAAAATTAGTCTGCTTGTGCACATTTTAATCTAACTGATGTTAACATTTCTTAATTTTTGTCTCTGATTTTGTTCATTTCACAATATATTTAACATCCAAATAAAATGTTTGTTTTGTACTGCATAGTGTTTCTCACTTGGTATTTTCCTGGTTGGTTCTCTCCAGCAAGCACAACTGGCATTGACCAGGTGCTCAGCATGCTCACCTCGCTAGTGCTGGGGAGACGGAATTAGGTAGGAGCCACTGTGGCCTCCATTAGCAGCGGGCACAGGTAGTCGCCGAACCCTCTGAGATTTGATGTGACTAGCCCGAGGCCATGGCAGTTTATGGAGGCCTGATTCTGACTGAATGTCAGTTCAGTGTGGACGACTTGGAGCGCCTGGAAGATTCCCAGGCCAGTTTCCTTGAGTGATTTTGAAACTGTAAAGTCAGGTCAATATCTGATTCTCATAAGCGCTCTCCTTGTTCCACTGTGACCATAGCGAAGGAAGACGCCAACTGCGCTGTGTGCGACAGCCCGGGGGACCTGCTGGACCAGTTCTTCTGCACCACCTGTGGGCAGCACTACCACGGGCTGTGCCTGGACATAGCGGCCACACCACTGAAACGGGCAGGGTGGCAATGTCCCGAGTGCAAGGTGTGCCAGAACTGCAAGTAAGTCCCCGTTTCCACCACTGGGTGTGCTCTGTGCTGGAGGGGCTTGTGAGCAGGGGCTGTGCCCTGCGCATGGTGCTGAAGAGCGTGCGCTTCCTGCGGGGCTCCCGCTCACGCCTGTGTCATGTCTAAACTAAAACAGCAGTGGGTATTTCTTCATATCTGTGTGACTCTGACACAAGTCTAAAGTAATTTAAAAGGTTTACATTTCTCTGGTGACCTAAAAAGCGAACTGAAATTTGCTGAAACTCTTTAAATGAATTAACAACTTAAACGAATAAGCATTAGCAAAATAAAGCCACCTCTTCTGAGGGAGACTGGGGAAGAAATTTAGCAGGAGAATATACTGTCACTCTGGAGATAGTTTTCAGAGTGACCTGAAAAATCAGTGATATCTTTAATGTCCATTATAGGCAGAGGCTCTAGAAGCGTCTGAAATACAGTGCCCTTCGGGTTCTCACATGTTCCCCGTGGCACCTGGTGTCCACAGTGGTTACCTTTTCAGTCACTTCCCATCCTTTGGTCATTTCTCCATACTCTACTGAGATTTTTTTTTTTTCTCTCATGCTACTAATTACAGCGTGCTGATTTGGGAATGTCACCAACATCTACAGCAGTATTTGAATTGATCACAATGCTGAGGACTTTGTAACTAGGAGGAATTAGGCCCAGCCTAATGCTGAAGTCCGTTTTATTTCTAGTTTAATTTGATCACAATAAGCATCAATATCCTAGAATTATGTGGAATAATAGCCTCATGTGCTTTGATATTTGGGTAAAAATTAAGATACCATTCAATATTGATTTGGTGCCTTGTTTCTTGGGAAAGAATATGAGAAATTCCTAAAAATTGTTTTTCCTCTACGTCTTTCCATGTAGCTGAAGAGCTGAAACAGGCAATTTAATATGTAGAATATGTTAAACTGAGTAAGACATACTAGAGGCCAACTAACCCATGTTCCTTTTCGCTTCTATTTATCCTCAGTTTTTTTTCAGAGGTTCCTTTGTCTCCTCTTCATGCATTCCCCAGATTTTCTTTCCGCCTCCTCTTGTATTAAATTTTTGGTATCTAAGAGTGATGAATAGTCAGGAATCAAGGCAGAGATCATGTTGGGCGTTGGGGGGTGTGGTGGTGGTGGGAGAAGAGCTGGTAGGTAAAGGTTTTAGGCTTTTAAACCTAACCTTTCTTAATGATTATGACAAATTATTCTTATGCCCATTTACTTAGCAGTAATAGCTTAATGGATAGTAGGCGCTCCTCAAGCAGGATTATATTTAATTCTCCCAGTAATCTTTGATTATCATCCCCATTTTATACCTGGAAACTCGACTAAGTCGTTCAGGAGCCACACTGCTAGAAGTGCAGCAATTTGAACACAAGCTGAGGTCTGATGCCAGATTTGGTCTTCTCAAGCTAGAACAGCATCTTTGCCATTTACCATGCCCCCGCCTGGCTGGTTCCTTGCCACATGGCGTCAGCTGTCAGCGATAGCGCCTTCCCGTGAGCATGGTTGGACAGGAGATGTGTACAAAGATTCGTCATTTCTCTTACCTTAACCCCTCATTCATCGGAGGAAGCCGAAAAGACTTAAAACAGGTTCACCATAGGGAGCATTCAGTAAGGGGAACACTGTAGAGGCCTTTGGGAGTTGTCTGTCTCAGCCCCTAGGAGTGCCTCTATCAGTAGCTGTTTACAGACAAATCACACACCAAGGTATTTGTGAACCAGGCAGTTCCCAGGACCTGTTCTTTTCATGACTACTTATGGTGCAGAGTTGGAAGATGAGGCATCATTCATGCTGTCTTATTTTTTAGACAATCGGGAGAAGACAGCAAGATGCTAGTGTGTGATACGTGTGACAAAGGGTATCACACTTTCTGCCTTCAGCCAGTTATGAAGTCTGTGCCGACCAACGGCTGGAAATGCAAAGTAAGTAGTTTGTTTTTTTTTTTTAAGAAAAATATGTGTGTGGTTCTCCTGAGGAGCAGACCAGCCAAGTGCCTATTTGAATCTGCATTGCCATCAGCTCTGCAAAATGGCTTTGCTGATGTATCAGTGGCAAACAGGACACTCACATACTTAAGGCCTGTAATGTAACTTGACACACATGAAACCATCATCACCCTTAAGAAAATGAACATGTCCTTACCCTTCAGTGTCCCCAAGGAATCACTCCCTGTGGACAGTGCGCACGCACACGCACACACATAGTCACACACCGTCACACACACTCACCATCAGTTGACACAAGTATGGTGCTTTGTGGATCAGCAGCTGTCTATGTATGATTTATCTTAAGTCATTCCAGTAACCCTCTGAAATAGCATCCCCCGCTGAGGAGACTGAAACACAGTGGTAGATTTTTCAATTTATTTAAAATCCAGAGTTGAAATGCATTACATTGGATTGGAGGTGATTTTACAGTGATCTTACATGTATGTATATTTCTGTGGGCATGTGTTTCCGTCTATACTTGTATTAAACATTTGGAATCATTGTATCTGGGTATGTTGTATCTCCCCTGTAGTAATTTTTGTGACTATTGACTTAGTTTTTTTTTTAAGATTTATTTATTCATGTATACAAGAACCGGGGTATAGGCCAGATGTGTGGGAGGTGAGAGGATTCATCAGCGACAGAGCAGGGAGCAGAACAGGCAGACCAACTGAAATACACTGCTGAGGGGAGCAGCGGGGAGACAGGAGAGGTGTGTTGGGCCATGGGGGTGTCTCCCCAGCCGACTGGGATCAAACCCAGGCTACAAGAGGCTGTGGACAGCTTCATGGTGCTGCACTCAACTGCCTGTGCCACTAGGGAGGCCCTTGACTTAGATATTTTAAGGTTGCTCTTGTTTTTGAGCATTAGACAATATCTACAGACTTCTTTTTCATTGCTTAAGCAAGATAGCAGCTCTTGAAGATGACTCTGCAGTTACTTTTAACCTTCTCCAGCTATTCCTTTAGTCACTGGCCCTCCCTCATCCCTGTTTTGAACTCATCTTATGACCTTGGGGTGCAGTGTGCTGGTCTCCAGCTTCCCCAGGGTTGACGGAGGCTCTGACCTCCATACACTAGGCAGAGGTGGTGCAGAATTAAGTAGAGAACAATAAATGTGATATTATTTGTCCATGGAAGCACAAAAAAATTGGAATTTTTTAAGTGCAAGTAGAAGATAAGAGTAACTCAGGTTTGCCTTTAATTCTCAAGTGACCAAATGCAGCCTTTTCTGTGTGAAGGTGTTCACAGACAGTGTTTACTTGGACTTTCTGGGAATGTTCTCTAGGTGTCGTCAATCAGAGGGACATGTGCTTCCTTTGACATATGCATAGGTGAACTAATAAACTCCAGGTTGAGAGCTGACCAAGGCCCAGTGGTGAAACAAATCGTCCCAGTTGACTGACTGACTTGTGGAGGTGACTTGGGACCCACACTCAGGCTACTGTCACATATGCGGAGTCTCCGCCAGTGCTTCATCCTACCAGGGTTTTCTGTCTACACTGGCAAAGGAATATTTCTTGCTGTGATTTTCAATTATTAGGGTACAGATCCTGAGAAACAGCTCTGGACCCAGGCCATCCCTGTACACCCTCCGTGGGAAATCTTAGTTTTTAAAATCTGAATCTTATAAACTGGACATGAAGCTATGCATGCATTCTTTTATCGACAATAACTATACTGGCTTTTAAAATAAATAGAATTTAAAAGTGAATATTAATTTAATCTAACAAGTAAATTTTCTTTGAATGTAAATTGCCAACATTGGAGGTAACAAAAATATTTTCTCAGCATGGATTCAGTGTGAAATCTTTTCTTTGACTTTTAATAATGATGTATAAAGATGGCCTTTGTTATCAGTATTTGTATTAAAAACTATTTATAATGCCTTGACTGTTTAGAAGTTCAGGACAATCAGATCTCAAAGCACAACAACGAGCCCTTGAACATAGGTTGTAACTGGAAGTCCGTGTTGAGTGGGGCGTGAATGATGGCTCCCCAGCCCTCGAGCACCTCATTATGTGCTGCTGAGGCGCTGCTGGGGTGATGAGGCCTTCCCCCATCCCAGGCCACCACGATTTTACTGTGTAACAAACATCTGGAGTCTTCCACCTACCTGTCTTTGACCACATGTGGGACTGACGTCGTCATAAACACAAATGCTGGCAGGAGCAAAGTCTGCACAGGGGCACCCCAGAAGGTTGAATTTCACTTATTCAGATTGGCGTTTCTGTGATTAATGTCCAGTTCTCAGTTAACTGACTGCCTAGGAGAATCGCCCTGTGTGCTCCCCTGCTGGTCCCTGGGCGGAGCTTCGGCCCTGGGGCTGCGGGCTGCGTGCCTTCTCAGCCTCTCCTGGTGGAGTCAGGCGCCCGCGGGCCTGGCCGCCTCCGGGCTCTGCACCTGGCGGGCGGGCGGGGCCTCACGGCGCCGGGTAACTGCCGGCAGGTGTGAGCGTGGGCGGGGCCCGGCGGGGCGCGCGGATTCGCTGGGGCGGGCGGCTGCGGGTGCTCGGGTTTGGTCTCCGCTCCTCTGGCCCCGGTTGTCTGTCTGCGTGCCTGAAACAGGACGTTGGGTTCGTAATTTCCTTACTTTCCTACGGATAAAAGGGTATTGAAGACTATAAATGCACTGTTTGTTGTAGCTTTGGCTGCACCCCAACTTGTAGCTCTATCCTTGTACTTCTGAGCCACTAACAGATTTCTTTTTCAAGATTGTGCTTAATCTTGCTCATTTCTCCTTTAATCCTATTTAGTCACGTCATTTTGTAACAGGGTGGTCCCCAGGAAAGGGGGAGGTTCCAGGTTTTAAGCACTGCAGTTTTCTTCTTGACACAGTTCGGTACTTGAAATAGTGACGTTAAGGGGTAGTATTCTCGTGTACTAATTTTATTTTGAGACCGGATCCTATTTCCTTAGCTTTTCACGAGTTAATTGGATCCCCTCCTTGGTTATCGATAAAGTGGCCACTATAATTTCCATGTCAGTTTCTTCTTGTGTCTCACGTTTTTATTAAAGTTAATTGTTCGTGGTTGGTTAGGCTGGCGTGTTAATATAATGTGCTTTTTATTAGTATAAAGCTGCTTTATCCTGTGTAATCCTTCCTTTTTTGGACCAGGTCTTCGCTTTGCCTTACAATGTGGCCACATAGGGCTTTAGTTTGCCAGATGAATGTGAGCTTTTCACATTTTTGTTTTTTATTTTGGAGCCTTAAGAGTCATTTTAAATGTGTCTTTTGAAAAAGGCTTAATGGAGTTAACTATTTAGAATGATGGTTATCATTGAAATGCTTGACTGCTTTAGTGCAAACTTTTATTTTTTCTGTTCCTTTTATTTCTTGCAATGATTTGCAATTCAGAACCTTATTTTATGAATGTTGTTATAAAAGTTGAAAATACTTTTCCTCCCTTACTTCCATTTGAAAACTAAGACATGGGAATATTTTTTGTCTTTTGTCTCCTTTAATGAAATTAACACAGACCATAAACTTTGTCCTTATTTTTGCAGAAAATCAATTTCCTCTAATTGCAATCTCATTTGACCCCAGTTGTTTTGAGTCTTGGATATGCTCCTGTTAAAATCATTATAAATTTTCTGAAATCCTACGTACCTGAGACACTGTTGTCTTCACACATAGAAACCTGGTATAGCTCATGTTGTGACTTTTTTATATTCTGCCTAGGTCTTCCCCCCCCCCCCCCCCCAGTTTTCTCAGCTTACTGTATCATGGATGAAAACTTTTTTTTTTTTTTTTAAAGTTTAGTCATTTTTTCTGGTTGAAAGTTTTTGAAAAGTCTTTTGTTTTTGTCATTCTTTGGAGGATCTCCCAGGATGTGTCTGATCTTGGTTCTGTGATAACTGGTGTTGTCTGGAACTCCAGCGCCACTGGCAGGCTTCCAACCAGGCCCGTGGAAAGGCTGGAGAAGTGTTGCTTAACTTTGCCTTAAAAAAAACAAAACAAAACACCTTATTTATAGTCTTAGGTAATTTTTATAACGCCTATATAATTTTTGTTTGTGGCTCTTCAGTACCATCTTTGCCCTGGTTTTCCTTCTCTCTGAAAATGCCTCCGGAATTACTGGCTTGTTTCTCGCGTGTCCTCTGAGAACCTTGCCCTGCGTGTCTTAGTCCCGTGCTGTTCGCACACAGTGGCGGAGCCCTTCACAGCATGCTGACACCGCTGCTTGCTTCTTTTTTGTTTAATTTCTTGGAAGCGTTAGAATGTGGGTTAAAGATCAGGCTGTGAAGTCACATTTCCGTTTCTCCAGGTTCTCTTAAGGGTCTGTGGCACACGTTCCTAAGCCAGTTTTCCTCATGGAGAGAATGTTAAAAGTACTGACCCCGCCCCAGGGGTTTGGGATTTGAGACCCGGGCTGAAGTGCATGTCCAGATAATCCTCTTGGGGGAGACACTTCGGGGTGTATTTCCTAGTAACAGGGATATTCTTACACATTCAGCACTGTTACCAACTTCATACATTTCCGTAGATATGGTATTGTTATCTGATCCATTCGGATTTCGCTTTAGTCCCATCTGGCATTTCGCCCCTTCCCTGAAGCTTCTGGGATCTAGTCTGGGGTGGGGCTGTCCATTTTCTTGCCTTGTCTCTTGACTCGTAAGTGCTGGTTTGTCTGTTTTGACAGAGTTCTTCATTATTCATTACACTCCCAGGATGCCCCCGGCCCCCTCCCCACCCTCACCCCCCTGTAGGGGCCCCATGTGTCTGTGATTTGTGGTTATGTAGCCGGGGTGCGTTACCTTCCTCAGGTGATGCCAGTTCCCATTACCTGATCTCCACTGTGGTTTATTCTCTTCAGGTATATCTTGTAAAACAGTGCTGAGCAGGCACTTTTAAGACTCGGTAAATCTTTTGCTCCCAGAATTCCCTTTGAGATTTTAGGACCACTGCAGGTGTGTGTTTTTACCTGGGGCTGTAAAGCAAGGTTTTCCCAGCTCTCCAACACCCTTTCCTTCTCCTGATTCAAAGAGACCGCCTCTCTTCCACATGGTGGTTTCTGTACACATTGTCTGTGTTGGCTCAGGAGTCTCTGTTATTTTAAGTAACGTAATAAATGCTCAAGTTGCTCCATTCCTTCCAGCTGGCTCCCACGTCTGTGTGTCAGCCCTGTCCATTTACTGGAGCTCTGCATGCTTGAGGGCGGGTGCTCCCAGCTCAGGCTCCTTCCCTGTCGGCTGGGCATCAGCTCCCCTGCAGGGTGGGCTGCAGGCGATTCCCTGCAGAGGCATGTTGCTGCTGCCAGGTCAGCAGGCTGCACAGGACATGTCTGCGTGTATACACTCACACACCCCAGCACTGTGCACCCACACATGTCACATGGTTCGTAACTGCCCCACTTCCCCCTCCCCAGTGAGGCCCCCACTTCCCTAGTGAGCATCCTGGCCCCAGCGTGTTCCCTCAGTAGCACAGCCCAGCAAACCCCTGCAGACTGGCTCTCAGCCCTGGGTTTTATCCCCTTTTCTGATGCTAGTTTTTTCACTGTGTAGGATAGCAACATGCTTTCAAAAGTTACATAAAAAGGTCTACTTAAAGAATGTACATAAAAGCTCCTTAACTCACTTGTTTCCTTCCTGAATTTTTTTTTGTAATGGGGAGCAGTTGTATTGTTAATTTCCCTTTCCCAGCAGTGTGTTACATAGGCTCTTTTTTCCCTTGGTAAAACCTGGCAGTCACTTAGCAGTTCACAGACGACATCTTCGTGCCTCTTTTTATCATTATTTGTAAGACAGCCGCGCCGCCGCCCTGGCGTCTATTCAGCCGGTGTCCCTGCGTAGATAGCTGGGTCGTTTCCCCTCTGTACCTTAATGTCTCTTGTTGGGGTGAGCATGCACCCCTAAAGTGGGGCTGCGGTCTTGGGCACGTGTGTCTGCTGTTTGGATAGAGAGAAAGGCTCCCTTGGCAGGGCCCGGCACCCTGCGTTGCACCAGTGATGTCTGAGAGAACTTCGCTCCCTACATCCCACATGCTGTCCTGTTCACCCTTGGAATTGTTGCCTGTCCTGGGTGAAAAATTGGACACCTCTGTGTTTAATTTTCTCTCTGTTGCTTGAAGCTAGTCCCTAACAGGTCAGTTTTACCTATCTGTGAGTTTTCTGCTCCCGCGTGTGACTTCCCTCTACCTCCCGTGCAAGAGTAAATATATTGGGTGTGTGCGGCCTTTCCCTGCCTTACATGAGGCCTGGATTTTCTTCCAGTTAGTCACGTGCCAATGTTATTTTTCTGTCTTGCAAGTTTATGTAGTCAGGTTATTCATTCTGTTGCTTCTGGATGTTTTTACTAAAATTTAGAAAGCCTCCCTAAACACTGGGGTTTCTGGAGTGCTTGGCTCTTCTAACATGTGCAAGGCTGGGGTTTTCACTGTGCTCTCTGATCTGCGTGAGGTTGACCCTCGCGGGGGCTGGGAGGTGCCTTTTTCCAGTTGGCTGTGCAGTTGTGCAAACAGTTCACGAAAAGACCGTCTTGCCCCATTTGCTCAGGTTTTGGTTTTCTGGTTTCTCCCTGCGCTGCCCCTTGACTTTCCAGGCGGGGCCTTGCTGCAGGGTGAGCTGGAAGATGCTGCAGTGTCAGAGGTGCGGGCCCCTCAGGGCGACCTCTCCGCGGAGTGGTGGTTGTTAGGAATGGGTTTTCTTTTCTTTTTTTTTTTTTTTTTTTAAAGATTTATTTATTTATGTATACAAGAACTGGGGTATAGGCCAGAGGTGTTGGGGCGGGGGGTGAGAGGATTCACCAGAGACAAGAGTGGGGAACAGACCAGGCAGATCAACTGAAATACACTGCTGAAGGGAGCAGCAGGCAAGTCAGGAGACGTCTGCTGCGCCATGTGGGTAGCTGCCTGGTTGGGGATCGAACTCGTGCTGCAGGGGCTGTGGCTAGCTTCATAGTTGCGTCTTAATCCCTTGCCACCACCAGGGAGGCCCAGGTTTTCATCGCCACCGTAGTTGCTTATTTTTCCTTTTCAAGCCTAATAATATGGTAAATTTTAATAGACTTTTTATTTAATCATCATTAAGCTTCTTATATAAACTCTACCTGCACATCTGTTGTAGACACATTATAGAAAATTGCGTATTCTATTTCCTAATTTGCTTCTGGAGTCTGTTTGCTAATTATGTAGGTTTTTGGCATTAGTATGAGTGAATTTGCTTTAAATCTGTGAAACATGAGCAGATCTGTGGTTCTTTCCGGTGTCTCTTTGGGTGAGCATCTCTTTCCTATCAACCTAATAATTTCACATTCTTATTTTTGTTGGCTTAAAAAAAAAAAGATTTATTGTACAAGAACCAGGGTATAGGTCAGAGCCGCAGGAGGGTGAGAGGATTCACCAGAGACAGAGCGGGGAACAGAACAGGCAGACTGACTGAAATACACTGCTGAGGGGAGCAGCGGGCAAGACAGGAGAGGTCTGCTGCGCCATGTGGGCATCTCCCTGGCCAGCTGGGATCGAACCTGTGTTGCAGAGGCTGCGGACAGCTTCACAGAGCTGTGTTCAACCCGCTGCGCCACTAGGGGCGCCCATGTTGGCTTTTTGATTGGGAAGTTGGAGTGGTTGTGAGAGCCTGTGGTCAGCTGGTCCTGGGTATTAAGGCAGGCACCTTGTGCCCCGCTGGCTTTCGTCACCCCCACCCCAACCCTGCTCTGTGTGCAGCTCTGCTTTGAGAATAGCAGTGCCAGTCTGTCCTGAGAAGCCGTAGCTGAGCTGTGGTGTTGGGTGGTGATGTTCAGTGTCACACACCAAGCCGTCTCGGGCAGGTCTTGGTGCTGCGTCTACATGGATGCCTGGTTCTCATTCCCAGGCTGCGCGGCAGCAAGCAGGGCCCCTTCCCATGAGGTTTGCTTTCTCAGTGGAGGCTGGAATGACCTGCTCCTTGGTTCTGGAATGTGCTGTGCTTTTGCTCTGTTCTTGGTTTTCTTTCTTCCTCACTTGTTTTCTTGGATATTTCTAGCCCTATTTACATTTCCCTGGAGGTTTTAGTGCAAATTGAGTGGTGTCTCTGATGTTCAAAGCAAACTGCGTTTTCAAAAGCATATAACCTGAATCAGTGTCATGAAAATAAAAGCCTAATTACAAGTATTTGATTCCAGAAAGTTTCCCCAGAATGCAGTACAGATGCATAATATGCACCTTCTGTTCCCCTGCCCTGGTGTCTAGAACTGCCGAGTGTGTGTCGAGTGCGGGGTGCGGTCCAGCCCTCAGTGGCACCACAACTGCCTGGTGTGTGACAGCTGCTACCAGCAGCAGGGAGACCTATGTCCGCTCTGCGGGAAGTGCTTCCGCCCGGACCTGCAGCAGGACATGCTTCACTGCCACCTGTGCAAGAGGTGAGAGCACAACCTCGAGACGCGGCCCCCTGTCTTTCCTCTGTGCCAGTCGCTGAGAGCCAATCTCGGAGCCTCCTGCTGGCGAGGGCTGTGCAGGTGCAGTGAGGTGGGCTTTTTTGAGTTTGAGAAGCACAGGGAAAGGAAATGGGCGAAGGGAAGACCAGAAAGAACACTGTGAGGGAGAAAGTAACGGGGAAGTATTTTTTAAATATGGAGGAAAAAAACACGTCGACACTAAAAATGATAGCCAAAAATGTTCCCCAGTGCCAACCTCTAGAACACTTCTGTCATCATTAACCCCTCTGCTCAGTTTTTCTAGCAGTTGCTTATTTCCCAGGGTATTAACTTGACTGAAAGTTTCTTTTGAATGTATTTCTCACTACAGATGGGTTCACTTAGAATGTGACAGGCCAGCAGACCATGATCTGGACACCCAGCCCAGAGAGCTGTACGTCTGCGTGTATTGTAAACACTTGGCCGCTGACATGGAGCCATTACAGCCGGATGACGAGGTGGAGATGGCCGAACTCCCTGCAGGTGAGCCTGAGATCAGTGTTCTGTTGTGGTGCGGCACCAGCCAGTCCTCAACACTGCATATCGGTGACAGTGGGGCCTGTGTCAGACCCTCTTACTCTTGAGTTCTCAGCCCTGAGGTACAGGTGCTTGCGGGCCTCTCCAGTGCAGCGACAGCTTCTGGACACGCAGCAGCAGCGCACTTGCTTCTTCGCAGTTCTGCTTCCTCAGCCAGCAGCGGAAGTTCTGCAGTGTTTGGCCTATTGCCTAGTTTGCGCTCCTTAATTTGGGTTATTTTACTCCCAATAAGCTTCATTTATAATGTCTTAAATGTTAATTCTCACCTCTTGAGCCAAACATTTGGTTCAGATGTAGAATATTTTTAATAGCATACTGTTGGTTATAAACCAAGATTCTCAGATGGCGAAGAACAAACCAGCTCACCAGACTGGTGTTCATTCTCTTCAGTATGGACGGCAGCTTCTATAAAAGCCCCATTTTTATCTTGGGTGAGGGGCTTAGTAGACACGTCACAATAACCTTTTGTATCCAGGATGCTATCACTATACAGTTGTGAGATGGCTTTTCAAAATAATAGCATTCCTATTACCTTTCAGTTCATTATATTTCCTGTGTTTTTAAAAATGTAAATGCATTTTTGGTTCAGAGTTGAAAAATCTGAAGATAAAGTGTTTTGGGGTGAGAATTTACTCTTATTAGAGGAAAGAGTAAAATGTTGACTTAGTTAACAATTCTATGCTAAAGCTCATTCTACGCTAAAGAATAAATTTTCTGTTAAGATTATAACAATGAGATGGAGATGGAAGGGACCGAGGACCGTGTGGTGTTTCTGGAGCCAGCGGTGGCTGAAGATGCCAGCGGCAAGGAGCCCATACCTGGAATTGTTCCAGATGGTGAGAGTGTTTTTGCTAATGGACACTGTTTTTGGGCGGGGGGACAGTGTACAGAATGAATGTGTGAACATCTACTAAAAATTTCAGTATCCTAAATTAGATTTAGCCATGATGTTAGATTTTCTAGTAAAATAACCTGAGGCAGGATTAATAGGGAGGGTGTATGTATAGCTGTTGTGCAACTGTAGCCTAGCTTTAGTCATAAATACAAACTTTGTTTAGGGATGGAGTGGTTTTCATTAAAAAGCAATTTGTTTTTTCATTCCTTAGTTCTCTTTGTAATTACTAACTAGAGCTGTTGCTGATGATGAGATGTTTCATGCTGAGATAATAAAATTTATTGTTTTAGGTTGTCTCAGCAGTCCTGTTGAGGGTTATTTAAGTTATTTCAGTGATACTTCAATTAAGCTTTTTAACAATATTGATAATAGCTATTACTGTCCCTGATGATTTGAAATTAGTGAGAAGCCAGGTTGGAAAAACTACTTATTAAACTTAATCTTGGGCCCCTCCGAAAGTACGTGGGATTGTATACAAAATCGTTATATTGATGTAGATCGTGTGGCCGGTCTTAGAATAACATCGTTTTATTCAGTGTAATTTCATTATCATTGATGAGGAAAGAAATGAATTCCAGCCCAGTCCATTGTCATGGATTTCTCTGGGCTTCCCCCCCCCCCCCCCCCCCCCCCCCCCGCCGCCAAGGTAATGTGTGTGTGGGTTTTGCTAACGTGCCTTAGTGGCCTGGGCCACCACTGACCCTGAGCTGGAGAAACAGTGAATGGGGGAAAAGAATGAATGCACACAATAGGTTAACAGCAGGAGTGTTGGGATCCTTTACAATTTTGATGATTCTGCCATCAGAAATATGTCCTGTTTACCCTCAGTAAAACAAAGTAATAATTGACTTAATTAACAACAACAGAAAAACTCATTCTGAGCTAAAGAATAAAATTTCTGTTGACTATCACAGTAAAATGTAAGTTGAAGCACCTGAGGAGCACGAGCACTTAACCCTTGTGGGTATCAGTTAACCAGTGGCCAGCTGGGGTTTGCTAGAAGTTCTTTCACTTAAAGCCTGTTCCTAAGGACCTACTGAGGACGTTGCGGGGGAACTTAGTGTACACATAAAAAGCCTCAGATTTTTTGAGATTAAGTTAATCTCACTGAAAGATGTACTTCGTGAAAAATAACTTTATAATAGTGCATCTTTGAGTGTATGATCTGAGTCCTAATTTCTTCTACCAGAAGCTTAGTAATAAATAGCATTCAGTGCTTATGTTGGGGATGGGCAGCTGTAGCTCATCTTGCTCTTGAGGCGCATGAGGACCTGCGGACTCCACTAGGGGTCCCCTAATGTGTCGTTCACAGCAGCCGGGGCCCACCCTGGGGAGCAGAGCCACCCACCACAGAGCCTGGAGACTCGGGACCTGCTCCCGCCTGGTAAGCTGCTCCCGTCTCAACCTTTCATGTCCTGGTGCCAGAGTTGCCTACCCTGCTGCCGCCTCATTCACCATGTGCTCTTTTCCTTGTGATGATCCTTTTCTTAAAAAGAAATGGCTTTGTTTGTGAGGGTGGTCCTCTTCTCTGTGAAGAGTCGCTAAGTCAGATACTCATTCTTAACTGGCTGGAATCGTTGGGCCAGACTTGAGGCTGAGCCTGACTCCACTGCTTCAGATCTGCATCTGAGCCAGCACGGATGGGCGCCGGGGCGGCTTCCCCTCCCACGGGCCTGGGCTGCTTGGCTTCCCCCCACAGCACACACTTTTAAACCCTGAAGTGTTGTGTGTTCAGTTTCACTTTTTAAAAAATCATTTCCTTTTTTTATATTAAGTGTATTTGAAGAATTTTTGGTTTGTTTAGTACGATCTAATCTATTGTTTGATTCCCCTCTCCCCCCACACTTTTCCTCAGCTGTAATCAGCGTTCAGTAAAGTGGGAATGAAAAGTGAGATTTCATTTTGATATCAGAACATAGATGAATTTCAGTCACTGTGGTAACTAGTAAAATAGGAAATTTGTATCTCTCTCCTCTTAACAATATAACCTAGAAATGACCTTAATGGCACTGAGAATAAATGTCCTTTATCTTAGGTGGCCCTGTTTAGTAGAGCCACTTGGGACTCATGTCACTCGGGTCTCTGTTACTTTTTAACAAGATTGGAGTAAAGCTTCAGCACGCCAGCACCTCGATTTAACGTTTACTAAGTTAGTATCTTTGGTTATAGATGATGAGGATGAACAGGATTTTATCCCAAAAAGTGCATCATGGGAGGCTGCGGACCATACCCAGTAGCTCTCTGTTCTGGACTAGTCTCCAGGCTTTAACATGCGCACCTCATGTAACACCATGGAGCCTCATTTTCCTAGCTGTAAAATGAGTATAGCTTTACTTACAAAATTTTGAATCCTTTTGTAAGTGTTCAAATTGTAAAACGTATATGTAGAATAGAATCGCTGCAAGTTAATTCTGTTTTAACACTCCTCAATAGTCATACCAAAATTTGCCTTAAACTCTGAAGCTCTTTTTTAAAAGTGTTTTGGTCTATGACTGATTCTAATATACAAGCCTCATGTGTTTTCAACTTTCATTACCTTGATCATTGCCCTCCTTAACCACCTTGTGACTTAAGGCATGGGTTAGCCAAAGGTGTATTTTGAGGAAAACTTCCCTCTTTTTATCTTCCCCCCTTTTTTCTACCTAACTCTACTCTCTTCGGGGTACAAAGCTATACACCTAAAAGACATGAATGTTTTTACCTACTCATAGGTAGAGATTTTGAATCATGTGTACATTAACATAAATATTCCACATTTTGTAGACTCATCCCAAGACAAAACGAATCCTGAATTGGAAAATCAAATTACTCATGAAGTTGATAGTGAAAAAATAGAAATATCTCCTAAAGCGATACCTGTCTGTGAAGATGATCGAAGTGAGAACAGATTGGACGTGCAGGCCCTGGCCGCAGCCCTGGCACCCCGGTCCTCCATGCCAGAGGCTGGCCTGGTGGAGCCGGAGATGGCGGTGCCTGCGCAGGAGTCGAGGCCCCCTAGGGCACCTGTGGCCTCCGTTGCTGTCCTGTCCGAGGCCTCAGTGTCCCCGTGTGAGGAAAGTACTTCTCTGTGTTCCAAGGACCAGTTGGCTGTGGAAAGGGTGCAGGAGGGCATGGAGCAGCAGGATGGTTCCGAGTCTTCCTCTGCGTGCATGGACTCAGAGGCAGCCTCTGCGGCCGAGCATAGGGGCAGTGAGGGCCTGTGCCGGGGTGACAGCGCTGACCGGCTGCCGTCAGAGACCGAGGCGGCCTTCCCCTCCTCCGCCGATGCCAGCAAGGCCGCTGCGCCCTCCTCACCGCCGCCCTGCTCGGACCTGCCGCCGGCGGACGTGCTGCCTGGCCTCCCCTCAGCCCTCGGCGCATCTGTGGGGGGCATCATGTCCACGACCTACATCTCCGTCACTCCAAAAATTGGCATGGGCAAGCCAGCTATCACCAAACGGAAATTCTCTCCCGGTCGGCCTCGGTCCAAACAGGTAGGGCGGTTGTCGTGTGGTTGACGGGAGGATGTGGGGCAGTACATGAAGTAAGGGTGCAGGTGTCCTTTGGGTGGGAGGGTGTTTTCTGTCCTCAGGAGAAGCTTGGCAGAGGGGACTCCTGCCTTCCACTGTGGAAAAACAGCGCTGGAGCCAGGACCGCGGGGTGCAGCCAGAAGCGAGCTTCCTTGGAACTTCAACTTAGTTGGGTCATGTGGATGTGATCCGTTTGATGATAGTTTCTAACAGAGGACATTAGTAAAATTTTTAGTTCTGTGCCACAGTGAAAATAGAGCTTTGAAAAGAAACAGTAAAGTCTGGGTCTGCTGTAACTAATCTTTATTCTGCTTTTCTAATGTGGTGTCTATGGACATTCGTTATATTTGGATTTTTTTCTGCTAGGGAATTCCTCATTTTGATTTTTCTGTTCCTGTCTTTTAATGAGGTATTTTCATGTTGGGACTTACTTGAATAGCTTCGCAGAAAAGTCTAAGAATTATATTGTTGCTCTTCAGGGAACCAAGGCGGCTCTTCCCTGCACTGTTTTAAGTACGGTGGGTCTCTACCCGTCAGGTCAAGCTCAGTGCTGCTTAAATGGGATGTACGTGGGACTGAGGCGAAGCACAGGTGCGGTAGTGGAGCATTAGTTACTCGACGGAATGCCTGCTTTCTGACAAACGGCAAGATGCAGGCAGCTACAATTGTTCAGTCACCTGGGAATATGCAGTTTTAGGTGTCATGATTTAAATTGCTTTTGGTGATAAAAGTCTTTCTGTAGGAATAGTTATACCTTGTTCATCTAATGTAGGGATTGTAACAGCAGTAAAAAACTAAATTGAACTTTATTTTAATGTGAAAATTAGTGTCCTATAAATCCACATGTTTCATTCTCCTAAGATGCCGCGGTAACTGACAGCACAGTAGCTGCCCCTGGCCCACTGCTCTCGGGGGCAGGCGCCTCAGCTGCGGGAAGTCCTCGCCTGCCTTCCTCCAGACCTGTTCCGACTGCTTGGGAGGGACTCAGCTCCACCCACCTCTCCTCCTTAGTCTTGTCTTTTCTTTTTTTTTTTTTTGTGAGTATGTCTTTTAGCTTTATGGTAATAATGTAGTTTTGATCTGAATAGACATTAGCAGTGGGAGTTTGAGTCTCTAGTTTAATTTTGGATCAGATACATGCTTTAAGGTTGTTGTGTTATAAATATTTAAATATTCCAGTTAAATTTTACTGGTATCTCTCCTTAGCAACTCCTGTTCAGTTGAGAAACCACTAGGATTATTATTTCTGTTAATTGCCATTCCAAATACTGTGGTCTTGACCATTTACCAGTGTAGAGAATACTATCCTAACCAAATTGGACAGTACATTTAGTTGGTTAAATTCTCCTTCACCGGGGTCAGATTTTTATCACAACTGTTTTTGTAGTATTGCATGCACTGTTCTAAGAATTAATTGAGAAGTCTGAAGGCTTTGAGATTTGACGTGCTAGGTGGCAGGTGATCAGGTTTATCATTGCTCTCCGGGGCTGTGAGTTAGGAGGTGGATAAGCCACTGCTGGCAGTAGAAGTAAAATGCAAGGCTCGTGGTCTAATACAAATTTTTCTAGTAGTTCTACTGAAAAAAAATCTTAGTATTTGACCCAATTTATTCAAAATCTCTTATGTTTGGTTTACATGCTGACGTATTTCAGGTGTGTTTCAGACTCGTGACATTGGAGCCACATAGGGCTGTTCAAGGCAGAACATTTAAAAAGACATGAAAACTTAGGACCAAAGCTATTGATGAAATTAAGAGAAATTCTACACGCATTTAAATGGATAAACTAAGAGTGTTGCATTGCTTTCATTACCTTTACGGATTGAAGTGGAAGTGTTCTACTGCTCCAGCTGCTCCTACAGCACATTTTAAAACAGATGGTAATGAAAGCATTTGTCGACCAACACTGCGCCCCACATGTGTTCAGGGTACTGTAGACGGTCAGGGTACAGCCCATGGGACCACGCATGCAAGCGTTTGCGTTTGTGGCAGTCACTTCTGAATTTGAGGCATCACCCCAGAAAGAGGAGGAGATGCTTTCACCCCACTTGTTGGAGGACCATAGGAAACGCTGATCACGTGGGATTGCTGTCCCTGTGGGAGAGGCAAGCACACGAAATTTCGGTCTCATACTATGCATTTTCCGTGGAAGAGTTTGTTGTGGAGTAGATGTTGTTACTGAGCTGTTACCTGCGCCCGGGCAGCTCGTGCAGCCCGGCCCTGCCCTGAGGGGTGCACCCTCTTGCAGGCTATCTCAGGGACAGGTTGCGTCTGACTCATCTTTTATACCAACTGCCCGTTTAAATATATTCCAGCCTCTTATTTTTGAGAGGATTTTTATGGGCATGTCCAGACTGGGCCCTGGTTTGGAAGGGCCGGCATGGCGCCCCATAGACTCCCCAGCGCAGCAACCCCTCCGTGCTAAAACCGCCTGGGGTGGGTCTCCACTCACCTTCTCTGCAGCAAGGGTCCCGAACCAGGGAGAGCATCCCTGTTCTTACTATTTTTACACTCCGAGCACAGGCCACAAAAATGCTCTGAAAAAGTAGTGGGAAGTGGGGTGGAATTTTTTAATCACTTCTGAGCAGAGCAGGTGTGTTTCGGTGTCTGTCCCATTTCATGCAGCCCGCACTTGCGCTTACCTGCTCTAAGCTGGAGATCCAGTGAGTGCTGACTGCCCCGGCCTCTCCCGTGCGCTCACCTGTCTGCACGTCTCATCTCCTCTCCTCCAGCCATGTGTGGCAGTCGCCTGCCGCCTGCGCCTCAGGCCCCAGAGCTTCGTGGTCGTGTCAGCAGCTTTTATTCCACCTTCTGTGAAGTGATTTTTTTTTTGTGTGTGTAATGGTCTTAAATATTTTAAGACAATGTCATGATGAATAAGTCATCTATTATCTTTTGATAACTTTCAAATTCTGCAAGTGTTTTCTTAGAATTTTTTTTTTGCTGACTTTATAGATGGAAGTTTAAAATTTCTGTAAAGTACTAAAACTGATACTTGACAAGAGGTACTCATAAAGGTGAAATTTCTTCGATAGTTTGTTTCCAAAGAGAGTGCTGCTGCATTTTCTGTTGCACTGTAAACAGAGTGTCCTCGTCCTCCTCAGTTCAAGTGACTGCGATGAACCATAGGATTCCATAACACACTGTGTACTGCAAGCTTTTAGAATGTTGTTTTTCAAATTAATATATCAATTTCATAACCTATTCCTGTGAGAGAAAAACTCACCTCTACAGTGGAGGGTTTTAGTTTCGTTGACCACCGATACAAGTAATCAATTTCTTTTTAATAGTGGACATTATTTCTGGTTTGTAAATGCAAATATCTTAGCAAGAAGCACTGTTGACTGTTGGTTTTGTTTTAAAGATTAAAAAAAGCAATCTTTAAATCATTTAAGCCAGATCTGTGAGTTCCACTGTACAAATAAGAAAATCAGTTTTTTTTTTTTTTTTTTTTTTTGTGGGACCCTCGCCAGCGACCGGGGAACGAACCGGTGCTTTAGAGGCTGCGGGCAGCCCCGCAGCCCAGCACTCAACTGCTGCGCCACCAGGGGAGGCCCTAAGAAAATCAGTTTTTAATAAATTAGTTCATATCCAGTTTTTAATTAAGCTTGAATTTTGAAGCATCGCTTGATATACTGTATGCACAATGATGCTACGTTCCTTAATGGAAAACATACCACCTTATTAATCACAGTTATCCATTCTTGGATACATAAATGGTAAAACCTTCATATCTGATACTTTATCTCAGAAATAGTTAACTAAAGAAGATTTCATTAGTAAATATCTATCCTCTATTCTTGATGGGGAATGAAAGGTGCAATGTGGACGAGTAAATGTAGGTACCAGATGACAAATTCTTAGGACTTCTGTTTCTCTTCGGGAAAGTTGTCCTTTCCCTTGTTCGTACTTTGCCTTAGATTCACCTGCTAACAGCAGTTTTGGTTTTGTAATATGTCGGGAGGGAGTGGACCTGAGGTTGACTTGGGACTTCCAGGTCCAGCGTTTGCCAGCAGGACCTCAGTCCCTCTCTGCCCACTCCTGAAACTGAGGCTCAGGTTAGGATACTTGGGCTGGACCAGTGACCGTGACCATGACCCCCTTCAAAAGCTGGCAGCAGGGCCTCCCTGGTGGCACAGGCGGTTGAGCGCCGCACTGTGAAGCTGTCCACAGCCTCTGCAGTGCGAGTTCGATCCCGGTCGGCTGGCAAGAATCCCACATGGCGAGGCAGACCTTTCCTGTCTCACCTGCTGCTCCCCTCAGCAGTGCATTTTGTCAGTCTGCCTGTTCTCTTCCCCACTCTGTGTCTGGTGAATCCTCTCACCCTCCCGCGCGTCTGGCCTGTACTCCGGTTCTTGTATTAAAAAGTAAATAAATCTTTAAGGAAAAAAAAAAAAAAAAAGCTGACAGCAGGATATGACACCAAATAGGAGGTTGTCCACACCAGCCTCTGTTCCTGCCATTGTTATTCTCATTTCCCTACCCCACAGTCCTGTAACAGCTGCATAGTTCACGCGATTATTCATTTAACTGAGAAATTAGCCTCAAAGCAGAAAGAAGTTTAATACTACCTTTAAACAGTTTGGGGCTTTATAAGTATTCTTGGACTCGAGTTCAAGTAGTATTTTTTTTAAGGTTTCTAGCAGATTTGATAGCACACTGATTCTGTTCAGCTTTCTTTACAACTTGGATGGCTGATTTTTGAACCTTTTTGCTCTGAATTCAGTTTGTAGATAATTTTTAAGAGTTAAAGTATATTGAGTAGGTAGGTAATTTTTTTTTTTTTTTTTTTTTTATTGTGGGCGCGGGGTGGGGGAGAGATCCAAAATTCTGGACTAAAACTGGTAGAAGAATTAGTATGTCTTGTCCCAGGCTACAGTGTGTCAAGTTGATGCATTGATGCATGTATGCACCCAAGGAGACCCCTCAGCAGGAGGAGATGTTTAATAAGTGCTGACAGAAAGTGTGGGCTCTCACCAAACTGTGGTCCGGAGGCAACAGGTAGACACAGGTGTGGGGGTGACAGTGCCAGCCGGGTGCCATGTTGCCGTCAGCAGACAAGCACATCCCTGACCAGTTTATGCGAGTTCTGTTCCACGAAAGCCAAGAATCCAAAGGATGAGTTATAACTGGAGTTAATAATCACGCTGTATTTTAGTTTTAAGGTCTAAAGAATATGTTAGGTAATTTCTTTGTCAGAATATCCAAGAATAATATTAATTTTTTTTCACTTCCTATAAAACTGCATACAATCTATCTCCACTGTCTTAAGATACAATGCTTATTAAAATTCATAATGGACGTGCTGAGGCTTTTATGACACAAGCTCATCACCATAGCAGCTGAGTGGTTTCTCATTGCCCTTGACATGGCACCCAGACGTCCTTGACCTACGGAGCCCTCCATCGTGTCCGGCGTGTTAGCCAAGTGTGCATGCTTTTGAAAATGAGGTGCTGTTTTGGCATCAAAACTACATTTTAAATTATGAATAGCATACTATCTGAGAGCATGACTTCTCATGGCATGTTTTAAGCCTGTCTACTGTCGTAACCTTAAGCAGTCTCCTAGGAGGAGTTTGGGACGTAAACTAGCAGCTGTCCTCACAGAGGCACTGAGGACTAAAATGGGATATCACTCATGCCTATGCCTCCCTTCCACTAAATAATCATAAACATTAAAACATATGGCCCCAATTTGTGGTCAGCGAAGAGATCCAAGGTGTGTTGTGGTCAGGGAGGCCGTAGCTCACTCGAATACTGAGGCCTCTCTGAAGAAGACATTTCAGGCTGATCTGAACAATCACAGGAAGCAGCTGCTGCCAGGCTGGAGTCACCTGAGTCAGCAGGGCCCTGAGAAGTGAAGAACTGGGTGTGCTTGAAGGGATCTGGGAAGCCAGGGTGCAGCGAGAGCCCTAGGAGAGGCCGAGGGGCTGGCGGGAGAGGGTCTATGTGGAGAGCAAGAGGAACTGCCGAGGGGCACTCTGTCGGGTATGCCCTTCTGGCTGCAGGTGAGGGGAAGCGTGAGGTGAGGAGCAGGGGCCCTACCATGGGCTGTGGGGGGGTTGGTCGCAGACCTGACCGGCCACTGCCAGGGATGCAGAGAAGAAGCCTTGGAAAGGTTCCAATTTGCTAGTGGTTTCGAGTGACAGGGAGGAGCACATTCCAGGTGACCACAGTTTTCTGGCATGAGATCTGGGTAACATAAGGTGGGCTCTAGAGGTGTGCTGTGGCAAAGCAGGAGCACCGGGATGGAAGTGAAAACAGCTAGGAACTCGGGGCTGAGAACATGGCAGCATGGAGGGGTGGATTCGGGAGGTGACCCCGATGCTGGGCGTGCCCAGCCCGAGTGTCTGATGGTGCCAGTGGGGATGGGGTGTCCAGCCGCTGCTGTGGATACCGGAGCCTCGCTGGGAGAGAGGGCTGTGCCATGTCCACCTGGAGGGGCAGAGTGAAGGAGGGAGAAAAGACTCCAGCCACTCTGAGGTGACTATAGACCAGGGCATGGGGAGGTGAGCAAGTGGTGCCCAGGGTCAGCAGGGCTGTCGGCTGAGCCAAGAGGAGGCGGACTAAGCGGACCTGTCTCCCCTGGGTGGTTTTCCCCCAAACAACTCACTCCCTTAACTGTCTCCTCCCGCCAAAGGTAGTCAAACTCCTATTTCTGGTTAAACTCTAATGGTAGTTTTATGGTTAGTCGGTAATCACTTTTAGTTAATGTGCTAGAAACCTGGTAAGTACTGTGCTGCTACAGTTCCAGTCACTGAGATGGTAAATTACAGGGCGCGCAGCTGCATTACCTAAGTCAGGGTCCTTATCGCTTGACATTTGTTTTGTGTTTTTCTTTAAAATGTTAAATCTTTGTAAAGTAAACATTTTTCTTTACGCTGTTGAGCATCAGATTGTTGGCTGGTTCCTGGGATGTACAATGCCTTGATCTTATAAACTTTTAAGATACTTTTTTCTGTATAAATAATAGGTACTTTGGGCATTTAATTCGCAAATTTAGGACAATTTAATTTAACCTTTCTTCACTTTCCAAGTTCCTCCTTTGGATATTATCTTAGTGTGATACTTACCTAAGTGAAAGTCAAGACCCACACTTGCAGAGGGGAGTGTGACGGAAGAGTCGTCAGAGCAAACTAGGTGCCAGGGATGGCGGTGTGTCCGTGCAGGGCAGGGCTGGCCTTGCGTGGCCTGAGGGGTGTGATGCCTCCGTCTGATCACCTTGCTCCATCCTCTGCCTGCTTTGCTTGTTCATAGCACTAGGTACGCAGAACATTCTTTAAGGTTATTCCTTTCTCCTTCCTAGTGGAATGATAGTTTGCTAGAAGGAATAATGCGCAAGTGGTTTCTTGTAGTCCTAATTGTTAGTGTTTGGTTCACTTCTATTTTGGTGCTTTAATTGTTGGTTGGACAATGCTGATACCTTATAAACCTTAATTCTTAATGTTTCATTGTATTGTTTATGTAAATTATAGCTGCAAACACTTAAGTATAAAGTCACTGTAAGTGAAAAGTTTATTTTCCCTACCTTGAAGCAATTCGTCCTAAATTCCATACGTTTGCATTTGTTTTTGCTGTTTTAAAATTCCTTAGTTGCTGCTTTGACCTTTTGTGTTGCTGAGTTTTATACATCTATTTTCTCACCTGCCATATCCTAGGGGGCCTGGAGCACCCATAATACAGTGAGCCCACCTTCCTGGTCCCCAGACTTTTCAGAAGGCCGGGAAATTTTTAAACCCAGGCAGCTTCCTGGCAGTGCCATTTGGAGCGTCAAAGTGGTAAATAAAACTGCACTTACATTCATATATCATTTCTTTCTGTTTGGTTTTGTCCAAGAAAAAGTTAAGAAGTAAATCTTTTCTAGGTAAATATTTCAGCATCCAGGGCCACTTTTTAAATCTAAAAACTTTACTATGAAGAAGCAACATGCTTGTACTTTAAAATCTATTTCGTAGGAAATTGCAATTTATGTGACTGTTTTTAAGTGTAAAATGTTAATACCTTTTTCGGTAGTTACTTTCTTTTATGTTGTAGTTACCAGTATTTCCATGAGGGGGAATCACGGTTACATAGGCCAGAAAGTAATTAAGGGCTTGGCTATTCATGGTACTGTAACACACCACTACTTAGTAAAGCACAAAAGCAGAACTACATTACTGTAGTAAGAAACAGCAGCATTGCAGAGATTTCATTGTCTGTGGTAATAGCCCCAGATTCGGGGGTGGGGGGTGCCTTTTCCATGTCATTGGTGGGTGATTCTGCTAGTTCTCCAAAGTGAGTTAAGTGTACTTGATGCCTTTAGAAGGGTAATAAGTTAATTGGAAAAAGTGTTAATCATCTGAAAATGTGTATTTTACTGACTAAAGAAGGCAGTTTTTGTCTTCTATATTTTATATAATTCTAGATAAGGCTTAATTCAGACTAACCAACAATTTCAGAGCGGTTCTAGACTGCATTTTTTGCTGTCACAAAGGACAAATTATGTTTCAGCTTACTCTTGCCATGCAAGATACTGAAATTCAAATGAGTATTTGTTTTAAGAGTATAAAAGAAGGCTAGACTGACCGTTTTTGAAGTATACGCTTGATTTAATCATTGACTTGAGCTCTTTTATTTAAAAGAAAGGAAACTGTCCATTATAACCCTACTCTGTCCCTCACTCAGGGAAGTTGGAGAGATCTCAGGACAGGAGATGCAATTTGAGACCTGGAAATTGACCATATTAGTTAAAACTGAAGGGAAAAAAGACACCTTCCTCCTCTGTGTGTTTCACACTTACTCAATATATTTGACTTGGAGACAATTCTGCTAAATGTGTTGGGTATTTCAAACTGCATTACGTACCATCAGTTGGAGATGTGACATATTATTTAACTCATTAAAGGAAAAATATCAGAAAGGATTTTTCTGAGTATTTTAATAATTGTGAATGTATACAAATATGTGCAAATTCTAGCTTTTTTCATTTATAAATATGCAAGTGTGAATATAAACCAGAAAAAAAAAACAACAAAAAAATCACCCCACTACACACTTGATAAATTTTCAGGAGATTTAACATCTTCCCAGAGAATTTTTTCTTGTGCATCAAAATTCATATAACTAAAATCCATTTCAAGTAATGGTTTAAAGTCCGCTTTTTTACCCTTTTATCAGCTTTCCTGTAAACTGTCCCTGGGATACTGTGACAGAATGCAGAGCACTATCTGTCTTTTAGACAGACAGCTATTACAGTGAGGAAAACCAGCACTTAACAGCAGAGGGAAATGCTGCTGTACACTAGCAATGATTAGCTTTCATGCTACAATGGGGCAGAATAGACTAGTGGTTAAGAGCATGGGCGCTGGAGCAGACTGGCTAGCTCTGCGTCTGGACTACCCCAAAGGGGTAGCAGTGACCTGGGGATGTGGGCAAGAGTGGAGCGCGGTGCTTGCTCAGGTCAGCTGGCCCGCCCTCCCCTCCTGCCCCATGCCGACAGCTCTGCTTTCGAGAGGCCTGAGTGAGGGGAGCTCGGGAGCAGAGGCGAGGCCAGCGGTGGGGGGAGGATTCGCAGGGACAGGCCCAGGACTTGTCTGAGGTAATGGGCATCTTATATTTCTAGTTTGTAGAATACATACTGAGAGAAAATTAATAAGCTGGTCTCTTAGTGTGTCATGTGATCAGAGTAAAAGAAGGGGCAGGTGTTGGTGTGATATCTAGTGAACGTTCTTTCTCACATTTGTATTGAATGTTGTTGCCACTTTGCGAGCTGCTGACTTGCCCTTCTCTGCCTGCAGGGCCGCGGGTCAGGCTTTCCGGGAAAGCGGAGACCGAGGGGCGCCGGCCTGGCGGGGCGAGGTGGCCGGGGAAGGTCCAAGCTGAAGAGTGGAGCCGGCGCACTGATGATGCCGGGGGTAAGGCCCGGTCACGCGGATGTGCGGCTGGGTTTTTAACTGTGCTTTACTCTCTCTGCTTTGCATTTGTTTTTAATAAATACCTTTGCCGAGGCTTTTAAGAAAGGAAATCAGTAGAGGTGACGTTTAATTTTAACTTTCCACTCAGTAGACCCAAAATGCCATCATTTCAGTGTGTGATGTGTCATGTAGGCAGCATGGCCTGTGAGCTGTATTTGCGTTCTTCTTTGGCACTAAGTCTTTGAAATGTGGTGTGTCCATGTTTTCACTTTAAGCATTCCTCAGTTTGGGCCAGCCACGTGGCAGGCCTGACATTTTCCAGCGTGATGCATGTATACAAATAAACACACACTACAATTGTGCCTTGATTAGAACTTCCATGTCATTAAGTCTTACTAAGGATAGGCTTATGTTTTTTCAATATTTTCTAATTCTAAAGAATGAATAATGTCATGATTTACAGCTTTATGGTAGTATTGTCACAGTAATATAATTTGAAATTTTTGGTGTAGAACTTGGCAAAAATTGCATTTTAAGTGTTTCTTAAACTTTTCATTATAATGCAAGTGAAAGATACAACTTCCTGTCTGTGTATTTTGGTTTTTATAGGTGTCTGCTGCCGACATTTCATCAAATAAGGACGAGGAAGAAAACTCCATGCACAACACAGTGGTGCTGTTCTCGAGCAGTGACAAGTTCACGTTGCATCAGGTTTGAACCGAAATACTCATTTTCCGCTTTTGAACTTGTCTTTGCCCATTTCTGTTCTGTCCCATGTGCACCGAGGTCATCTAATGCTAGCATGAGTGCTAGACCGGCTTAGCAGGCTTCTTTTTAATTAGGAAGCCAGCGGGCAGGTGTATTCTTAGGTTGATCTCCAGTCAAAACAATGTTGGCATGTTCTGATTTCAGGACATGTGCGTGGTATGTGGCAGCTTTGGCCAGGGTGCAGAGGGGAGGCTGCTGGCCTGTTCTCAGTGCGGCCAGTGCTACCACCCGTACTGCGTCAGCATCAAGGTGAGTGCATGTCCTTGTCATTTCCCACTGGCAGCCACTTTCGGGTCCCCAAGCCCTCTCGTGGTGTTTGGATCATTATATGTATGGGGCAGTGCTTTATTTTATTTTACTTTATTTTTTAAAATCCATTTATTTATGGGCCTCCCCAGTGGCGCAGCAGTTGAGCGCCACTCTGTGAAGCTGTCCACAGCCTCTGCAGCACCAGTTCGATTCCCCACCAGCCAGGGAGAACCCCACATGGCGCAGCAGACCTCTCCTGCCTCGCCCGCTGCACCCCTCAGCAGTGTCTTTGGTCCGTCTGCCTATTTTGCTCCCCGCTCTGGCTCTGGTGAATTCTCTCACCCTCCCGCGCTTCTGACCTGTACCCCAGCTCTTGTATAAAATATATAAATCTTTAAAAAAATAATTCACTTATTTATGCATACAAGAGCTGGGGTACAGGCCAGAGATGCGGGGGGTGAGAAGATTCACCAGAGACAGAGTGGGGAACAAAACAGGCAGACTGACTGAAACACACTGCTGAGGGGAGCAGCGGGCGAGGCAGGAGAGGTCTGCTGTGCCATGTGGGTTGCTCCCTGGCTGCCCGGGGATGGAATGTGTACTGCAGAGGCTGCAGATTGCTTCTTAGTGTGGTGCTTAACCCCTTGCGCTGCCAGGTGGGCCCTGGGACAGTGCTTTAAATGTTGCTTTGAAAGTGATTCCTCAAGAAGCTGACTCCTATAAAACTGTGGCCTCAAATTCTAGAGATTATGTACATTTTACATGTGTATTTATTTGCATGATTTTAATTGAGAACATTCTTGATGCTGTAATTTGTGAAGATACACATGTATTTGATTCCTCCCATCGACTGCGAGGGTCTCAGGATTCCCCCTTCCTGGAATCTCGTCATGTTTGTGCAGAATAGCATGGTTTGTCACCCATCGCTGGAGTTCTTGATTTCTCCCACTTTTTCTCTCTGCTTTGGCTTGTCTGGTTTCTATACATTTCCCCAAACTCTGCTACTGTGCAGTGTCCCATCTGTTTTTAAGCCTATCACATGAGTTTTTCAATCAGATAATTGTCTTTTTAACCTCATTTCTATTTTATAGTTTAGTTACCTTACAGGTTTTAATTTTTCCTTTCAATTACTTGTAATATTCGTGGTTGTCTGCTAAGTTCATCATCTCCGACGTTCTCGTGGTAGGTCTTCCTTGCCTTACATCTCGTAATTTTTTATTGAACTGTGGGCATTGTGGAGTGTGATGGTCTGCTGTTGGGAGTCTGGACTTTGTTCCTTCAGAGAATGCTGCCTTTGGCTGTGGCAGGTGGTGTTGGGGATGTTTGAACCTCCTGAAATTTGTCATCTTTTCTGTGATGGACCTTGAGGGCCAGCCCTCCGTGACTTGGCTATTTGCAAAGTTCTTGGTCATAGAATCCTCAACACCTAAAAATTATTGAAGACCTCCTAGATTTTTTCTTTCTGAGATTAATCATTACTGAATATTGTAATTATTGGGAATATTTTAAAACACACACAGCTTGTATGTTGTCAGCATAACGTTGTGATGCATCACAAAGCCGCTCTACAACTTTTGCAGTGAGCAAAGTGAAAAAGACAAGTAACATCTTAGGATTATTATGAAAATAGCTTTGACCTCAGCCGCACCAGGGGCCCCCAGAGCACACTAGTGGTCTGCCTGCTGCTGCTCTGGCACTGGTCTAATGCCATCATGGCCTTTGTGGGGTCTGAGTCTGCTCCCCAGACCCTTCCATCCACTGTGTCTTTTTGCTCTGGTCAACAGCCAGATGTCTTCTGGCATCATGTGAGCTCCGGTAGTTCTCAATGTAAAAACCCTTGTTGTGGGTCCTCGGTTGGCGTCCTAGAGGTGTCGCTTGGCCCTCAGCACAGACTTCGGGGCTCTGTATTGATTCCTGGAACTCTTCCTCACTGTCACGCCTTCCTTTCCAGTAGTCCTCACATTCCAGCTTCCCTGGCCTCCCTGAGCACTGTCGTGTGTCCTGAAGTCAGCGAGGCCAGTGTGCTCTGGTGGAGGTCTGTCTCCCGGGCAGCTTTCTGGAAAATGTCAACAGGCAGAACATCACAGGACTCACTGTGCCTGCTTTGCTCTTGCAGAAACCACAGTCTGGCACTGACTGTTGTCCAAGATCTGAGCAAAACGCTCCATCCTTTCATGGTGCTTCATGATGGAAAGGGTCCATCCCAGTTATTCCATGTAGTGGAAAGAAATACCCACCGTGTAGAGAGAAACAGCTAATGTCATCCCAAGCTTGCCTTCCTCCTCAGCCAGAGGCGGGTGAATTCTGGCAGAACACATCTAGTATAATCGATGGACTCTGGGTCAAACCTAATTTGAAAAAGTTCTTTAAAATAGCCAGTTCAGTAGGAGAAAAAAGAGTTGATAGGAGAGCCCTGAAACCCATAGTTAGAGAGAATCTGATAGTCAAGAAATTGTTCAGAGGCTGATGTTCTGCAGATTGGTCGGGCAGCACGCCTGATGTCGGGGCCAGGGGAGTGAGGGCCTCGGCCGACTGGCGTGAGCCTGAGGCCTGTTCACGTGTGGTGACGAGGGCTGAACAGAGCTGCTGGAGAGTAGGCTGTCAAGGATCACGGGACAACTTGGTAAGAAGATGTGGTGTGGAAAACCTTTCTGCTGTGAGATGCCCTGGTGTGTCTGCTCCATTTGCCTGTCTTCTCAGCAGGGACTGGGCAGCCGCAGCCCAAGCAGAGAAGGCCTCTGCCTGTTTCTGTGAATAAGGTTGCATTGCACGTGCCTGGCGGGTTCCGCACGACTGTGGTCATTGTCCAGCTGTGTGCATTGCAGCGTCCAGAGGGCTTCCTGTTGGCTCCTTTGCAGAGTGGGTTTGCCGGCTGCTTCTCTCTGCTCTCCCTCTGAGGCCTCTCCTCCCATCGGGCAGATGATCGTCATCACTTGACAGTCTAAGCCTGATTTAAAAAGCCAACGGGCTGATCTGCCTCACAGAGCGCACGCTTGACAGTCAGAAGTGTTAGCGGCCCGTGATCCCAGCAGGCTCCCTCTTCTCTGCTCCCTCATCTCCCACTGGCCCCCACACCGGATCCTCCCAGCCTCCCCGCAAGAAGCGGCAAGCTCTACTGGGCGCGAGACTGCTTTCTCTGTGGTAGGTTTTGTTGGCTTTCTGCTGATGAAACATCCCGGTGCCTTGTCTGAGCAGCCTGCCGTGGCGTCTGTGCTGCGTTGATTGGCGTGAACAGTGCTGGCTGTGACTCCGGGAATGTTCCTGGGCCATCGGAGTAGTGCTCTGTGAGTTTTTAACAGCGAGAAGAAAGCAATGGTTTATGATCTTTTTTGAGTTTTGTTTGTTGTTAACCTGCTATAGAAGTAGGATCGTATCAGATGCTTTGGGCAAGGACCTGTTTTGGGGGGGAGCTTCCCAGCCCCTCTCTGCTCCTCTCCCCTGTTCTGATGTGTGCCACTAGCTCCTAAGTCTCCCGCTCAGCCCTCAACCTTCAACCTCTGGACTGGTGTCTGATGTCGGGTTCACTGTTCTTTGGACCCCACATCTCCCTTCTCTGTGGCGTTTGCCCTCACGTTGTTCCCCACCTTCTGAGGAACTTCCCAGAAGGGGTTTTTAAGCTGAATTTTGAGTCCTAGTATGTTTAAAAGGCATTCTAGCAAAACTTCCATACTTAACTGTTTGTGCAGGTGAAAAATTGTGGCCTGCAGAATAATTTTCGGTAGATTAGAAACTGTTGCTTGATACAGCATCCAGAGTAGGATACTTTGATGCCTCTTTGGTAGGTGTTACTGTAACTCTTATTTTTCTCTCAAGTAGGGTTTTAGGCATTTTTCTCCACGATCTGTTTCTGGGTCACCTGCCTTCTCAGCACACGGTCATGGTGTTTGTGGCCCTGTCTCTCTAGCTCCAGGCTTTTGAGAGCCTTCATCTGATTCCAAATTCTTAATATTAAATAGTACGAAAGCTTTGAGGTGTTTTTCAGAAGAACAGAGAGTCTCAACTTTTTCTGCTGATGCAGACTTGAAGCAGAGGAATGGGTGTGAACTTCAGAATCCCTTGCTTCAGAGCCTAAAATCCTCCAAGGTCCTAAGAGGTCCTTGCGAACTCAGGTTTTACCTTGTTTTTAACCAATTTTATATTGATTTAACACATAGTCCTATGCAGTGCACACACATTTCAGAAGCATGAATGTGTGAAACATCATAGGTGAAAGCGCTGTCAGGGCATGCCCAGAGTCACATGCACATCAGATGGACTTGATTCCTTTAAAATACGCCACCACACCTGCAGGGTGGTGGCTGTGTGGACAGGCCCTACTGTCTGGAGTGCTCTTTTTGGGGGTGGGTCCCTGCCAGTGTGAGAACCCACCCCGCGCGGCCGGCCCTTTGCCTGCTTCTTGTGCAAATGCAGCCCCAGACACAGCCTGCATGCTCATGCGCAGTGAGGGTCATGTGAGTCACAGGGTTCTCTCTTCCAGATCACGAAGGTGGTCCTGAGCAAGGGCTGGCGCTGTCTCGAGTGCACGGTGTGTGAGGCCTGCGGGAAGGCCACCGACCCGGGGCGGCTGCTGCTGTGCGACGACTGCGACATCAGCTACCACACCTACTGCCTGGACCCCCCGCTGCAGACCGTTCCCAAAGGAGGCTGGAAGTGCAAATGGTGCTCGAGGACTTCTATCCCCCCTTAGCCTCCCTAGTTCCCAGAGTTCTCACATGAGTTTTTCAAAAATTAGCCACATCGACTTACTTGCATAACGTGTTGATTGTGGTAGATGCCCCTGGCAGGAGACTAGGATGCGCCTGTCGGGCTCATGTAGTTTCTGCAGCAGCAGCCAAGTCAGGAGACTGAGCCGGGTCGTTGCTTTCAGGTGTGTCTGGTGCCGACACTGCGGGGCCACTTCGGCGGGCCTGAGGTGTGAGTGGCAGAACAACTACACGCAGTGCGGGCCCTGCGCCAGCCTGGCTGTCTGCCCCATCTGCTGCCGCAGCTACCGGGAGGAGGACCTCATCCTGCAGTGCAGGCAGTGCGACCGGTATGTCCGTGTGTCCGTTCCATGCCCCCCTCCCCACCCCCCGCTCTGCAGGTGGCAAAAGGGGGCCGGCAAGCAGCCTTCTTCCCTCCCGTGCTGGAGAAAGCGCACTTCTGCTTTCCAGGTTCCTGGTGAGTCAGAGACGCACACACTTTCCTGTCTTGTCTCAATTCCAGACTTAGGATTTTTAACTGGGGATTTTGGCATCACACCCTCTGCCTGCATGGCCCGTCTTTCTCTGGGGTGTTTTCTGTGGAGCATCTTTCTCTGGGGTGTTTCTGACTTGGTTCTGCGGAGGGTCCTCCATGTTCTTTCCTCGGAGGTCCAGATCCTAGCTGTCCAGAGTGGGCGCTGAGCGCCCGCCCCAGGCGCATGCACATGTGACGTCCGAGACGTGACGTCGGTCGTAGCGCAGGTTCTCAGGACTCTGCTTCTGTCCCTGTCCGAAGGCAGGGTCGCCCTGTGATTTCCCCAGACCGTTGGGCGTCACTCTGGTGAGCGGAGGTTGCTCTGTTAGATGTGCTTCCACGTGTGCCCCTGACTCTTCCCACTCCCCCACTCCCCCCTCCTCCCTCACGCCCTGCCCATGTCCTGGGGTCTCTGGGATGCTGGCTCTGCGGATGCACGACACCCACAGCCTCATGTCTTATGCCCCATGTCCCTCCAGGGCTTGTCATTCCTCAGCCTGGAAAGGGCCGTGGGTCAGCAGTAGTGGCTGAAATGGAACTGGGGCGCTCGAGGTGGGGGCTAGTGTCAGATGACGGGGCTCCACACTGCTCCAGAAGGAAACTGTTCTTGAAACACCTCCTCGTTTTAATGTGCTTTTGTGGTCTTTCTAGGTGGATGCATGCGGTTTGTCAGAACTTCAGCTCTGAAGAGGAGGTGGAGGCCGCGGTAGACGTGGGGTTCGACTGCAGCGTGTGCCGGCCCTTCATGCCCCCGTCCAGCGGTGAGGGTGCAGGGAGGCTCAGCCGCCAGCCACGCACCCCCCCCCCCAACCCTTCCTTTTTCCTGAAACTCTTACTTAGGCAGAGTCTTTAATGAAAAGAAGTTATTTTTTGTTATAAATTAACTCTTATTACCCCATTAACATATTGTAACAGTTCACTTATATAAAGGGAGGAGTGAGTTCAGCATGCATTTTAGATAGGAAGTGTAATTTTGTTTCCACAACTCATAGTCCTGTTAGTTACCGACAGTGTGGAAATCCGCTGTGGGTCCTGTATGCTAGTGGGCATGTGATTCCTTCACTACTTCTCCTTATTTCAGAGCCACCCTGTAGCTCTGTTGATTGTTAAAACATTTATTTGAGTAACACAGGTACAGAAGTAAGAAATGTTTCTCACATGTGAGTCTTTAAATGAACTGTACCTTTTCTGAAAAACATGGGCGAATTTTTGTTTTCCATTTCAGTGCCTTCCTCGGACTGCTGTGAATCTTCACTTGTAGCACAGATTGTTACGAAAGTCAAAGAGCTAGGTAAACACTTCACTTGACTGTCTTCACAAAAAAGCCTACAGATGCTTATTGTTTGACATAACTGATGCGCCACACGTCACCTGAAATCTGTTTTGGTGTGGGGTGTTGGGTGTAAATGCCCCCATGGAAGTGGTCATTCCCGGAGTTGATGGTAAAATGTTCTGTGCAGCATTAGTGGCACAAGTTTTCCTTAAGTCTCAACAAACTGGCAGTGAAAATAACGGCTCTTAAAAATACCCATTAACCGCACATATTTGCTTTGGTTTCATTGACATATCACTGGGCTTGGTTTTCATTTGCAGAAAGTAACTGGGCAGATTCCTTTAGAATTAACTCAACCTCTTACTGTTTTCTGGAATAGAGCAGCCTAGAATGCTGAATAACATGATAGCCCTACTAAATACTGTTCTTTCTTACTTCCTGATCTCACTCACCTTGTGCAGGTGATTTGCCATCACTCCCCTGACAGTGTTGGGCTTCCAGGTGGGCCTCTTGGGCATTCGTGGGTCTCCCATGTGGCTGCACCTCAGCCTGCAGGCTGATAGGACGCTCCAGCAGAGACTCACAGTTGATTGACTAAAGCATTGCCTTTAGCTCAGCACTTTCTTTCTAAACCCTTACATGGATACCTGAAAATAGAAATGCCGGGAATTTCCATTTATTAAAAACATGCAACCGTCCGCCTATAGTGCAAGGAAGTGTGGCTGCTTGGTCTGTCTGAGCTAGTGCTGACTGGTAGGTCATGACTCCTGCGCTGTGCGGACAGGGGCGTCAGAGAAGCCACACTCCCTTGAAGTGTGTTTGAAATGCTGATCCACTTACCAGTCAAAACCGAGGTGAGACTTGTCATTTGCATGATTGGGCTGCTGTGATTTTAGATCCACCCAAGACCTACACCCAGGACGGCGTGTGTTTGACTGAATCGGGGATGACTCAGTTGCAGAGCCTCACGGTCACAGTTCCAAGAAGAAAACGGTCAAAACCAAAGTTGAAATTGAAGATCATAAATCAGAACAGCGTGGCTGTCCTTCAGACCCCTCCGGACATCCAGTCAGAGTACTCCAGGGACGGCGACATGGACGACAGTCGAGGTGACCCGTGGCCTTCCTGGGCATGTGTTGGCAGGAGTTAAAGCTTGTAGAGCAGGCCGCCTCCTCTCACTTAGCTCCCTTGAGGTGGTCTGCCCCACTGAGTGAGCGGTGCCTGGGCCTGCACCTCTCCAGGCTTCTCTGCGTCCTTCTGGACAAAGTGGATGGCGGAAATCCCAAGGATCCCAGGGGCACTTGGTGGCTGGGCTTCGGGGAACCGGACAACAGAGCAACCCTGCTTTGCTCGAAACTGGCTAAAGTAGACATTGATCTTCAAGTGGAAGTTAGTAGTCAGATATTCATCATAAACCAGCTGTTTACAAACATTTTCTTGATCAGAATAACGGGATTTTTTTTTTAGCTGAGTTCTGCAGTGTTCAGTGATGATGTGGTAACTTCCAGGTCATTCTTTCCTCCCTTCACATGTTCAATCGCATGCGGTCCTGCTCAGCCTCGAGTGTATTCTTTTTCTTCTCAGAAGATTTTAGCTTTCTTGAAGGTCTCTTGTATGGTCTGGTGGGCTCTTCTTATGTGCTCAGGTCTCTGTTGCTGACATTCCATTAGGTCATCCTTGATGTCGGCCTGATTAAGTGAGGGACCAATACTGGCCAGAGGCGTAACTGCTGGCATCCCTGGAGCTGAGTGGGGAAGCCCCTGAGGGGGCGGGAGTGTCAGCACTGAGTGTGCCTATGTGCTTGGCCCCGTCAGCAGTCGCCGCACCCCTGTCCCACTGAAAGTTGTTCCAGAGCCCCGAGTCTTGCCATTCGGAACAATGGCTCCCACATTTGGGGCTGGGCAGGAGGTCTTGGGGAGTCTGATTTTGGTACCTAATACCAACAGGATTCTCTGTTTCAGCTTCCTCCCACCCATTTCCAGTGCTGCCTGGTTCTGCCAGTTCCTCAGCCTTTTAAGAATTGTGTTATAAATGGGGATTTTTTGTTGTTGTTGTTCTTTTCACTCCGAACTGAGAATTTGCATCTCCTAAGTTAGTTATCATACATCTTTCTGCTTTCTCCTTCCAAAATCCCGTTTTTATAGGTTTATCTTTTGAAAGTTGGTCACATCACTGTTTTTCTTAGGGTTTCGTGAGAGTGAAATTAGATGCATGAATTTAATCTACCATCTTAACCTAAAATTTCCCTCATTAATTATCAGGTGGGTTTCTTTTAAGACAAACACTTGGTCTCTTTGGTGCTTGTTTGGTTTTGTTAAATAAATACATCTTTTTCCTGGCTTAGTCTTCACTATATGGAGCTCTTGTTATCAGATTGGTAGGGAATTGTGCTCAGCCAGCCATCTGATGTCACAAAGAACGATCACTGCTGTGGCAGCACAGGTATGTGTTCGGTGTAACACTTAGAACAGTTGAGAGGAGAACAGTTTAATCTTAAATTACTTGCTAGCTTTGTCTCTGATAGCACAGTGTAAAACACTGCAGCTTGGGAAGGTTTGTTTCAACCACAGTGTTAACATACGTTCTCCTCTGAGCTTGAGCATCTGTATTCACAATGTGCTTTCATGACTGCCTTCTCTCAGTGACATATTTCTTGAACATCTGGCCATGACCATCCTGAGGGTGTGACTGGTGATGAGAGTCTTGATGCCTGTTCCCAGGGAGAGCAGGCTGAGCAGGAGCCTGCCCTTGAGAGAGCAGGGCAGGAAGCTGCAGTGCCGCGCGGGAGTTTGCAGCTGTGGCGAGGCCTGTCTAAATGCCAGGGCTTCTGAGAAAGCCGTGCTCAGACCTGAGTAGCTGGAAGGCAGAGGTTGGCGAAGTATTAGAAGAAAGGACTTGATGCTTTCAAGAAACTAGAGAGCGCCCATGTGGTAGAGGGAAATGAAGCCCAAGAGCCTACAACAGACCCTTGGGATTTGGTCTTATAATTTGGTCTTTATTTTGTGGCCACTGGAAGACATTAAAGGGTTTTCGATAGAAAATTGATCAAGAACTGATTGAGAAGATGGTAAGCTCGGAGGTAGGGGTTGGAGGGGGAGGAAAAGAGTATTGCAGTCAGTCAAAGTGGGACTGACAAGGTAGTGAAGAAAAACATGCTTTCGAGAGATTCTGAGGAGCCTTGATAGTGGGAGAAAAGAGATCAGGAATTGTTAAGGCTGCCCGCCAGGATTCCAGCTTCTTGTTCCAGGGTGACACCTAGGAAGGAAAAAGATTTATCTTAAACCAGTGGTTGAGTGTTGGACGTAGTTTTCAGTAACAGGGTGATACCCAACTGCAGCTTTAGTTGGGGCACAGAGGAGAGTTGTGGCTGGACAGTAGCCTTGGGGTCTTGGGCGTGGAGACGTAATTAACAGCAAGAAAATACTTTGTTAAATACAAGCTGTTGAACAGTCCGTCATACCCACCTCTGGTTCTCCTCTCGTTCGCAAGGGCATCAAGTAGCTTGAGTTCCGTGACCATCTCTTCCCTGTCTCTTCCTCTGCATTCCCTGTTGCCCGGGAGACACAAGCAGGAAGGCTCGGTGCCACTGTGAGGGGATGATTTGGCATCTTATAGGTTTTTCCAATTTCATCTGTGTGTTTGCTTTTTTCTAGAAGGCGAGCTTATGGATTGTGATGGAAAGTCAGAATCTAGTCCTGAACGGGAAGCCGTGGATGATGAAGCTAAAGGAGTGGAAGCAACAGAGGGTGTCAAGAAGAGAAAGAGGAAACCGTACAGACCAGGCACGTGTCTGAGCTGGCATTGCGGATGGTTGCCTTGGGTTTGATTTACGAGAAGTGCAGTGTCGAGGGGTCAGTTAGAACTGATCAGGGTGAAGTACAGTGCTTATTAAACTGAAACTTGGTGTGTATAGATTCAAGAACTGAGCTATTCAAATACGCTTTTTAGGTGATGAATCCCTTTTGTTCGGTATGTGGATACTCCACAATAAATTATTTAATGCCTTATCACAAGCCATTTTAATAATGGTTTACTAAATTGGCTTTTATTTACCCTTGAGTTTTGGAAGTCATTTCTGTTTCACATGATGTGTGCCTTTGCTATTCTTTTTAACTTTTAGCTTTCACTTTCTCATCCTTTGATGTTTTATTAAACCTCCCTCTGCTAATGCAGGAGCACGCACGTGCAGCGCGAAGGGGCAGGAAGGCTCCGTGCCTCCAAGACATGCAGGCCCAGCAGCTCTGCGGCCGGTTTTTGCTCCCTCCGCCTCAGGGTGGGGAGTGAAACTGTCTTGCTCGTTAGACTTTATTTGTAATAAATAAATAAAGCCTTATTGGAAAAAAAATTACTGAAATGAATATAGTGCAGACCTTGGAGGTTTTTTTAAGGCAGTTTATTAATACTTTCCTAGTCAAGAATATGTCCAGTTGCATCTGTACAGTCTGCTCGTATTTCACTGATAGGGCCAAGCGTTCTGTGCATTCTGGTGTGTGAGGACAAACCCCAGAAGGGCGCCTTCACAGAGGGCCCATCTACGGTCAGGACCTAGACTGACTTCCGCCAAGGCATCGTGGAGCAGGACGCATGCCTCTCTTCACTAGGAGGGGAGGGCACACTCACCCCGTGAGACACTGCAGCTTTCTTCTGGAGATTCCTGTTTCCTGGTTGCGATTCCCTTCTCAGCCTCACCCAGAGGTCGCCCTCTGCTTGGGCACAGAGGCTGCTGTTGAATTGCTGTGTCAGGACAGAGCGGTTGGTGACTGACAGGCATGTCGCCAAGCACTTGCCACCTGTGGACTTAGTTTTGAGAACACGTTTGAGGGGCTATGCATCACCCGGCTTTACCGGTGGGGCAAGTGAAGCATTGAGAAGTTTTAAGTAGCTTGCCCAGAGTCAGGTAGGAACTAGCACTGCACAGTCTGGCTCCAGATTCCCTGCTCGCTCTTAAGAGCAGAGCAGTCGATGTCTCGGGTCTGCAGTCTTAACTGGGGAGAACTGCGTCCAGCATCCCCGAGGTCATGCTTTCTTTGCTTGGCTCATCTAATTTACTTGGCCTCCTCCCAGCCGCTGTCCAGATAAGGTGAATGTTGATGTGAGCTGCTGGTATTCATTAAGGAAATCAGTGTCCCCCCGTTCAGCACCTGCTCTGCTGTTGTTCGGGAGAGGACGTGCGTGTGGTGTTTCTCATTCGATGGATTTCAGTCCTGTCTGGTCACTGATAGAGGAAAGACAGTTTTGATGGATTTGCTTCTTCCAAACTTTTGCATTTTGCATGAAACTGTGACGATTGGTTTTTAACGAGCCCATGTCCCACTGTGTTGTTGATGAAGGTAACTCTCTTCTCTTCTGGACAGGTATCGGTGGATTTATGGTTCGGCAAAGAAGTCGAACCGGGCAAGGGAAAACCAAGAGATCTGTGATGAGGAAAGATTCCTCAGGCTCCATGTCTGAGCAGCTGCCCGGCAGAGACGATGGTATGACACTGGCTCGGGGACCTCCCCGTCCTTGGCTTGCCCCTGCAGGAGAGAACGGTCCACTCCGCCACTGCCGCCACCGCTTACTGTGCTCACTCCTGGGAGGCTGGAGCGCCGAGAGCTTGTACCTGTGATGCAGAGCTTGGGTTGGATGATGAAAGGACGTAAATCCAGCACTCTTAACAAGTTTTTCTTCCCATGTTAAATACAAAGTTTAGGGACTAAATCACTTAGTTAGATAAGGTATTTTGGAAGCCTTTACTTAAGCTTTTTGTTTGAAAAAGACAGGGTACCCAGACAATTTTTAACAGAAACAAAATGATGTTTTAGAAATAACATCTTCCAATTAACATTCTCTTGTCCTGCCGTTGGAAAAGAAAGCCGAGGCCTTGCCTTGCCCCGCCCCAGGCTCTGCTCAGCAAGTGCTGCTCCTTTTCCAATCTGCAGGTTGTTCTAATGAAGATCTTGTAACTGGTGTGTGCTGTGTGCTCACAATTTGAATGTTTTATATGGAATGGAAAGAAAAGTGAGGTGTTTTCAGTACGTGCTCTGAACACACCTCTTCCGTCACTGTGGGGTGGCGTTTGACCTGTGAAGTCATAAGAGTGGGAGCAGCATATTGGTTGTAAAGACGTTTCCAGTGTGACTTAGTATGACCATTCCCTGAGATTCCTTTTCACACTTTACCTCTCTGTCTTTATTTTGGCTTCTACATCATTTCAATTCTTTTTTTTTTTTTTTTCCTAGTTGACTATTTTGTTCTTTCATCTGTCTCGCCCAGAGTCACCCATTGAGTTTTTAAATTCCATGTGCAGCCTTTTCGATATTTCAGGACTTTGTAATTTCTCTTTACAGAGTGGTCCTCTAGTTTCAGTTGTCTCTTTCTTCTTCACGTACCTGATTAGAAGATAAAGTAGCTAAGAGCTTTTCACAGCTGACTGCACTCTGCATCTCTTGGCTTGTGTTTGTGTGAGATACATACAAACATATATGTTAAAATTTTTTTTTTTTAAAGATTTATTTATTTGTACAAGCACTGGGTACAGTCAGAAATGCGGGAGGGTGAGAGAATTCACCGAGCCAGAGCGGGGAACAGAACAGACAGACCATCGAAATACACTGCTGAGGGGAGCAGCGGGCGTGGCAGGAGAGGTCCGCACGTGGACCCTCGCCGGCGGCCAGGGATCGAACCGGCACTGCTGCAGGCAGCTTTGCAGCCCAGCGCTCAACCGTTGCGCCACCGGGGGGGGGGGGGGGGGGGGGGGCGTTGAGGACTGAATGGAAGGTGGGTTGTTGTTTCAGAGTGTGCACTTGTTACTGCCAGGAATAACAGCTGCCGTGATTTGCACTTGATTCTTAGCTTGGGGTTTTTGATTCACCTATGCTATTTACATATAAATTCAGGTTCCTTAAACATTTTTGGCCTGTACTGAGTTTGAATTCTCAGGAAAGATTTTAATTTTTTAAATATTTTGCCTTTCTACCTGTCACCGAATTCCGTGACAAGATAATGATGCCGTTTGCTAGTGATGGAACGGAGTGGGAGGTGGGGGTCAGTGACGCAGGGTAGACCGGTGTCCCCCAGGGTATATTCCTTGTCAAGCCAGCCCTGAGCACCGAGCCCACCTGTGTGAGGAGCACCTGTGGCGGAGCAATCCACCTGGAGAGGGACCGTGATGCCTGCCTTCTGCTCCCCTCTTGGAAGGCTCTGAAAACTCGAACTCAGAGTCACTGGATTCAAGCAAAATTTTGAGACCTGTCTGTCTTTGTTTCCTGCTTGCTTGCTTTTGGCCTTTGAGGACTATTTTCTGGCTAGATTACTGGTCCCCTTACAGATAATATGTTAGAAACATTTACCTATCATTTCTAGTCATTTTCCCAGGTCACTTCACCTGTGCAGCCCAGGGCTGTGTGGGCAACTGCAGGAGGGGTGTGTCCTCTGTCCCCTATGCAGGAGAGCAGCATCCTTGCCCTCCTGCCCCCTTTCTGTGGTGTATTTGCTTCTTTGCTAATTTCTTTGTCTGGAATTTTGTTTTCTTTTCACTGATTTTGAGATTGAGCATTGATAGCACATGTGTGAGGATATTCACGTAGACCTGTGTTATTACAGTATGTGTTACGCAAATACTGAGTTTGCAGTACATCCTCAAATGGGAAGTTGGTGGATTGTAAGATATACCTTCTAAAAAGGAGTTTTCTTGGATATTCCCAGTTAACGCCTAGAAGGTCGTACCCACTAAATTTCCCTGCCTGGCCTGGACAGGCAGCCTCCCAGATACTCGCGAGTGCTGGGTCTTTTCATTTTTTTAATCTGTAATAAAGTATTGAAGTTTAAGGGGGAAAAAAAACCACATTCTGCTTTGTAAGGAAATAGTTATCGGCGGGCAGTAGGCAGGTGTGCCAGTGCTGTTGACATGGACGTGAATGAGCTTCCTATAAAAATTCACACTCACTAATAAACTGGCTTTGGGACATCTCTGGGAAAAGTTTTGCTTGTCTTTGTGCTGCTCAGCTTACCATCAGCCCCGTTGATGTCAGTGACATCTCAGTGGAGCTGGCAGGAGAGAAGAGAAGGCTTGTTTGCTTTTATGGAACTGGTGTGTGTGTTGTTGTTAAATATAAAATTACTCCGGGGTGGGCCTCCCCTGGTGGCACAGGCAGTTGAGCACCGCGCGTGAAGCTGTCCGCAGCCTCTGCAGCGCCGGTTCAATCCCGGCTGGCCGGCGAGGATCCCACGTGTCGCAGCAGACCTCTCCTGTCTCTCCTGCCTCTCCTGCTGCTCCCCTCAGCAGTGTGTTTCGTCAGTCTGCCTGTTCTGTTCCACACTGTCTCTGGTGAACCCACGCATCGGGCCTGTACCCCAGTTCTTATATGTATGAATGAATGAATGAATGAATAACTCACTCTGGGGTGGGTTTGTCTGAGCTTTTTCAGGGCCACAAATTCATAGCTGTGAGTTTTTTGCAGGCTGGAGTGAGCAGCTACCAGATGCTCTAGTTGATGAACCTGTTTCTATTACTGATAACACTGAAAAAATCAAGAAGAGATACCGTAAGAGGAAAAATAAGCTTGAGGAAACGTTCCCTGCCTATTTACAGGTAATATTTTCTTTATAGTATATTACTTTGGTCATGAAAGACATGTAATGTATTGAATTTTGAAAAGTAGGTTTGTTTTTATTGATATTTGTTTTTAATTAACTGTCATAAATGTCACTTTTACCTTTCAGGGCTCTTAAAATTAGGGCATCATTTTTGTGCTTTTGATTCTTGTCCCCACGTTCTTATCTCAATTTTCACTTCTTAATATCTCATCAGACCTACAAGCACACTGGGCTGGGAAAGCTTTTCCACCCCAGGCTCCCCGTGCTCTCTGCGCTTCCGGGCAGGCCTGAGCCACTGCTGGTGGCTCGGCCCTTTGGCTCACTGAGCGGAGAGCAGCTTCAGCCCCCGGCTTGGCTCTCCCGATACCCTCTGCTTTCAGGGACGCAGTGAACCAAAGATATGAGCACAATTGGTTTTGTTTTCTAAGAGTTACACCATAAAAATATGAGATTACATTTGATAGACACAGATGACATGAAAATTAAAATCTTCCTAGTTCACTGTAAACATCAGGCCACAGGAGAGTTCAGAGGCATGGGATGGTGTGGGAAGAGCTCTGTGTCAGAAACCGAACTCAGCGGTCAGCGGCCCCAGGCTGTGACCTTGAAGCTCCTCCTTCCTGGGCCTCTGTTACTGCGTGTGCGGAAAACAAGTTGGTACAGACGGTCATTGATCATCCACCCCAGTCTCGCTGTGATGGCTGGTCTGGTTTGACTCTCCCACAGAAGTGCCTCGTCATGGCTTCTGTGGCCTTGGTGGGTTCTTTCAGCCTTATATTTCCCCTGAGCTGCTACTCATTAAGTTGGTTTTAAGATGATTTCAATTAACACCAACTTCCCTCAATATTCTTTTTTTTACTAATTGGGAATATAGAAGCCAAACATTCGGGTACTGTCTGCGAGCACAGTGGGCCCACTGTTGGGACACAGCCAGCACCCCCAGGCTAGTGGAGGTCGTGGCCATCAGTCCCCTCTGCTGCCGCTCACCTGTGTGTCATTTTTTAATATCACCCTGACTCGGTGTTCTCATCATAAAATTGTGACCATACCTACTGTACATTTCAGAAATGTGTTCTGAAAGGTGAAGTGAGAATTGCCTGTTTGTACAGTACACTTTTGCGCCTTACATGTTGCTGTTAATGTTGTAATTTCTCCCTTCAAAAGGCCCTTTTTTTCTAGCCTATGACAGTAATTTTATTGGTCAGGAAATAGACCATTTATTATTTGTATTTTCTTTAATTGCATCTTGTTTGTTGCCGCCTACTCTACTTTCTGCTTTCTCCTTAACGGTCCTTCCTGGGAGGATCGAGACGACACTCACAACTCACCCTCCTCCCCCTGCTCCTCCTGGCGACCCTCCTGAGCAGGTGGTCTGTGTCTGGGAAGCTGAGTGCAGCTGTTTCTGAAGGTGTGAAAACTGACCATTTTACGCTTTGGCTAGATACCCCTTGGAAATGGTGGGCCTGGCTTCCTGACCACGCTGAGGCCGGAGTCTGGGGCGTGGGCCCCTGGGCTGTGGCCAAGGTGCCGGGCGTCCCTTGATCCTGGGAAAAGTTTTGCTTGTCTTCGTGCTGCTCAGCTTACCGTAGGCCCCATGCTCCTCGGCAGCACTGTTTCTCGGACATCTTACCATGTCAGTTTGATTTTCCCACATTGGTTGGGGAAGTGGTGACAGCTCACAAGCAATTCAGTGACAGGTTTTAAGCTTTTTTCCTTCATTGATCACAACAGTAACCAGATCAACTATAAATCAATGTATCATCTTCCCAACAGTAGAAACGCTTGTGCCTCTTCTAATAGTGTGGCCCTGAGTTCTACCGTCTCCACTTGCTTCTTGGAGTCACTGACCACATAAGCCTCCTAGAAAGGAGTGGCGATGCTCCTTTATGTCAGGACCAGGGGTGGGCTGGCTCAAGATAGTAAGAGTAATATAGTTTTCACTGTATTATAGCACTAAAAATCACCTGAACCCATTTAAAGAAAAATTCTCGCTCACGGTGGTCTTAGATTTCTTGAATTCATGATGAAAGCAGCGAGCGAGCGATCTCAGCTCTTTCACCCATCTCCTGATGACAAAGTCATTGCTGGTGTGAGAAACGGGCCATGCCCACACCATGCTGCAGCCTGTGGCACTCAGGTCATCCCAGGCGTCCACGAAAAAGGCAGAAAATTTCCATTCAAACACAGCTTCATCTCTGCCCTCCTCTTCACAACCCTGCTCTCAGTTCCTTTTCAGAGTTAGCATTGCTGGCAGTTTGGTGTATATCATTTCAGGACTTTCAAAAAATTCCATTTCTGCACACACCACAGTCTTGGTTTGTTTTTCATGTTCTGCACATATCCAACTTGCTTTCTTTGTATTCTGCATTTTAGAATAAAAAAAAATACTGCGGTGTATTTTATTGTGTGGGCGTCTGTGATTTCTCCAGTCACTTGCCTTGGATTAGACATGAGGCTGTGTATACTTTTCATTGTTAGAAACATGCTGCTTGCACCTTCTTGTGTGTTTCTTTGGCAAGAATGTCGTAAATGCTGACAGTTACTGCTGAATCATCCCCTACGAAGAATCCCTTTTCCAGACAATACCTTGTAGAAGTAGACTAAGTGGAGTTGCCTGAGTGAGTCAAGGGAAGTGAAAGAGGACCCAGGTGCTGTCTCTTCTCTACGTCATTGGTCCTCAGAAAGTCTCAGGCAGACTCAAGCTGTAAGGACCCCGTAAAGTGCTGATCTCTACAGCAGAGAGAATATATTGAAGTGAAGAACTCTCAGTACAAGTAAATGAGCAAAAAGCCAAGAGCCTTTAATAGCAGTAAATTTTTGCACATGTAATATGGTGAAAATGACTGATAAAACCCTCTTTCGGATTTATAGCATGTTAAACCTCTAATATGGTTAAATGAATTGATATGAGATCAGTAAATCTACCGAAGATATGTAAATATTAAAGCTGTAGATCAGACACTGGGATACCCCCCAAGTCATCTGACGTTATTAATATTCATGAAGCTTTAGTTTTTGTTACAAGATGAATCAATGTGCCAATAGTATTATAAAGGTATCAATTTTTAATTTAATCGTGGTATAAATCTGGAGTTCTTTATTATTTTGCTGTCACTAGAAACAAAATTGTGTGTGTTTTTTTATTTGCATAATTTCATTTGTGTCTAGTAAAACTTAAATTGGGCCTCCCCTGGTGGCGCAGCAGTTGAGCACTGGGTTGCGAAGCTGCCCGCAGCCTCTGCAGCGCCAGTTCTATCCCTGGCCGCCAGGCGAGGGTCCCACATGGCGCACAGACCTCTCCTGCCACCCGCTGCTCCCCTCAGCAGTGTACTTCATCAGTCTGCCTGTTCTGCTCTCCCCTCTGGCTCTGGTGAATTCTCTCACCCTCCCGCGCTTCTGACTGTACCCAGTGCTTCTATAAATAAATAAATCTTAAAAAAAAAAAATAAGGCTAGGGCAAAAAAATAAATAAAACTTAAATTATCTCATTCTTAAAAAAGGGGACTTTATATAAAGGAATTGACAAGATATTTCCATATTGTTTGTCTATTTCTAAAACTCAGTTTCAGTACTGTGCATGCCAAGCTTTTTTGTTACTCCTGCCTTATCAAAAATGATGACAGAAGTGTCTGTTGTCATTTTAGAATTTTATATCTAAATCATTTTAAAATGTGCTTATCCCTAGGAAGCTTTCTTTGGAAAAGACCTTCTTGACACAAGTAGACAGAACAAGCTAAGTTTAGATAATCTGTCAGAAGATGCATCTCAGCTTTCATATAAAACAAACATGAACGCAAACTTCTTGGGCCCTCCCTTAGACCCACTGCTCAGCTCGTCCTCCACCCCGGCGAAGCCTGGAGCGCAAGGTACGTGGGCTCCCATCCCGCCATGTGATGTTCATCCTCCTTGTTACTGACCTTGACATGCTTTCGTTTGACGTCATGAATCTTTAACATCAGCTTCATTGAAGCATGGCAATCAGTAAATACAAGCATTTTAATTGTGCAGATCTGTAAGATTTGGCGAATTCATTCATCTGTCACTAGCCCCAAATCAGAAGTTGCAAAGGAAAATGTTTGGTTTGTACTGCCTGAGACGGACGAGTGTGAAGGGCTGTGGTTGGTGAATTAGGAGTATATAGCCTTCAGGGTGAGCTAGATCTTGGTTAATTACATAGGGATTCAAAAGCGGTATTGAAGAGTGTCAGCATCGGCGCTTGGCTGGGTGGCTGCTAATGAGGGGCTGTGGCGCCATGAGGACTGCTGAGAGGCATCTCATCCTTGGCTTGTCACCGTGACCTGCTGTGTCTCCAGAGAGGATGACACACCCCTGGCAGCAGAACCACCCCGCTGAGAACCGGTGCCTATAGGTCATGCCTGTGGGGACTGGTTGGAAAGGGGGAAGTGGAGCTGAGGACATTTTTGTGTTTGTGAAGAAATATCAGCGTCAGCTGGCCACAGTCAGCTCAGTGATGTAGCACTTGGGATCCAGGCTTTTCCAGGATTTTTCTGCATTAAGTTAGTGTTTTTTTGACAAATTTCTCTTAATTTTATGAACTCAATTTGGAAATAGCCAGCCTTATCTCAGAGGAGGCCTTACAATATCTGAAATTGTTACAGCTCTATTCACATAGCATGATCCTGAGTTGAAACTCGGGCTTTTTTTTTTTTCTTTTCTTTTTTTTCTTTTTTCTTTAACTTCTGGAATAATTGGGGCAGCCTTGCCCCTGGTGTATGTGAGCAGCCAGGGAGTCAGGCCCCAGACCCTCAGCGGCGCTCTCTGTTCTGGCTCAGGGTCACCGTGCTGTCCCTTGAGCTTGCTGTGGTGGGTGCTTTCCTCCCCTCAGCCACGTGAGCGTGGTGTGGGTGGTTGTGGGGGGGGCAGGACGTGGCACCGAAGACCCCAGGCCTCCAGGGGTGTCTCTGTCTGAAGGGTGTCATCTTACGGAGGTCCTGACCACCATGTGAAGACTTACAGGAGTTATATGCACTTGCATTTTTTATAATGGGGGACGTATAAGTGATGACTTTCTGTTGTTTGTTTTAACATTCCTGTCAATACATGCCATTACAGCAATTTTAATGATTGTTTAATAAGATATAAAATCCCTTACTTGAGGTTAGGGGCCAAGTTTTCCAACATGGTCTTTCAAAAAGGTTATCTAAATTTGTGCGGTAGAATTGCATTTGTTCAAACCAGTCACAGTAGGTGACCCCGCAGAGGACCATTCGGAATATTTTTCTTCCAGGTGAACTGTTACCTAGAGAATATATTACTGAAATCACTTTTCCAAAAGGTTTATTAATATTTGGATATAAAAATTCACATTAGCTTCCGTTTTGAAAAAACAGTGTGTTTGATGAAGCAAGGTGCTTTGTGTCTCACCAAGACTGCTGACCTGGAGTCTCAAGTCTTCATTTTAATTGTATGCCCCCCACCCCCAAGAGCACTTGAAGTGGATTAAAAAATCAGTTGTTCCCTTGTTACTTTAATACAATTAGTAAACAAGTGTAAATATTTTCCTACTTGATTGGGCCAGAGTCCTCCTTGACTTTTCATTTTCTCACATTCCACACTGAACATACTCACAGATGGGTCTCTGTTCCCACGCCGCCTTCCATTCCAGGCAGCAACACTGCTGCTCGCCACACCCCAGGCCTGCCCCCTGATATCCAGGCTTCCCATCCCAGGCCTCCCCCGCCCAGCTGCCTCGGGGGGCGCCTGAAGTGCTTTCACAAGGAGCAGCCTCACAGTGGGGCTGCCTCCCACGTTTCATTTCCTCGATGCCACTTGTGATGATTTTATTGGCTTTGTCTCTTGTCCCATTCTAGTCCACTGTTGTTGCCTGGGTGTTCATTTCAAATTTTATTTTATTGTTCATGTGCATTAGCAAAAACAGTGTAGTCGTTTTAACATGAAAATACTGGCGTGACTTTTCTATGAAATATTCTTTCCTATAGAAGTAAAAGTCTTAACTTAGGATTCTAGCACTTACCCCAGCTGCTGCTGTGTTCCAGATACTTAGTAACCAGTTGAGTGAGGGCAGGGCATTTGAGAATTCAATGTCTAGGAAAATTTGAAATTTAAAATATGTACTTTTTATATGTAGGTACTGCTGATGACCCTTTAGTTGATATATCTGAAGTCTTAAACACAGATGATGACATTCTTGGAATAATCTCAGATGACCTTGCAAAGTCAGTTGATCATTCAGGTACTTATGGACACTGATGCCCATGAATGTTCTGTGGTCGGGGCGGGGTGGGTGTGTGAATGTGGAGCAAGCTTTAGTCCTTTCTCCAAAGTGAAAGTGTTTTCTGGTGTGGTCCAAGAGCTCGCTTTATTCGCTCTCTGCGGGTTTCCTGCTGCTGGAGGGGGATAGCCAGGGTGACAGTTTCTGTGTCTTCCCACCTGCCTCGGAAACAGGCCCACTGCCTGGACGGCGCGCAGCATCTTGCTGCTGCTTTGGCTGCATGGTCCTCTCTCCCCACGCCCATGGTAACAATTCTATCTGGTTTGGGTCCTGTAGGTCTTGATTTATGCACTTTCCAGGTTGAGAGCTCACCTCTTCCATTTGGTAAGACACTGAGCGGTGGATGACGGCTGAGTAGACGTAGTCTCTAGTGGTTTCAGCCAAGACAGCCCGTAGGTGCATGCTGCTCGTCATAGTGCTAACTGTCACTAATCCACATGTGGCTTTCTTATCCTGCTCGCAGCTAGAGGTGGTACTGGGCTGGGCCACAGCCTCAGTAGTTGTTTATTTTCCCCAGTGGTGGTTACATTCTTGTTAGTGTGTAACATTACAATATTACCCAAATGTAATAGAGGCTGTTTCAAGTACAAGATTAAATAAGAGCAGATCAAAATCGTACTTCTTTAATCGTAGTGATATTAAGGAAGCATGAAAAAAGACAATATATGACAGATCACTTTTAAACCCGTGCTTAAAAACCAACTCCTGCAGACCAAGCGTGCTGTGTGGTAAATTTGATCTACATCTTGTTTTGTGACTATAGAGTAGGCAGAGATGTGATCTGTGCTTGTAATTATTCATAGAAGGACAATGTTTATGAAACTTAATTGGGGATTTTAGAACTTTCCATTAATTAGTGGGAATGTATCCATTCTGTTTCACATACTGCATTTAACCATGGAACTATAGGTTGATATTGCTATTTCCCAAGTTAAAGCAATTATATAACAGGTTGAAATCTTCTCATTGATGTCTGTCTTGATGTAGTGTGCTTTTTTACTTTTAATTGGTGTGGAAATTAGCAGTTAAGAACCAGAAGTGTTCTTTGGTTCCTGAGGAGTCCATTTACTGTCACCTAAATATAACAGCCAGGACCCATGTTGGCACCTACACTGGGCCCAGTTTTTACTGATTCGCTGTCCTGGCTGACTGGGGCTCCCAGAGCACTTTGCTGTGTGCTGGCCACCGCTGTACATGTTGTATTCATGCCCGGAGATCGTGTGGCCGTCTCGTGGGAGTTTTGGGGCTCACTTTTAACCTCTTGACCTCGCTTCTTTAGCTGGACTAGACATCGGGCCCGTCGCCGATGACCCCTCTGCTCTGCCTCAGCCGAGCATCGGTCCGAGCTCACGACCGCTGAGTGAAGAGCAGCTCGATGGGATCCTCAGTCCTGAACTAGACAAAATGGTCACAGATGGTAAAATATTTGCCCTACATCTAGGCTTTCTAAAAGACACACGTAAATATGATTTTTGAGGGTTTCTGCATGCTTATTTAGAATTTAACTTTTCTGATAATTTCTGTCAAATAAGTGCTGTTTTGTACCAGGAGGTTGAAGTTGTATTTAATCTTTGCATTTCTTTCTTTTACCGTAGGAGCGATTCTTGGAAAGTTATATAAAATTCCAGGTATTTATTTGTGTTCTGATATTTCAGTTTATGAAAACGGCATGCCCCATGCGATGGCTGAGGTAGTATCTGACCTTTACCCTTACAATGTCCCCTCGCAGAGCTTGGCGGGAAGGACGTGGAAGACTTGTTTACGGCTGTGCTCAGTCCTGCCGCCGCCCAGCCAAGCCCCTTGCCGCAGCCCCCTCCTCCCCCTGCGCCACAGCTGCTGACCTTGCACAACCCGGGTAGGTCTTCGGGCAGCTCCGCGAGCATGTTTATGTTGGGGGAGGCGGGGTAGGACAATGACACTGTTTGATTCAGTGTATAGGCATGAAGCAGGGACAGTAAGACGTGGGGAAGTGACCCTGTGTGGAGGTTCCCTGAACGCACACCGCTTTACCCTCGGAGTAGAGTTGGCGTCCTGGGAGGCTGGGCATGGGTCCTGACCCCATGGGCCTACCACTGCTGGCGAGGAGCAGGGCGAGTCCTCACCTGGAAGTAGGCGAGACCCTGGGACAGGCCTGTAGGCGACATGTTTCCTCCTCCTCGAGGACAGCCCGCCTGCCCACCTAGCACCCCAGCCATGAGAGCACCGGCTTCAGGGGAAGGTGGGAACCCTGTCATATGGCCAGACTGCGTGCTTGGCTCTTGCTCTCCTTAGAGCATCGTGGAGACCAGGCACTGACCACCTTGGGCATGGCTCTATTGGCATGGGTTTTTGAAGACACCTGAACACAGTGTACATTTCTGCTGAAAAACTGCTTGAATGAGGACAGATGGCTTATTGCCAGAGCTTAGATGAGTAGACAGTGACATCAGGGGTCGGAGTTTTATGCTTGAGAATTATGGGGAAACACAGGTCGGTTTTATTCTGGAAAGAAGATGATAACGGTTATTGACGCTTGTGAATGAGCTGGAGTGCATCTGGGGCCAAAGTTGCAAGTAGATAGATAAAATAGAATGTATTTTTAACTAATCATCTAATAGGTGATGGTAGATGAACTACTGCTTGTTATTCCAGACTCTTCTAGGGAAGGCGCCAATTTAAGAGTTACCCATCGATTTTTTTTTTTTTTTTTTTTTTGGTCTTAGCAAATACAAGAGTCAAATATAAGGAATTTTGTAAATTTTGAATGAAGGCATGAAAGAGTATTTGATAAAACTTGCTGATTTGGCTCATAGAGCTGATGGGCACTGCCACCCAGGTGCTGTGCTGGCAGCTGACCAAGGTTGCTCAGCCACATGGCCAGCATCGTCATTTACAAAAACTGTCACAGATTCCACTCGTAATGAGTAAGATTCAACCCCAGGGCTGTCAGACTCCAAGACACAAACATTTCCAGTATACATCTACCACGATGAAGTAAACAGAATTACAGGAGCCTTATTTCAGAATATTAAAACCAAGGGTCTCCCCGGTGGTGCAGCGGGTTGAGCAAAGCGCTGTGAAGCTGTCCACAGCCCCTGCAGCACCGGTTCAATTCCCGGCCGGCCAGGGAGGTTCCCACATGGCGCAGCAGACCTCTCCTGCCTCGTCTGCTACTCCCCTCAGCAGTGTACTTCAGTCCTTCTGCCTGTTCTGCTCCCTGCTCTGGCTCTGGTGAATTCTCTCACCCTCCTGTGCCTCTGGCCTGTACCCCAGTGCTTGTATAAATAAATAAATCTTTTTTAAAAAAAAGAAAGAATATAAAAACCAAGTCACTCTTTAAGCAGTATTTTACAGCATAATATTGACTAAAGTCCCTACTCTCAGGTAGCATCTAAATTTTCGTTTAGATGTTTTTCAGTTGCTTTTTTATTTATGAATATATGCAAACTGGATTTTCTTCTTTTTTATTTTAAGATGTCTTTTCACGGATGCCACTCATGAATGGCCTTATTGGACCCAGTCCTCACCTCCCACATAACTCTCTGCCCCCCGGAAATGGTTTGGGGACTTTCTCAACTGTAGCACAACCCCCTTACACGGACACCAGGTACTTCGGGACCTTGACTTTCCATGGCCACGTAGAACATAGTAACTTCATTCTAAAGATGTTATTTGGTCTGTTTAAATGACTGCATGTGATACTAGTGTGTGATATGTTGACTATGATCTTTGCTAAAAGTCATCAGACATTGAGCTGATGAGCGGCTTTGATGATCGTGTACTTGACCATGGCCTTAGAAAGTTACTTCTTGTGTGTGAAGTAAAGGTATTTATTATTTTCCAGGGATAAGAATCCAGTATTTACTCCATTGACAAGCGACCCTACCAGCTCTTGGGCGTCACCCGCTGCCACCCTGGAAGGAGAGAGTGACACCATGTCCAACGCCCAGAGGAGCACCCTCAAGTGGGAGAAGGAAGAGGCTCTGGGCGAGATGGCAACTGTAGCTCCAGTTCTCTACACAAATATCAACTTCCCCAACCTAAAGGAAGAGTTCCCTGGTAAGGTGCCCTGCATCGGTGCTCTCTGTCGGCCTCTCTGCCACGTGCTGACCTTGCATGGTTTTGGTTTCACTGAATGGGGAGTCCATGAGGCCTTGTACATCTGCACCTAGTGTGAACGTGCAGTGTGAGGGTTCTGATGATGCTTGGAAACAGCTTGCCTTTCCTCTGTCTGAGGCACTGTGTGCATTTGCATGTTTCCCAAAAGTTAATTTCAGTTAATGAAATATCCATTTTCCAGCGCCTGGCAGTCTTTATACTTATGTGGACATCAGTGATACATTACTGTAAGTGCAAATCTAGGGGAAAAAGTTGTAGAACAAAAACCAAAAAGTACTAAGTTAGGCCAAACCAGTCAGTTCTTAGCATTGGTCCCTTTGAAATTAGCTCAGTGTTACCGCTCCTCTCCCCAGCTGTCCAGGCTGTTTGAAAGAAGCAAAGGGTACAGGGTACTGTTATTGAGAATTCTGATTAACCAAAGGATGAAATACTTGGATTCATGAAATGCCACTTACATAACAGTTGGGAGCACATGCTGGTTCTTGTGAGTTCAACATGAGAGAGTACCCAGGCTGGGGGGTCGCTCACTCTGCCCAGGGCTGACACTGTCCTGCAGTCACTTCTGTCAGCACTCAGCTCTTCTGTGCTGCTGGAGGGTAGGGGTTGCTCTGGACTTCTTAGGGAGAGGCCCATCTTCCATGCTTTTTAAAGTTTGGTCTGCTAGTGGCACTTTACTTGTTATGCATAGAAATAAGTCCAGCGCTGCCTTATCTAACTTAAGAGACCAGTGGTTTGTACAGAAATAAAGCAAATTGCAGATTCTTCAAGCTTGTTTTTACACGGTGAGCTCTTACCAGAGCACAGCGGGTTGTGTTAAGTCACTTTGTGTCAGTGCAAATGGTTCCAAGAGCAGAGCTGTAGTTTTTGTTGTTTTTTTCAAAGTTGCTTTTTTCTTGTACTTTGTGATTCCAGAATCTCATGAAACCTCTTGCTAATAAGGCTGTTGGCTTATCAACTGATTTCTACTTTTATTGACTTTCTCAAAGGTTTATTTTAATAGACTAAATAGTTTTTAATTGTCATTCACCTCTGTTCTCAGGCAAATTCATGTAATAGTCATGACACCGAATTTCATAGAAATGGCTTGAAATCATTCCTTTTCTGTGTCTTCCTTCTCAAGGAAGGAAGTGAGGGTCTTATTGATAATTAAGATTATTTCCTTTTAGCCAAATAGACTTCTTTTAGAACAGATTCTTCATGAAGCTATCAGCTTTGGTTCTGGTAGCATCTCTGTGGTTAAGAGAATTTTCTTGTCATAATTTATCTGCTTTTTAATTTAGTTTAAAAACTACCCAACATTACATGCCAGATTGTTAAAGCAGTAAACATCATTCAGAAAATACTTGTTTGCCCTCCGAAGTTAATATATTACTACTCATTAAAATTACCTATCAGCAGGCCACCAGTTCTTCTGTTAACCACATCATCAGTGAGACTCAGTAAATATGCTTGGTGTTCTTACTTTGCAGACTGGACGACTAGAGTGAAGCAAATTGCTAAGTTGTGGAGAAAAGCAAGTTCGCAGGAAAGAGCACCATATGTGGTATTTAAGAAATTTCTGTGTCTTTATCTTTAAACACACTACCTAAATCTTACTGCTGTTGCCTTAGCTTATAAAAAGGTGGTTTCCATTTCAGAAAATCTTAAAATATGTTAAGATTTGGCACAACTAATAAATAGTTTTGTTTTTATGCAACTCATTAGTATGTGACATTTTAAGCTAATTAACAGAACTAGGATATTGAAGATTGAAATTAGTATGATTAATTCACTTTAAAATTATTTTCTCTTTGAAAAAATTCTAAACTTGGAGGCCATATGTGCCTCTGTTTCTTCCTCAATAAGCTGCTCTTTGTATTAAGTTTTATAAAGATGCATATTATCTAGACCAGACCTTCAGAGGAACTCTTGAAGCTTGAACCTACCAGGAGTTACCAGGGTGTTTTATAAGATCCACAAGTCATATGGTAAATTGTTTCCTCCCAAAGAGCCAACTCGTCAGCGGCTTCAAACCCTGGTGCTTTCATTTTAAAGCACATGAAACCTACACTCTTATTAGGGAAGTGCACATGGTCCTTTCCAGCTTTGTCTTGGCTGCCTGTGTTGTCCATGGGCGTGATGGCCAAGATAAAGCAAAAAAAAAAAAAAAGCTTGATGTGTTGATAATGGTTTTGTTTTCATGACAGGCTAATGTAGTCAGATAATGATAGGCTATTTTTAGTGTTTCTCAATGATTTTCTTTAATGTTCAGTGTAATATTCCCGATTTTAGATGTGGAGGATTAATTTATGCTTGCCTTTTCTCTAAAATGACATAGATGTTAAGTTTTCCATTTTTGAAAAGTCTTAAGAAATCTAAGATTGACAGCACCATGACCACATCTTGGTTCCGTTCGCCTGGTCAGACGTGGAAACCCCCTCCTTGGAGGCAGCAGCCGTGGCTGGATAGCCAGTGGCTCTCAGGCCCCATCCAGGGGATTAGCTCCTTGCAGCTGTCAAACTGGGTTTTTCCTGGCTCATTCTGTGATAAAATTCCCCAGTCTTTGTTTTTATTTCTTAAAGCATGTTAATATACACTGGGAGATAATTTTCCTCTCCTTTTTTTTAAAGCAAAAAGCCAGAGATAACAGAGCTGCTTTGCGTATTAATAAAGTGCAGATGTCAAGTGACCCCATGAAAAGGCAGCAGCAGCCGGACAGCGTGGACCCAAGTTCTCGTATCGACTCGGATCTTTTTAAAGATCCATTAAAGCAGCGAGAGTCGGAACATGAGCAGGAATGGAAATTTAGACAGGTGTGTGGTGTCTTTTTAATTTGCTTTTGCAAATTACCTTTTTGCTTTTTGAGATGAGAGCTATTTGTTGTGATTTTAAAATATAGTTATTATTGGAATGTAAACACTGACTGAAAACAGACCACTTCCCATCTCAGTAAAGTGCACTGAATTTGGCTGAGGACATTTATCGAGCTGTCCTCACTGCCCGGGACCTGCAGGAAGTGACCTGAGGATACCAGCCTCAGCCCTGGAGGAATTTGTACCTGTCAGAGGAGCAGTCTGGTGGTGGCTGACATCAAACACATGAACTTTTTTTTTTTTTTTAAATAATAAATTTTATTTTTATATTCCCCATACAATTGCAGCCCCCCCATTCTGACCCCAATCCCTCCCCTCCCACCCCCGCCCCCCTAAAAGTGTCTCTGGTTCGTAGTTTTTTGTTGATTTTGATTTTCACTTTCTTATAGTTATTCGTTTTCCTGGTCCCTTATTTAAGTTTTCTAGATTCCTGCTATGAGTGAGACCATCCGGTATTTTTCTTTTTCTTTTTGGCTTATTTCGCTGAGCATGATCCCTTCCAGTGCCATCCATGTTGCTGCAAATTGCATGTGTTTATCTTTTTTGATTGCTGAGTAATATTCCATGGTATATATGTACCACATCTTCTTGATCCAGTCATCTATTTTTGGGCATTTGGGTTGTTTCCAAAGCTTAGCTATTGTAAACAGTGCTGCTATAAACATAGGGGTGCAGGTGCTCTTTGGAATTGATGTTTCTGTGTCCTTTGGGTAAATACCTAGGAGTGGAATTGCTGGGTCCTATGGAAGCTCTATGTTTAGTAGGTCCAGAAATCTCCACACAGCTCTCCACAGTGGTTGGACCAGTTTGCACTCCCACCAACAGTGCAGAAGAGTTCCTTTTTCTCTACACCCTCGCCAACATTTGTTGTTGCTAGTTTTTTTAATATGTGCCATTCTCACTGGTGTAAGATGGTATCTCATGGTAGTTTTGATTTGCATTTCCCTGATGACAAGTGATGTTGAACATTTTTTCATATGCCTGTTGGCCATTTGCATTTCCTCTTCAGAGAAGTTTCTTTTTAGCTCTTCTGCCCATTTTTTGACTGGATTATTTTCTTTGTTGTTGTTGAGTCTCATCAGCTCTTTGCAGATTTTTGTGATCAGTCCTTTATCATTAGTGTTGGGTGCAAAAATGTTCTCCCAGTTGGTGGGGTTTCTCTTTGTTTTTGTTATTGTCTCTTTTGCTGTGCAGAAGCTCTTTAATTTGATGTAGTCCCAGCTGTTTATCTTTGCCTTCACTATCACTGCTTTGGGTGATGTGTCTGTAAAGATGTCTTTGATGTGCAAATCACGTAGTCAAACACATGAACTTTTTGCTGCTCTCATACATGCAGCAAAATGTGTGATGGCTTTTTCTTCCCTGTCCCAACAGCAAATGCGTCAGAAAAGTAAGCAGCAGGCGAAGATCGAAGCCACACAGAAGCTCGAGCAAGTGAAGAACGAGCAGCAGCAGCAGCAGCAGCAGCAGCAGCAGCAGCAGCAGCAGCAGCAACAGCACCAGCAGCAGCAACAGCTCAATGCTCAACCCCTCGTCGGCCCATCCGGGTCAGACACGCCGAGCAGCGGGGTGCAGAGCCCACTGACCCCCCAGCCGGGCAACGGCAGCATGTCTCCCGCACAGTCATTCCACAAAGACCTGTTCCCAAAGCAGCTGCCCAGCACCCCAGTTTCCACCTCCTCCGACGACGTGTTTGTAAAACCGCAGGCTCCCCCTCCGCCGCCCGCGCCATCCCGACTGGCCCTCCAGGAGAGCCCGGCACCCACTCAGCCGCCTTCGCCGCAGGTGTTTTCACCTGGGTCTTCCAGCTCCCGCCCGCCATCCCCCATGGATCCCTACGCGAAAATGGTGGGCACCCCGAGACCACCTCCGACGGGCCACGGTTTTCACAGAAGAACTTCCGTGCTTACGGAAAGCTGTGCCCCTCTTCCATCCGTCTCCAGGCCCCCGCCCATGATCGAGCCCGTGGGAGGTCGGCCCTCCCCAGCCAGGGACCCCTGCCCCACTGGCGCTCACACAGACCCCTATGCCAAGCCCCCGGACACGCCCCGGCCTGTGATGACAGAGCAGTTTCCCAAGCCCCTAGGCCTGCCCCGGCCCCCCATCGTTCCAGAGCAAACTGCGAAGGGGTCTCCAGCAGCTGGAAGCAGCGATCCCTTCACTAAACCGCCACCCCGGACAGATGTGTTTCAGCGCCCACGCATCCCGGACCCGTACGCACGGCCTTTGCTCACACCGGCACCTCTGGACAGTGGCCCTGGGACTTTCAAGACACCCATGCAGCCCCCTCCACCCTCCCAGGAGCCTTATGGGTCGGTGTCCACAGCGCCGCGGCGGTTGCCTCTTGACCCTTATGAAAGGCCTGCTTTGACACCAAGACCTGTCGACACCTTCTCTCACAACCAGTCAGGTGACCCCTACAGCCAGCCCCCAGGCACCCCACATCCGGCGATGAGCGAGTCTTTTGCCCATCCTTCAAGGGCTTTTTCCCAGCCTGGAGCCGTGTCCAGGCCAGCCTCTCAGGACCCGTATGCCCAGCCCCCAGGGACACCGCGGCCTGTCCTTGAGTCTTACCCCCCGCCCTCAGGAACACCTCGCTCCAACCCTGACCCCTACGCGCAGCCTCCCGGCACCCCTCGGCCCACCCCGGTGGATCCATACAGTCAGCAGCCGCCCACCCCCCGCCCACCCCCTGCAGCAGACTTGTTTGTGCCGCCTACAGCTGCTCAGAGGCACTCGGACCCCTATGCCCACCCGCCTGGGACGCCCCGGCCTGGCGTGTCTGTCCCATACGTGCAGCCGCCCACTGCTCCCAGGCCACGGATGTCGGAGGCCTTTGCACGGTCCTCCTTGACGAGGCCAGTGCCAGGGCCGAGTCAGGACCCTTTCCTGCCGGCAGCCTCGAGCCACGGAGCAGCTGTCCCTGGGCCTGCAGGCAGGTCACCTGATATGTGTGCCCAGACGCCGCGGCCTCCAGGACCTGGCCTGCCAGACACGTTCAGCCGCGTCTCCCCATCTGCAGCTCGGGATCCCTATGACCAGCCCCCCGTGACTCCCCGGCCCCCATCCGACACCTTTGGAACAAGCCAGGTTGCTCGTGACATTGCTGACCAGCCCCGACCTGGGTCGGCGGGGACCTTCGGCACACCCTCCAAGTCCCCAGTGAGCTCTCAGGGCCAGCAGTTTCCTGGTGCGCCACAGCTCCCAGGGCCCGCACCCACCGCAGGCATCTCTGAATCACAGAGCACTGTGAATATGTCTCAGGCAGACACGGAGAAACTGAGGCAGGTGAGCCCCACGCGTGTCCCATTTATCTCCACCATGTTACCGAGAATGCCTGTCCTGTCGTCAGACCGAGTCACTTCTGCACACGTGCTCAGGTGTCTCATCCTCTTACTCAGTGCCCTTTGCCGCACGGCGGGGAATCACTGAGATTGGTAAAAGGCTGTTCCGTAACCGAGTTCAATCTTGGTGAATTTGTGGGGGACCCATAAACACAGAAACTTTCCATTTCGCAGTAGCTGTCTGGCAAATCATCCATTAATTTGCCGTGACCTGTTTCATCATTAAGTGTAACTGGTGTTTCCTCAGAGGGTAAAACGTCAAGGTGTCATGAACACTCCGGGCCGTGCACGTAGCAAGCGCGAGCATTAAGGAAGCGATGCAGTGACTTGTTTCTTCCTTTTCAGCGGCAGAAGTTACGTGAAATCATTCTCCAGCAGCAGCAGCAGAAGAAGATGGCAGGCCGGCAGGAGAAAGGGGCACCGGACCCCACTGCGGTGTCCCATCCAGGGCCCCTGCAGCACTGGCAGCCCGAGGGTGTGGGCCAACCCTTCACTCGGCCCCCGCCCCCCTATCCCGGGAGCATCCGCTCACCCCTCATCCCTCCTCTGGGACCGCGATACACACTTTTCCCGAAGGACCCACGTGCACCGTACCCTGCCGATGTTCCTGGGATGGGGATGAGACCACATGGGTGCAGGTAACGCTTTCATTTGGTACCAGATTTAAGTGCTGACAGATGAAAGGAGTGAAAAGTGGTGACTCTTGATCAAGAAGTTCTTACTGCTTTTTAATTCTTGGTCCCCTTGAGATACAGTCAGTGTCACTACTCACCCCTAAGGACATTCCTTTTCTGAAGTTGACATCATGGCCACTGTGACGCCTGTGTCTGCCAGGCAAAGCGCCTGCCCGGTGATGAGTGAGCAGGGTCCTCTCCAGAGTCTTAGTCCATGGTCATTGTGGGTGTTTTTCTGTGGGAGCCTCTCATGACGAGGTGGGCCAGAGGCAGCCTTTCTTGAAGCGGCGAGTAGAAAGACCCCAGCCCCTGGCTCCTGAGCTAGACCAGGAGGTGCTTCTCCTAGACGTGCTTCAATTTCCCTAGTCATTGGTCTAGTATGTACCTCTCTGGTGTGGTCTTACCCTTATTTTCATTTTTTTCCTTCTCCATTATAATTGCTGTCTTTAATTCTACCTAGAACAAAGTATATTGTGAACATGAATAATAAAATTAGTCTCGTAACTATTCACTTACTAATCGTCACAGCAGTGTCCACCTCACCTGCTGTGCTTGATCTCTTTCTCCCCCCATCCTCCTCGTGGACAGGGGCCCATGAGTCCGTCACAGTTTGTTCAGCCCACACCCTCACTCCAGCACCCTCCTCATAGGCTTTCTTCAGGTAGTCCCCCAGGGTACACCAGAAAGACAGACCCCACTTGTTTCAGGAGAGCTGACTTAATCCACTTTGGGGCTCTTCCTCTGACTTCATTTATGTTACCTGTTAAGACTCAGGCGTGGTGTCCGCCAGGGGCACTCACCCAGAATTCACAGATACTTTACAAGTGCTTTGTGCAACAGTGGTAATTTGGGGTTTTGTCAAGTCATTGTATTCAGCTATAATTTTGTATGTGCCTTAAATCTAAAACGCGTCCTTTTTCAATTAAGTCCAAGTTCAGTGTAATACTTAATGCAAACTGTTTGCTTCTTTCTTCTTTTAGATTTGGATTTCCAGGCAGTGGTCACGGTGCTATGCCCAGTCAGGAACGCTTCCTGGTGCCTCCTCAGCAAATCCCAGGCTCTGGGGTCCCCCCGCAGCTGAGACGGTCACTCTCTGTGGATGTGCCCAGGCCCTTAAATAACGCGCCACTGGGCAACCCGGTCGGGCTGGCCCAGCACTTCCCACCCCAGGGTCTCCCGGTGCCGCAGCATAACATCCTGGGTCAGGCGTTCATCGAATTGAGGCACCGGGCCCCGGATGGCAGGCCGCGGCTGCCCTTCAGTACCACTCCTGGCAGCGTGTTGGAGACATCTTCTCACCCAAGACACGGGAACTTCATTTCCAGGCCCGACTTTCCAGGCCCTCGACAGACAGACCCCATGACCCGACCTCCCCCAAGCCTCCCTGGCCAGCTGCCCGTGCACCCAGGCATGGAGCCGGTACCGCCATCCTCGCAGCAGCAAGGCCATCCTGTCCACGTGTCTGCAATGGTCATGAGGTCTCTGAGTCAGCCCTTAGGTGGCGAATTTTCAGAGGCCCATTTGTCCTCCGCCACTCAGGCTGAAGCAGCGTCTGATAATTTACAGATTGCCACGCAAACGTCCGATGGTCTCGAAGAAAAACTTGATCCCGACGATCCATCAGTGAAAGAACTGGACGTTAAAGACCTGGAAGTCAAAGACTTGGATGATGAAGATCTTGAAAATTTAAATTTAGATGCAGAGGACGGCAAAGGAGATGAACTGGACACTCTGGGCAATTTGGAGACGAACGACCCCAACCTGGATGACCTCCTGAGGTCAGGAGAGTTTGACATCATCGCCTACACAGACCCGGAGCTCGACTTGGAAGACAAGAAGAGCATGTTCAACGAGGAGCTGGACCTCGGTGTCCCCATCGACGACAAGCTACATGGCCAGTGTGCGCCGGCTGACCCGCAGAGAAAGGAGCAGGACGGCAAGACCACGGCTCCCCCTGAGAAACACTCGCCGTGGAGAAAGTCTCCCGTGGGCAGTGACATAAAAACCGAAGCACCATCTCCGAATTCCAAAGGGGACGTCAGAGTTGACATGGAGAAAGGTGACGAGGCCAAGGACTCTGGGGAGGCTCCCTGCTCGCAGGCTTCTGCCCCTGTGGAGGGGAGTGAGGGTGAGCGGCCGTCCTCCCAGCCAGCTGATGCAGATCCCACCGAGAGGAGGACTAACCCCAGCTGCGGTGGGAGCACAGGCCTCGGCCCCACCCAGCAGCCCCCTGAGGAGGCCACCACCTCTTGTGGCCTAACAGCATCGACTCCTGTTCTCTCCAGTTTACTTGCTCACGAGAAGCCTGACGCCGCCGACGTGGGGCCTTTGGGGTCTCCAGCACCGACACTGCCGGCCTCCCCATCCAGCCGAGTGCAGGGCGTGCCACCGGCCTTGATGACACCGCCCGGACAGGTTTTGGATAACAGCATGAATTCTAGCGTGGCAGTGGTCTCCAGGGTAAACCATGCTTTCCCTCAGGGTCTGCAGGTAAATCCGGGGTTTGCTCAGGGGCAGTCAGCAGTCAGCCACAGTTTTGGGACTGGAAAACCTGCCGGTCAAACAGTGCCGCTGACAAGTCAGCCTGGGACCAGTGGCCTACCGGGGAACCAGCAACTGATGATCCCTCAGATGACCCAGCAGGGCAGGGAGAGGCCCCTCCTCCTCGAGGAGCAGCCCCTACTTCTGCAGGATCTTCTGGACCAAGAGCGGCAAGAGCAGCAGCAGCAGAGACAGATGCAGGCTATGATCCGGCAGCGCTCTGAGCCCTTTTTCCCCAACATCGGTAGGCACTGCGGGCCCCCCTCAGTTGTGGGTAGGGCGGGCTGCGTGTGCTGCTGAGATTGCTGGGTTTAGGGGCACTTGCACGGGAGCACTGAGGCTCTGCTGCTGTTTCCTCAGCTGTAAAGTGAGAGCAGTTAGTTTTGGATTCCTCCCAGGTGAACCCTGATATTCAGAGCTTCGAGTATCAGATCCCCTCAGTTCCGTTGTGTAGGACTCTGTTCAGTGGAAGCAAGAACCTGTTTTAGCTCCTTCTAGCAGCCATTATGTAGACTGTCATAGCAGTGAGCTTGGCAGTTTGTTTTTTAACCTCATAAAGCTCATCAGCCTATTCCTAATGGCCTACGAATTAAAAAACTGCAAAATGGCAATGTAGTAAGAACACCTGAGTGTTAAAGGACACAAGTTTAAAGGATGCTTTCTCCTAAACAATAAAATTGACATTCTAAGGAAAGACACACTAAAAAAGTGAAGTTGACATTCTGTCCTGTGCACGTTACCAGTTTCATCACTGGTCTATTTCTTTTTTGTTTTCGTGCAAAGCATCGTATCTCAGTAATGTATCCTTATTGCAAGCATATGCCCTCACTTCTAAGGAGTGACGACAGCGTTATTGGATTTCCTTAATATTAGAAGTAACTGCAAATGCTCATTCCTGATATTAAATTCCTGAAGAAGCACTTGTGCGTAATTTCACAGTTGGTGCATGTTCGCTGAGAAAAAACTCCATTGCTTTAGATCATTGACTGTTAGGATCCCCCTTGATTAGACTGATTTAGTCTTATTTTAATTCTTGCGGGAGTCAGTCACTAAAGTCCTGCAGTTCTGAATCACTGAGACAGGGTTCTTAAACATCTCGTAATTCCCTCTCATGTGGAAGCCTGTTATAGTGATTATTAAATAGTAAGAAGTAAGAATCTATAAATTACATCATATCGGTGATAGTTATTTTACCTCTTTGTGAGACTTGAACTAAGTACTATGAAATCAGTAACTTGAAAATATATTTCTCCTTCAGATTTTGATGCAATTACAGATCCTATAATGAAGGCCAAAATGGTGGCCCTTAAAGGCATAAATAAAGTAATGGCACAAAGCAATATGGGCATGCCGCCGATGGTGATGAGCAGGTGAGTAGAGATGTCTCACATTCCTACTGCACGCCACGAAGCTCATGAAGTTATCGCTGGTGCTTGGAAAGAGCACACAGAAACTCAGGTCATATTCTTGGAGTGAACAGTAAATATTTAGATTGGCTGTCATGTCAGCTGAATATGATCAGTTGTAAAATGCTATAGAAATGCAAGGATTTAAATTTCATTAGTTTCAAGGGAAGCATAAAACAGCCCAGAAAAGCTTGAAGAACAACATACTTAATAAGGAAATTGAAAACATTGAAGCCTGTGTTCTTGTAAATACCTTTAGAATGGTTAGTGCTAACTGAGAGCTCCTTGGGACAGAGATCTTCCACCCTAGTGGATAAGAAGATGAAAAGGGTGTAGTAGTCAGTGGGCTATGTTGAGAGAAAGCAGTTTTTTTTTTTTTTTTTTTTTTTTTTTTTTTTTTAATAGAGGCATGCTTTATTTATTTGTTTGCTGGTTTGTTTGTTTTGTTTATACATGCACTGGGTACAGTCAGAAGCGCGGGAGGGTGAGAGAATTCACCAGAGCCAGAGCGGGGAGCAGAGCAGGCAGAAGGACCGAAGTACACTGCTGAGGGGAGCAGCGGGCGGCAGGAGAAGTCTGCACGCCATGTGGGACCCTCCTCCGGTGGCCGGGTTGCAGCCGGGGATCGAACCGGCGCCGCAGAGGCAGCGGGCAGCATCGCAACCCAGCGCTCAACCGCTGCGCCACCGGGGAGGCCCGAGAGAAAGCAGTTTATTGAAGCCAGTAACGACCTGTTATCCCACCAAAGGAACCACACTGAGGAGCATAGGGTATTTCATGACTAGTCATGAGGAATAGCTAAGAAGACATTTAAAGTGAAGAATTGGAGATTTTGTAAGTCCTGTAACTGCTAGCGGAAAAATGGGAAGCGTGCATTCAACGCGACTGAGAGTTGCCTGACTCTGACTCATTGAAGTTGGGGTGTTTATACCCCTTGGGGGAGGAAAGAGCCGCGGGGGCAGTGTCGCCTAAGTTGTGCTTGTGGATGCTGAGAAAGCTCTGCCTGTGAGGGGCAGGCTCATGGGTTCAGCCAGAGGCCCTGAGACGTTGCATGCGTGCGCCTGTGTCGGTGGCTGCCAGAGTCCTTCTCGCAGTCGTGGGGACGCAGCCTCATTATCTTGTTAAAGCCCTTGTCTTTTAAAAAGGAGTAAGGATGGTGGTGGAAATGAATATAAGATCCACGTGAACTTTAGACACCCAGGATTCTTAAGGTGACCCGGGAGTCCTTACAAGTGTATTTCTTTCTCATTGGCTGTTTGGAAATGATGACTAAGAACCAGGCCCACATAGAGTCTGTGGTTTCTTAAAGAGGTTCGCTGTTGAGCAGCATCTCAGCATTGTTGTCTGCCACGGGGGCTAACTTTTTTACCTTGTGAACCTCTGGACAGTCCTTCGCAGAACATTTTGCAATAAAATTGGAAGGCAAATGCAAAAACAGCATAATAATGGAAATCAACTATGTTTGAAATATAGTCATTAAAACTTTAAAGTTATGGTGTGTCTACTTCCTAACCAGTTTAGATAAGGTCGTATGACTGTGGCAGTTTTAAAGGACCCTTAACCTAAATGACCCACAAGGAAAGTGCTCCCCTTTGGCCATGAAGAGAATGAGTCTGTCAGTGATGGCAGCAGAGCCACTAGTAAGAGTCAGAAGGCACCGCCCTTCGCTGGGCACGCGGTGACGTGGTGGGCCTCGGGAGGAGACCCCGGCTCTGGCAGCCTCTCCCTGACTGAGTGATGTGCCGGTGGAACACAATGCCACCCTTCACCCTGCGGCTCCTCCAGTGAGGGCGTGGTGGGAGCGACAGCAGCCAGGAACCTGGAGCCTATCACGGCGCGTTGTGGGGTGGGCAAGAGGTGAGGAGAGCTGTGGGCCAGGTGCTTCGCGCACCTGTGCTATTGGGGCCTTGAGGGCTGCTCTGTGACTGATTAGAAGAGTGTTTAGCCAGATACTTGCAGCTGTAGAGATTTCTTCTTGGTCAGTGACTGATTTTTGATTTAGCATTAGATATAGAAATGTACAAAAATGAAACTTCTTAATTAAGGTACTTTTTCTGTTTTTGAATACAAAATATCTAAGTTATCAGAAATAGCTAATGTTGGGATCAAGAAATAATCTCAATTTATATGATAAAACACATTTTATATAATGAAACACCACAGTATTTTGTATCCAGAAGACCTGGAGCAGTTGTCAGGGTCTCTCGTGAGGCACTTAACAGAAAGCCTGTGGGAGGGCCCTTGCTGCAGCCTCAGGCGGCCTCCCGGGGAGCCCCAGGGAGCCGGGGGAGGTGGTGTGGTGGGCTCACACGGCCCAGGGGACGGTCTCAGTGAGGCGAGGCAGTCTCACGCTTCCTCCCGCGGAGGAGACCTTTGCCGGGTGTGGGCGAGTGCGGTTCTACAGTCGCTGACACGCGTGCTTCCTCCCCAGGTTCCCCTTTGCCGGCCCCGCAGCGCCCGGGGCACAGAACAGCGAAGGCCACAACCTCCTGCCGCAGGCGCTCGCTCAGGTACCACTGCTCTCCCTAGCACTCGCCAGGCCCTTTGGCGGTGCTGCTGCAGGTGGTGGGGCTTAGACCCGCCAGAGCGGGCCCAGCAGACGGGAGGGCATTTCTCCCTTGTAAAGGAAGGACCGATTAAGGTTAAAAGCGGGTGATAATTTCTGGGAAGGACTCCCCTGTGTAAGGATGGAGAGTCACGTGGAGGGAAGCTGAGGGAAGCTCAGCGATTTTGGTTTTGCTTTTATTTACCTTCAACTCCAGACCTTGTCATGACCTGCATTTTGGAATTAACCCATTATATTTAACACGTAAAGCTGCTCTGAACAGTAGAAAATATTGATTCAATTCATTTTAATTAGCTGTGGTCATGCTGTGCCATTTACCCATTGGAATAATTTGGTTTTTTGCATATTCAGCACTTACAATAATTTTAAGTATAGGATCTAAGTATTTAATAGTGTCAAGCAGTGTCCAGGACAGCAGAACTGCTCATTTCATGTTTTCTCCAATGATTTTTTTTTTTCCATGTACCTGCCTAGAAATAAGAGAAAACTACCTTCTCTGTGACTTTTTGGAATTTCCTATTTTGCCCTGTCAGTTGTGCTTTAAATTTATTTTGCTGATAGTCATATGATTTTCATTAATTAAACAAGAGAGAAACACCATCTGACACAGTGGGAAAAGCATTGCCTTCATAGCTGAGTTTCAGAACAACCCCCAGTCCCACTGCAAGTTCACTGTGACAGTCTGGGCAACTTCTTTACCCTGTTTTCTGAATTGTCAAGTGTGACACCGTCTGCTCTGCAGTGTGACAGGGACTGTGTGTGATACTGGTGGCACGTGCTTCAGAGTTGTTACCCTATATTCAGCTCACGTCCAGTAGAAATCAGAACGACTGAGTAAATATTTGTTAATACTGTTTATCAGTTAACTTTGTCCATCCGAGTGTTGCCAGGGAGCTGTAAGATCACCCGTACCTGTTCACTCACTCAGGGAGTCGCACACGCAGTCAGAAAGGAAGGCTAATCCCGAGTCGATGTGTATTTGTCATCTTATTTGTGCATGTGAGGGTCCCTGGCTCACACAGGGCTTTGTTTTGTGGAGCGGAACCCAATAGCCCTGGAGCCCATGTCATAGGCCGTGCTTGTACAAGAGACTAGGTAGATTTCATCCAAAGGCGAGGTTTTATGTGGGCCTCTGCTTAAGCACTGAATGTACTTGCTTTTCCCCACTGTTAACATTTTTGATGAATCATCCCTTACCTCAAACATAATTGTTACTCACTTGAAATCTAGGATATAGTGGTTTAGAGATAGTTGTAGCTTTTCAAAAATTAGGTTGTCACACTAAATAATTTTGCTTTTTATAAAAATCAAAGGTGGTGTAGGAAACTAGAGGGTTTCCCCCTTCCGTTTCTTTTTTTTTTTTTTTTTTAAAGTTTTTTTCCCCTTTAACTGAAATGTGGAATAAACCTATTTGTAAATTTTACTTATTTTAGGATGGCAGTATAACACATCAGATTTCTAGGCCTAATCCTCCAAATTTTGGTCCAGGCTTTGTCAGTAAGTATAAATCTAATAAGTTACATGTTCTCTGGGGATTGCTTGTTGGCACTACATCTGTGTTCTTCTCAAAACGTGGGGTTAGCTTAGCTGTGCTACTTCTAGTCTGAGTGCCCTCTCCTACGAAACACCACTGCCCTATGAAGCGTCTCTTCTTCAAGGCATGTATTTTCATTGCTTTATTTTCTCTGTGCATGAAGAACTACAGTTAGAGATAAATACTCTAATACAGAAGATACCATCTTCCCACTCTCTTCAGTACTGTTGCAGTTTTGTATGTAGATCGGGCACTTTACAGTCTGTAGAGCTAAGCCACCTGTTGCCGTAGCGACGGTCTGCCTGAGTGCCAGGGCGCAGATTAGCAGTGATGGGGCTGGCAGCATGTGTGAAGGAGGTGGTCCAGGATGCCCGCGAGTTCTTCCTCGCTCCCTTCAGGGACCCCAAGGTGGTTCAGAATAGCAGTCCGAGTTCTCCCCAAACTGAACCTTTCTGAAATCTTCAGACTGTTTAGCTAACTTTTTTTCACCGTTATTTTTCATTTTGCTCACCTCTGCTCTCCTGGTTCCAGAAACCAGAAAGGCTTTCCTTGCGGTAGGTCTCATTCTACCAGAAGCAGAACTTCTGAAATCTTGTGAAAAAGCCTGTTCTTGAAAAATGCCCTTCAAATTTACTAGACTAGATTTCAAGTTCATACATGTACTGGAACTTCTGGGTTTAGGAACAAACCCAAAGTCTGACCTTTTGAAATTACCCCTGCATAAATTATTACTATTATAATTTGAACACATTTGCATTGAAAACAAGTAAACTGCTTTGACCAACTGGCTTTTTCTGGCTTTATTGTGCCCATTGGCTTTGGCTGGATTCTTACTGTATGACAATATTCTGTTTACATTGATGTAATTTTTCAGCTAATGTCCTTGGAATTGTATTTATTAATTTCTTTGTCTTGATAGTCAAAAAGGTTTATTCAGAATTTCACTACCATAAGAAAACCTTTTTGGGGGCTGATGGGGAGGGGACTTGGCATCAGTGAAGTAAAGTGCCCTTAAAGAATAAAGAAAGACTCCTGGTACAAGGTGAAGAGATATAACTATTTGGGGAGATATTAGTGACAGTCATAAAAGAAGGAAGGATTGTACTTGGTTAGTTGTTCCTTACTTTGGCTTATTTACACAAATACAAATTACACAAGTCATAAAATTGTCATTGTTTTAACATAGATGTTTTCCTTATAAAACATAAATTTTGATTGGTCCTTTCTTAAACATTCTGGATTCCCTCCCTTCCAGTGTGGGAGATTCTCTCACTGTTGAGAAGCAGGGAAATGTTTGAAGCTTAGGGCCCTCAGCGCGGGAGCTGCCCTCCCAGACCTGCCTGGGTCCCTGCGCGGGATCGGGCCAGCGGTCTCTTCAGCCTGTAGGTCTGAGTCACAGCGTACATGTGTAACAACACCCAGTATGACTGTGGGTCAGAGAACCTGGTAGCTCAGTCGTGAGAACATCCCACGTGCTGAAAGCACCTGCTTTCAGAGGGCTTACTCGAGGCCTACTCAGGTTGTATGACCCTGTCCTAAAAACTTGCTTTCTTCATTAAATATTTTTCTGAAATCTTCTACTTTATAGTCCATTGTGGTCTGAAATTTAGTACTGTGCTTTCAAAATATCTGTGACAAGGTCATGGTCAAACTGCATTTCCTTATAAAATGAATTTGTGTAACTCTCACTGTGTTGGACTTTTCCGCAAACTCCCAGCAGACTTAGCACAGATGAATCTTTGATTTTTCCCCTCAGATGATTCACAGCGTAAGCAGTATGAGGAGTGGCTTCAGGACACCCAGCAGCTTCTCCAGATGCAGCAGAAATACCTTGAAGAACAAATTGGTGCGCACAGAAAATCTAAGAAGGCCCTTTCAGCTAAACAGCGTACAGCCAAGAAAGCCGGGCGTGAGTTTCCAGAAGAAGACGCTGAGCAGCTGAAGCATGTCACCGAACAGCAGAGCATGGTCCAGAAGCAGCTGGAGCAGGTGATGCCAAACAGAACATCGCTGTAGTGATAGCGTTCTGGCCTGTCACTCGCCGTGGTGCAGGATTTGGGATAAAATGGTGCACAAAGCGTATTGGGTGGGGGTGGTGGGAGAGCTGGTGGGGGGAAGCCCTGAGAACTCTCATGAGAGTGGGAAGCAACCTGGTCCTCCCCCTGGAGCCATGGGCTTTGGGAATGCCATGGAAGGGCTGATGCTCATCCTTAGAAGGACTGTTTCCACTATCCGACTACAAACTCTGGGGCTAGCTCAGGGATTTCCATGCTTTCCACCACCAAAAACCTGTTCTGAGTTTTGGCTTTGATGATAGAGCTGTGGGGAGGGCCCGGATCGAGGGCAGTACCAGCCAGGGAACCCAGAGGTGTCTTTTCACTTGGAGTTTACCTTTACTCTGCCATCTCCTCTGGTTCTTAGTGGAGTTTCAGATACAGAATTTGAATCATGGTTGTTTCTATGATTTCTTCTCAATATCTTGATTTTAAAACACATTGCTACATCTTAAGATGTAAAGGACTCAGTCTGGAAAAATAAAACCGTTTTGCTGTTACCATCCATCAGAAACCAGGCTTTCCTCAAAACACACACGCTGGAGTAACAATTATATTTAAAAAGAAGTGAAGTTTAAAATAAACTAGTAATAGTGTTTGAAATAGTTTAAAGGTCCAGTGCTAGGTCTTCACCCACGTGAATTAAAAACTTGGGTTCATGCAAAGACCTGTAACCCTAGTATTTATAGCAGTTGTATCCATGGCCACTAAAAATTGGAGACACTCCCAGAATCCTTCAGTGGTGAATAGCTGAATAAAGTGTGGCCCACCTGGCTACGAGGTCTGAAAGAATGAGCCGTTGATACAACCAGGATCCCAAGAGCATTGTGCTGAGAAGAAGTTAGTCCCGACAGCTACATACCCTCTCCACTTACAGAGCGCTCCTAAGAAAGATGGGCCACAGACCCTGGGTGGCCAGGGCATGGGGACAGGCCCAGAGGCTTTGACCATGACAGGCTGTCACAAGGGGGTTTTCTGGCTGACTTTCTGCGTCTTGGTTGTGGTGGTGGCAGCGTGCTAAGGTTCACAGAATTGTACACCTCCAAAAGTCTATTTTGTTTTTAATTGTCAGTTTTATTTATTTATTTATTTATTTATTTATTTATTTATTTATTTATTTATTTATTTAGTGGGACCCTCACCGGTGGCTGGGGATCGAACTGGCGCTGCAGAGGCTGCGGGCAGCCTCGCACCCAGTGTTCAACCGCTGCGCCACCAGGGGAGGCCCAGTTTTAATTTTTAAAATGAAGTTGAAAAGTCATGCAAGCGTTGGTGGAAAGAGAAGCTCCGAGGGCACAGATTTGCTGGGGTGTGCCCACGTGGCCTGCACTCCTGGGCTCACTGACGCAAGGCTCCTTCCAGCCACGGACGGTGGCAGTGGCCTCCTGCGAGGACGCTGGCCTGCCCTGTGGTGGTCACTGTCCTCAGTCTCAGCTGGCTACTGAACTCGGGATGTGGGCTCAGTTGCCTCCCCTCTAAGCGGTAGCCTCCAAAATAAAGAACCAACGAAAAGATGATTATAATCTAATTGCTGTTGTTTAAAACTAGCACATTTCCAGAATAAGAGCTTTATTTTCCTTTTAAAGGTATTCTCGGGCCCATGTTTATTGCTGGTAAACAGTCTCTTAAGGCCAGGTATTTCTTAGAAAGTATTTTTAGCGTTTTTATCATTGTCTTCTGGTATATTTTTGTAAGTTACCTATGATGGGTCCGGGTCTGGTTATTGCAGACCCATGGAGCAAATCCTACTTAAAAGCTAATGCTGAACTGGAAAAATGAGTATATCATCTGTTATTGTGTGGTTGCCACAACCTGGTGATGCTGACCGGGCAAGCCATGAATGAATATTCTAGGTGCTGTTCTAAGTGCTTGGTTCAGTGGTGAGTCCTCTGCTCTGACCAGCAAGCTGGTCAGGAGGGAGTGATGCCGCAGGGAAGGGGCTAGTCTGCCTGGAATCTGGCAAAAAGTGGAAAAGCTAGTTCCGTCACTGTGTTCCATCCATACGTCAAAACTCTGGGCAACACCTGCGTGATTCTGCGTGATTCCAGACGCTAAGGGACAAGGTCGTCCCCTCCAGGATCTTCCCCAGTCTTCGGAGTGAGGTGTGAATGTGCAGGACCGGGCCACCTCTGTGGAGATCAGCCCTCAGCACCGGGCATGTGGCTGCAAGGGCTGAGGGAGGGAATTAACCTTCACAGTCAGTCGTCATGTTGGAGGTTTGCTGGAGACTGTTCAGAATAATGCCCAGAGCATGTTCATTTTCCAGAATTTTTCTTTCACTACGTTATACTAATTTCAAGAAGTTTTACCAATCTCCTTTTTTCAGTCAGGTTCAAATGACGTTTGAGTTCAGAGTTATTTTAACTCTGTGCATTGACATAACTTCTAAGACATCAGAAGTAGCCAATTCCTTCCAGCCTTTATGTGATCTTTACGATACTTAGCTTGGAAAGGAAGATTTCAATATTTAGTTCAGAAAAGTATTTCAAGTCTGGTGTTAAATGTTTCACATACAAAGACATTTTCTTAAAAGACGACATTAGAAAAGTCCTGCTGTTAAGAAGCTGGTGGTCATTGGTGTTGCTTCTGTTTTGTGTGGGTTTCACCTGAGCCCCAGCTGTGCTTTGGGGAGGCCCCATCGTGATCAGCAGCCAGTTTTTCCGCTTTATACCGCAGTGTGGACAAACGGGTAACGCTGACTCTCGTTATCCAGATCCGCAAGCAGCAGAAGGAGCACGCCGAGCTCATCGAGGATTACCGGATCAAGCAGCAGCAGCAGCAGCAGCAGCAGCAGCAGCAGCAGCAGCAATGCGCGCTGGCCCCTGCCGGGGTCCTGCCGGGGGTCCAGCCACAGCCGCCCCTGGGGCCCGGGGCTGCCCCTCCCACCCTGAGCCAGCCCGGCTTCCCCCTGGTGCCCCAGCAGCTGCAGCACCCGGCCATCCTGTCCGGCCACACCAGCCCTGCCAGGATGCCCAGTTTGCCTGGGTGGCAGCCAGCCACCACCCCTGCTCATCTCCCCCTCGGCACCCCCAGGATTCAGCCCCCTTTGACCCAGTTACCTATAAAAGCTTGCACGCCCACCCCAGGGCCAGTGCCAAATGCAAGCCCCCAGAGTGGACCGCCCCCACGGGTGGAATTCGATGACAACAACCCCTTCAGCGAAGGCTTTCAGGAGCGGGAACGCAAGGAGCGCTTGCGGGAGCAGCAGGAACGGCAGCGCATCCAGCTCATGCAGGAGGTGGACAGACAGCGGGCCCTGCAGCAGCGGTTGGAGCTGGAGCCGCGCGGTGCCCCCGTGCCCCAAATGCCCTTCTACGGCTCCGAGCTGCCCTGCGACTTCATGCCCCCACCCAGGCCCCCCCAACAGTCCCCCCAGCACCAGCCTCCAGCTGGGCAGGGCTTGCCCCCGCAGAACATGCCCCAGGGGCCTATGAACTCACCCCCTACCCAGACTTTCCTGCCCACTGGTGAGCGTAGGCAGATGGGAGCTCCCTCCTTTGTTTCCGAGTCACCCTCCATGCCCGGCGGAAGCCCAGACTTCCACCCAGTGAAGCCGGCCCACCCAGGTCTCTCCGGGGCCAGCTTCCAGCAGTCCCCAGCCAGGCCCCCTTTCACAGCTGCCTTACCTGCAGCACCTCCAGTCTCAAGTAGCGCCCTTCCCTGTAGCCAGGACCCCGTGGGGACCCATGGACAGAGTTTCCCCGGAACAGCCCAGTCTCTCATCCAGCTGTATTCTGATATCATCCCAGAAGAAAAGGGGAAAAAGAAACGAACAAGGAAGAAGAAGAAAGATGATGATGCAGAATCCACCAAGGAGCCGTCAACGCCCCACTCGGATATTACTGCCCCCTCGACCCCCAGCGTCTCAGAGGCCACCTCCACCCCCACCGTGAGCACGCCCAGCGAGCTTGCCCCCCAGGGTGAGCCGGAGTTGCCGGGATCCGCTGGTCCTCCCGCCCCAGCCATGGTGGCGGGCCAGCCAGGTGCCGAGTCGGAGCGCAACCCGCCCGATGTAGATTTCCGGCAAGGGACTCCCGAGCAGCAGCCTGACGCAGACACAGAAGTGGCTGGGCCGGCCGTGGCTACACCTACCGCGGCGGAGGAGGTGAAGCTGGAGACTGCCGAGCCCCAGCAGGGCCCGGGCCAAGATGGGCCGAAGCCGGAGGAGCAAGCTGGGAGTCAGGCTGAAGAGAAACTGGTGGCTGAGCCCGTCTCTTCGGGGCAGAGCCCTCCCTGCTCTGCAGGGGCCCCCACTGTCAAAGGAGACTCAGGCAATGAACTTCTAAAGCATCTGTTGAAAAATAAAAAGGCATCTTCCCTTTTAAATCCAAAACCCGAAGGCGGCGTCTGTCCGGAAGACGACGGTGCGAAGGATCACAAGCCGGCCGAGAGGCAGAACCCGGCCGAGGCCTCGGTAAGTGCAGCTCGTGGAAATCAGAGCTTTCTGTTTTCTCCTGCTTTTGTTTTAAATTACGGCAGCTTAACGCCCACCACCACATTGACGTCAGCGCAGCATGGCCACCTTTGGCTCTAAGGGGTCGGTATTCACTGTACCCCCATGGGCCCCATGGCTTTGCTTAAAGCTACGTTACGTGATAATTTGTTCACAGTGTTGTTCAAAAATTAAACACCTGTGGCACAGGCGCTCTGGGGGCGGGGCATGTGGTTCCAGAAGCCTCCCGGGCACCCGAAACCCAGGAAGACCCGCCCCGTGTGTGGCAGGTCCCTCCTGAACCCACACACCTGTGAGAAGGCACAGAGACTGCGGTGGTGCCCACTCCTGAGTCAGCGGGCGGATGCGATTCTCTCCCAGTGCTGCGCACTGTGCTCAGACCCCGCGGCCTCCAGGCAGCAGAGGCACTGATGAGGGGCCCTGCTCCCCTCGAGCACAGCTGGTGCCGGCCGCTGCCTGCCCTCACATGATCGGGGCGCAAGAAGTAAAGGGCCGTGTCTGTTGTCAGCAAGGACACGGTTTCCACTGGCCTCTTTGAAATGACCCCCCTCCCCAAGGCCCGCCTGAGGCCACTCTCTGGGTGTCTGCTGTGCTTCACGCACTGTGATGGGCAGAGACGCTCCTCTCTGTCCTCTTCTGTGCATCGCTGTGCCTGCTTTATGTGATCAAGCGACCTTGGATCTACTTTCATTTTTTTCACGTGCAGGAAGAGATCTTGTCAGAGTAAGACTATCCCCCGTGTTTCTCCAAACTTCCTCGATGTACTTCCAGACCCAGCACATGCGGGTCACAGGAAGGGCTTGCCTGGCCTCCTCACCTCTCTCAGGCTGCGTGGCCGTTGCTGAAACTTCTCCTGCGGTCCTTCTCAAGCTGGGTTTTGTAACTCTTGACTTTTTAGTTGATGGGGTGGAGCAGAACCTTCCATTGTCCGCACTTGCCGTCTTAGCATCAGGAATGAAGCTCTTCCTTAGCAAGGGCTGGCTTGGCTTGCTCCTTGTTTCTGCTTCGTGTGACTCTTCGGTAGGGACTGTGTGGACCTGGTAGAGTCATATAATCTTTGTAGTGATGCTTTCTCCAGTCACATTTGTCACCATCGTGACCTGTGCCCCCAGGAACACTGAACAACTGAGGACCCCCAAGTGCCTGTCTAGCTCTCCACACCGTGTGATCCCGGGCTGCTTCCCACCTCCTCTGTTCTCCTTTTTTGCATCTGACCGACATCTTTTTATCTGCTAAAATGCAGCTCCGAGCCCTCTCCTCCCAAGACTTCTAGCCAGTCTCCTGTCTCTGCTGGTGCCCATGGGCCCCACCCCGCCCCCAGCAGTTTTCTGCCTCTGTACAAGGAGCAAATTCCTTTCCCCGTGGCCAGAAAATTCCACACTGTGGCACTGTCGCAGGAGAGGCTAGGTGTCAGCTTAGAAAACAGCCACCAAAGAGAGCTCCCGCTGGGCTCCGTTGCGGCTCTCACAAGCCACACGGCGGATCGGATAAGCTCCTGAAGCCCTGTGTGCAGATGTTAACTGTTTCAGAGAACAGGATTCTCTGTTGACTTTCAGTCTCTTGGATGACACGATGAAGTGTCAGTAACAGCTGCTCTTCGGGGTTAGCTGTGAGGGTCAGAGCTGGCGTTTGCTGCATTGTTAGTCTCTTCAGTGCCAGTAAGAAATTCATAGGCTCCTGGTCCCCAAAGTGCAGTGGTTGGGGAGCAGCACCTGAACTTGACCTGGGAGCTTTCTAAGATCTGTAGGACCTCAGGTGAGCACAGACCTGCCTATCAGGCCCCAGGTGACTCCTGTGCACCTGTGTGTGGTAAGGCTTTGCTATAGCCTATGGTTCTCAGAACTTAATTGGAATCACCCAGAGGTTTGTCATTGCGACTACTGGGCCTCCCAGAGGTTCTGATCCAGCAGGTCTGGGGTGAGACCCAGAGGGCCTGTGTTTCTAACCAGTCCCGGCTGAAGCTGACTACCACTCTGGGGGTCAGCCTTTGCAACTCACTGGTCCCACTCAGCAGTGGCCAAGCCAGGCTTGCTCGCCTGCCTTCTTCCTTCATACAGGCTGAGAGCAAAACTGTATGAAATTCAGGGCTTGTTGTCCATGAGTTAGAAATGTCTTGCTGGAACATGCCAGACTGGTGTGTGTGTGACCGTGTGGCTTGTGCAGGGCCAGGGAAGAGTGCAGCGTCCTCAGGGCTGCTGCCGGGCAGCCTACAAATCTAGCCTCTCTGCTCTGCGGCCCACCGAGAGGCAGTGCAGAAACAGGAAACAAACCTACTGGCTGTCGTGGCCACTGGAGTCTAGCTGTCGAGTTCAGACCCCGTGGCCGACAGGTGCTCCCACGGTGAGGTAAACAGAAGTGAGGAACCGGTGGACTAGCACTGACGTAGGTCTGCCATCACCGAGTTGAGAGCATAGCACCTGTTGACTGGGTCAGGCGGAAGACAGGGCTCTGGGATAAGGACTCTGTCATGTGCATTTGTTGGTCTCTCCACAAGCACCCACAGGCTGTGAAGTGTCCCTGCAGCCGGCACCCCTTTCAGGGGAACCCAGACGACTCACCCAACCCCTTGACTAAGATACCCTCCTCCACTGTGTCTGGGGAGCAGAGGCTGGATCTCCGCAGGCCCCAGGTTGGCCCGGAGGACCGGGGCTTCATCTGGAAGGAAGTCGGCCCCTTCTAAGCATCCTGCCCTCTCCTCAAGCTGGCGGCTTGCTTGGTTTCTGAGCTTGAGAATAAGGTCTAGAGAAAGCACCCTTCTCGGAGACCCTCTGGGCATTTGACGCCCTGTCCCTTCTTCCTGCCTCTCTCTGGCTCCATGTTAGGAATGTGTCATGGGGGTAGGGAGGGGACTGGACCAACATGAAATGAAAATCAAACATGCGCGTGGTCCCCTTACTTCACCTTTTCCTTCACATCAGCCGACTTTGGGGCCTCAAGTACAAAGTGGTTTTGGATGCGGCAGCAACCAGGTGCCAAAAACAGATGGAGGCAGTGAAACCAAGAAGCAGCGAAGCAAAAGGACTCAGAGGACTGGAGAGAAGGCGGCACCTCGCTCGAAAAGAAGGAAGAAGGATGACGAGGAGAAGCAAGCCCTGTACTCGCACTCCGAGCCTTTCACCCACCTGAAGCAGGTGAGTGAGCCTCGCCACGGCCCCGTTGCAAATTCGGGGGTCGGGGGGGGGTGACGAGTCCCCAGATGCTTCTTCGGCCCTGTTAGACCGACTGTGGTCGCTGACTGTGGTCACTCCTCATCCGAGAGTTGCAGGGAAAAAAGACACCTCAGCAAGCAAGGTGGCCCTGCATGCCCTTGTAACTAGACGGGTTGGTCGGTGGTGGCCAGAGGTCACCGAGGCTCAGAAGGAGCAGCCTCTGCGCCTCTCCACGTGTTTGTCACTCTGGGTGCAAAGGCATGCGGCGGGTGGGCCTCCCTCCCCGCGGCAGACTCGGCTTCCTCACTCCCGGGTGGAGGAGGTGGGCACAGCACCCGCCCTAAGCCTGGAAGGAAAGTGTGTTTCGTGGTGGATGCCTAGCAGCGCCTCTTCAGGCAGCTGAGAATCAAGCCCCCTTTTAAGTCTGCCCCCCGACATTCTGTGATCGCGTTCATTTATTCCAGCATATTTGATGCTGGAAATTTTTTAAATCTGTTTTTTTCTCAAACCTTGTTTGACTAACTTGCCTCGGGTCTTAGGGACGCTGAGGGGCAGTTGTGTTTACCATGTACATTACTCTTAAATGTGTTTTTCGATAGCAGCTCTCTCTGCTCCCTCTAATGGAACCGGTCATTGGAGTGAACTTTGCGCACTTTCTTCCTTACGGCAGCGGCCAATTCAGTAGTGGGACTCGCCTTCTGGGAGCTTTCGGCAGCGCCGCCCTCGAGGGGGTTTCTGACTACTACTCCCAGCTCATCCACAAGGTGCGTTGTCTGCCGCCACCAGCAGCTGGCAGGGCTTGTCTTGCGGCTCCATCTCATTTACGTCTGAACCCCAAGTTTCACGGAAGCTTGAGTTGCACTAAAAAGTTAAAATTGTGCCAGATGATGCACTTGTAACATGGGTTTGGGTTGATAACACAAATTGTGACAAGGTCCAGTGTGCTCCGCGGTGGAGATGATGTTTGCTTCCTTAGCTTTTATTCACTCTTCCAGTAAATCCAAATTCATAGTACAGAGTGAGACTGAGAGATGCGGTTAGGAATCACAATTACCCTGGGAAACGAAGAGGAAAAAGAGTATTTTATCTGATCACGTAGGCACTCATTGCCCACTCTGCACCGATTCTGAGACTGCTAAAATAGCATCGAACGGTGTCAGGTTCTTTGGTGTTTCAGCCAAGTTTTGTGATGGCCTACTGCACATCTGACTGTGTGACATGATCTTTTTGGCAAAAGTATTTGTGAGTGTCCTTACGTTTCCCGAGGCTTCTGTTTAAACTCTAACCCCCGGAGTCCTCTGGGTGCTCCGTTGGTCTGCGCTGCTGGCTTTTCTTGTCACTTAGAACCTGTCCTGGCCCTTGTAACTGTCTTCTCTTCTGTGCAAACTGTGCTCTGACATCACTTCATGGTCGCCATGAAATCCTTTATCTTTGATTTTTAATTCCTCCTCGCACTTGACTTGCATGGTATTATTTACTGGTAGATTCCATCACTCGCTGAGAGAGGACTCTATGCATGGCAAAGTGGCGACAGGGGGAAAGATTTGGAGGGAACCACATTCACGGTGACTCAGCTGTTTTAGTGCCGCTGCTGTTACTTTTGCCTCTAAGTGATTTGGGCCAGAGTTTAATGTCTGAGATGTGAGTAGTAGTTACAGGATCAGAACCGCAAATTCTCCAGTTTCCTTTGTAGACCTGGGCACAATTCAATGAGAATTTAATAAAGAAATTTCGGAGAATTTTTTTCCATTTACTGGTTGAATTTTAAAGCTGTTCCTTGCTGGTTCTCACAGTGATACTTGAAGAATCATACAGAATAGAATCGGGCTCTGGTAATTTGCTTCTCAGCTTTCCAGCTGAGTGCTCAAGCCGAGCAAAGCAGCAGACGGGTAACACGTCCGTACGGTTTCAGCCGTTCGTCCTGCTGAACGGCCGCCTGGCCCGGCATCCCCCTCCTCCTGGGGCGCGTTTACGGATGACGCGCTTGGGGCTGCTGTAGCCCCCGCTTTCCTGTGCTAACAGTTCTCAGAGCTAAGTTTTAGCAAGGTCATTGCGTATTTGCTCAGTAGCGTATAATTAAAAATCTTTTGGTCTCCTGCAGCAGAATAATTTAAGTAATCCTCCAACACCCCCTGCCTCTCTTCCTCCTACACCACCTCCTATGGTCTGTCCGAAGATGGCAAACGGCTTTGCAACAACTGAGGAGCTTGCTGGAAAAGCTGGTGTGTTCACAAGCCACGAAGGTACGACCCACATTTCCACCTCACCCCCTGCAGGCCGATGGTTGTGTTCTGCCACGTGTTAGCTTTGACTGAGTTCTTCGTGTTTTGTGTCTTAGCTCTCCCAGTTACCAAAAATATGGGACCTAAGCCATTTCAGCTGCCATTCAGACCTCATGAGGACTTGCTGGCCAGAGCTATTGCTCAGGGCCCGAAGACCGTGGATGTCCCAGCTTCCCTTCCAACGCCGCCTCACAACAACCAGGAGGAGCTGAGGTACCTGGTCCTTTGCCCCAGATGCTTCTCAGGCTCTTCTTTCCTTTCCCTTTCCTTTCTTTTCCTTTCCTTTTTTAGAATTACTCCTGTAAGATTTTTATTTAGTTTGCGTGGAAGAACTAGGGTACAGGCCAGAGGTGCGGGGATGAGCAATTAAAACAGAGTCATTGGGGGGAGTAGAACAGGCAGGTCCACTGAAATCCACTGCTGAGGGGAGCAGCGGGCAGGCAGGAGAGGTCTGCTGCACCCTGTGGGAGGCTCCCTGGCCCGGGAGCAAACTCAGGCTGTCACAGTAGTAGCACTGAGACTAGCTAGGCCACCAGGGAGGCTCCTGTCATTTCGTTTTGTAAAGCACGTATACCTGCCCATGACGATGCCTGTGGGCGCGCATGTGAAGAACACTCGGGGCAGAATCTGGTGAATGATTTTTTACAGAATTTAAATTTTATGCAAATTCTTACTATTAAGTATAATAGGTTTGTGTATTTTTTTTAAATCTTACATGACACAGGGAATTCAGCAAATAATAATAATGAAGTAGACATTTGAGGCAGTACGGAATCGTTCAAGGGTCCTTGCGCCCTGTCAGTTATTAGTGCGGCTCACTCATGTTTGCAGGTCCCCGGCAGGAAGCCGCAGTCCCGGACGGCAAGCACCCCGCCGCTGGGAGCTAAGCCTCGGACTGTCTCACCCAGCAGCCTGTTACTTCTGTGTCAGTTCTTCAGCCCCAAGATTCTGGCTGGAGAGAACCAGCCTTTCAGTAGAGAATCCTTCCGAAACGAGTTCTGTCCACTCTTCATCACATTCTCCCTTAGAAAATTATTAACGGCCTTGTTTGATGAGTTGAGACATTGTTTAGACTGAGTGCCTGTCCAACTCTACTGTTGGCCCCATAGGGAGCCGGGACCAGCCTTGGGGTGCAGGTCCGGGCCCTCAAGCCGGCAGCTGCCCAGCTCTGCTTTCACAGGGACTCTGTCTGGAGGCCTCTCCTGGTTCCCATTGCTGCCGCTTTTCATGTTCTCCTGGGGTGGCAGCGCCCCAGGCTCAGGGAGTCCCATGCTCCTTCCCGAGACGGCGGTCGCCCTGACAACCTCTGGCCTCTTGCACTAGACCCATGTCCCCTCCTATTGGTCACTTTGAGACGCCATTGTTTCCAGCTCCGCCCCATCACGCACCGGCCTCAGCAGCAGCGCGGGGACTCTGGAGGGGTGGGTGTCGGTCCAGTTTCTGGAGCCTTGGGCCTGAATTTGCAGGGATGTAGATGTTCATCATTTCTTCACCCTGACATTCGTGGCCAGGACGTCATGGTCTCTGGCACACTCACGCTTTAGCTGAGGAAACAGCCCTGGCTGTGACTTTATGACATGGTCTGGGTTTGCCCACCAGGTGTCCTGTTGAAGTCTGAATGGACTGTGACTCCTCATTGCCAGGGGACAGGGGTCCCTCCAGCCTCATGGCCCCCTCGTGGGGGCTGGGCTGGCAGTGGGCCCCTGCCTCACGTGCTGTGTCTTCCTCCCCCAGGGCACAGGACCACACGGGCGATCGGGATACTCCCGACAGTTTCGTTCCCTCGTCCTCTCCCGAGAGCGTGGTTGGCATGGAAGTGAGCAGGTACCCAGATTTGTCCTTGGTCAAAGAGGAGCCCCCGGAGCCTGTGCCGTCCCCCATCATCCCCATCCTGCCCAGCAGCACTGGCAAAGGTAGGCTGCCCTGGCTGCTCAGCACCACACTACAGCCCACGCTGCGGTGTTCTGCTTCTCACTGCCTCTTTGTTTCTTTTTTTCCTTTCAAAGGTTCAGAATCTAGAAGAAATGACATCAAAACTGAGCCGGGCACTTTATTTTTTGCACCACCTTTTGGTTCATCCCCAAATGGCCCCAGATCGGGTCTTATATCTGTAGCGATCACTCTGCATCCTACAGCTGCTGAGGTAAAGAGGGGAGCCCCCTGTGGGGTGCAGAGCACATGCTGTGCTCCCTACCAACCCCCACCCCCCCCACCCCCTCATGGCTGGGCAGGCAGGGCAGGCTCAGTGGGCCCTGAAGTCCTGAGGCAGCATCCAGCTGACCTCAGCTAAGCAGAGGCCAGAGGCAGGGTGAGCTCCTAGCTCTCACTCTAGAGGGACATCTGGCGACTGTTCACACACAGAAAGTGATTGAAAGTCGTGAACAGTCCACGTCCCGGGAGCAGTGGGTGCTCTCAGCAGGCCCTGGGTCACTGAGCAGGAGGCTTGAAACACTCAGCTCTGCCAGTGCCGGGGCTCATGGGCTGGCACATTTGGCGGGTTGGTCCCCAGCAGGACTCGGCAGGAGCGGCACCCCGAGTCCTTATGTCTGCCAGGCTCTTGTCCATGACAGGATGGGGTCCCTGGAGGGCTTTCTGAGCTGCCGAGGGAGGTGGGAGCTGGGCTCGCTCCCTGGGTGTATCCCAGGCTCAAACCCCGAGAAGGCGCCTGTCCCCCGTGGGAGGCGTGTGGCGGGAGCCCTGTGGAGTGGTGTTGATAAGGGCTCTGTCTGGGTGTGTCCCTGAAAGCATGCTTCTCTGGAGACTCTTGAGTTCTAAGCGAAGGCACCGCGTCTGCAGACTGCCCGCAGCAGGCAGGCGGCTCGGGTCCGGCCGAGTCTCTTCGGGCTCTGCTGCCACCCGGCGGTGACGCCTTCATTTTCTGTCCTAGAACATTAGCAGCGTTGTGGCTGCATTTTCCGATCTGCTCCACGTCCGCATCCCTAACAGCTATGAGGTTAGTAACGCTCCGGATGCTCCCTCCATGGGTGTGGCCAGTGGCCACAGAGTAAACCCAGGTGCGGAGTATCGACAGCATTTATTTCTTCGTGGGCCTCCACCAGGATCTGCGCACCCTCCCAGATCAGCCAGCTCTTACCGGCTGCAGCAGCCAAATGTTCCATTTCCTCCAGCAAGCGACGGTGAGCTGGTTCACGTTTTCCTGACCCACATTCATTCTTGACTCAAAGTTAAGCTTACTCTCCTGAAACTGAGTTAATTCTGTACCTGTGACGGGAGCATGCTGGCGTGGGCCCCTGGCAGATCACCGTGTGTGTGGTTTGCTCTCGTGGCATGACAGCCCTTCGTGCGTGCTGGCAGGTGGCCAGCAGGACCCGCTCACATCCACCCCACTGGCCACCCAAGGCCGCCCTGGCCGTGCCTGCGCAGCTGCTGTCCGGCTTCTCCCACCTCCTGTCCCACCAGCTCCTTGCGTCACGCTGCAGCTGGCACCTCTTCTTTTCTCAGTGCCTCCCACTGCCTCTGCCCTCCGCACCTACTGCTTGGCCCCTCCATGGGTGCTAACGCTTCCCTCTCCTGCGGCCTGGTTGGGCCTCACCCGTCCCTGCTTTCTCGGCCTCTCAGCTCTCACCAAGGGGTTCTCCCTGAGAGTCACCTGCCTTGGCTGAGGCCTCGTGGCCTCTGGCTACTTCTTGTACACATCTCCCCTCCTCCCTCTGCCTCCTGCCCGTGCGGACGACATATCTGAGGACGCCTCGCACTTTCGATACCTGTGTCCAGACTGACATTTCTCTCTTGACCCTTGGCCTGCCTCATTCCGCTCTCAGCTTTCCAAATCACGCTTAAGACTTTGCACACACCCCTCTCCATTGCTCACTAGATGGCCCTTAAACAGAGTCTCTTCCCACAGTCACTCTTGGTTCTTAGACCATCAGTCTGTCGTGGTGACTGGCCATGTCTGCCCAGCTGCTGGAACTGGGTGTCCACATTCCAGCTTGGGGCCCTGCTCTAGGACCCCCTGCCCCACACAGTAGATGCTCCAGAACCCCTGCTTAGACTGCAGCATGTTTGTTAAATAAGCGTAACGTCAGCTGAAGGAGCCAGCTGCTCTCGGTGGGTGTGGCCTGGGCCTGTGCCGTGAGACCCCAAGGGGCTGGCCCGCTGGCACTACTAACCACGGCCCTTTGCCTCCAGGCCTGTCGGGGTTCAGGGGCTCTGGCCGCGGGGCCGCAGAAGGCGCAGCTCTCGGGCCGCAGTGGTGCTCCCACTGCAAGGTGGTCGTGCTGGGGAGTGGCGTGCGGAAAACCTTCCGAGACCTGACCTTTGCCGGCAAGGTACTTGGCATTCCTTCTGGGGTGGCTTCTCGGCCGCGGCCCTCCTGCACCAGCGAGAGGCCATTCCCGCGGCTTGGGGCGAGGGCTGGGGGTGTCCTGAGAAGCACATGGCCTGGAAAATACGAGATGCAGGCAGATAGTGAGGTTTTCTGTGGTAGATTTGTTTTCTCTGTGCCTGAAATACGGTGCGCTGAATGTTGGCACAGTGCTGCCTTTTTGCTTTAAGGTAGCTACCTAGACTTCGGACAGCACGCGCAACAAACCAGTAACTGAGAGGGCTCATTTTCATTAACTTGTGACTTGAGACCCCACGCACTTCGCTGCTTTTCAGGACCCCCGGGAAAGCTGTGGTGGGGCGAGGGACGCCGTCTTCTGCAGCAATAACTGCTTCGTCCTCTACGCGTCGACATTGCAGGCAAAGCATTCAGAAAGCAAGGTACGGGGCGGCAGGTGATCAGCTGTGCCCGAGTGAGTGGCTTCCGGGATGCACTAGTGCCTAAAAGTGGGACTGAACCCCTCCCTCCGGAGAGCTCACTGTGCGGAACACCCCATGCAGGCACTGCTGGGGCGGGCGCCGGGAGGGCCTGGTTCCCGCTGCTGTTGCAGACTGAACTCGCACAGCCCGTTTGATCAGAATGGAAGGCTTGGATTTTATCTTTCAAAGTTGGGAACTAAAACACGAACACTACAGTCTTTAACTTTGCTCACCCAGCTACAGGCTGCAGGTGTAAACACTGCTTTTCTCTCCGCCCGTCCTGGTGAGAGAACCTGTTCGCAGGCAGCGCTTAGGTCACCCGCATCCTAGAGGACAAGGCACGATGCAGACACCCTGGCGGGGAGGGCCGCGGTGCGACTCCACTGCCGAGGCCTCACCTCAGCGCCTCGGTCCGGGCCTCGAGGTGCCGCTCACGCTCACGCGGGGATGGGGAGACGCTCTTCCGCAGCCGCTCCTCCACCTCAGTGCTCCGGCTGTTGCCCCTTCTCGGGAGAGTGTCGCAGACACTTTCCTCTTAGTGGCCCCCAGAGGAGTGAGATCCGAGCCCTGGACCAGATGCAGGCATTAAGCTAGGATCCCCAGCCCCTGTGGAGAGGGGCTGCCCACCAGACAGTGTCCTGTGTTGGGCAGTGCCTGCTGCTCTGGGCGTGGGCCTGGGGGCTGGGGGCACCTGGGACATGGGGACCTGCTGGTTGTACACCCTGTGTCTCAGAGGGCACTCTGAGCTGCTCTCGGGCGCCTCTCAGCGGCTGGATCAGTACTGACAGCCTCAGGTAAATTCACTATGGCTGCTCTGCTGACAAGGAACTCACCCCTGTGACATTTGTGCCAATTAATCAAGCCTAAGATCAGCCGCAGGAATTCCAGAGAGGTGGGGAGAAGCAATGGGAGGCACTTTGCAGAAATTCTTCCAGCTCCTTGTACACACTGAATGAGCTGACCCCCACTGCCGGGTGGGGCGGGGCCCGCGGGAGCCGTGGAGCAGAATATCTCCAGACACCCACCGAGGGACCTGTGTGACCTCCCTGCAGGGGTCCTCACCCCCGCCCCACCCCAGAGTCACATGCCGGGTGGGCCCCGGGCTTCTGTGTGAGCAAGAGTCTCTCACTGTTGTTTTCCTGGGTCTGTCTCAATCAGGACTCTGTTCCTTCACTGCCACCGTCGCCTGTAAAAGAGACGCCTTCCCGAGCCTTTCACCAGTACAGCAACAACATCTCCACGCTGGACGTGCACTGCCTGCCCCAGCTCCAGGACAAGGCCTCGCCGCCCGCCTCGCCGCCCATCGCTTTCCCACCTGCGTTCGAAGCGGCCAAGGTCGAGGCCAAGCCTGACGAGCTCAAGGTCACCGTCAAGCTGAAGCCCCGGCTGCGGACCGTGCACGGGGCCTTCGAGGACTGCCGGCCCATCAGCAAGAAGTGGCGGGGCATGAAGTGGAAGAAGTGGAGCATCCACATCGTGATCCCCAAGGGCACCTTCAAGCCGCCCTGCGAGGAGGAGATCGACGACTTCCTGAAGAAGCTGGGCACGTCCCTGAAGCCCGACCCGGTGCCCCGGGACTTCCGCAAGTGCTGCTTCTGCCACGAGGAGGGGGATGGCGTGACGGATGGCCCGGCCCGGCTGCTCAACCTGGACCTGGACCTGTGGGTGCACCTCAACTGCGCGCTGTGGTCCACCGAGGTCTACGAGACCCAGGCGGGCGCCCTCATCAACGTGGAGCTGGCGCTGCGCCGGGGCCTGCAGATGAAGTGCGTCTTCTGCCACAAGATGGGGGCCACCAGCGGCTGCCACCGCTTCCGCTGCACCAACATCTACCACTTCACCTGCGCCATCAAAGCGCAATGCATGTTCTTCAAGGACAAGACGATGCTCTGCCCGGCACACAGGCCCAAGGGCGTCCACGAGCAGGAGCTGAGCCACTTCGCTGTCTTCCGGCGGGTGTACGTGCAGCGGGACGAGGTCCGCCAGATTGCCAGCATCGTGCAGCGCGGCGAACGCGACCACACCTTCCGGGTGGGCAGCCTCATCTTCCACGCCATCGGCCAGCTGCTCCCGCAGCAGATGCAGGCCTTCCACTCCCCGAAGGCGCTCTTCCCCGTGGGCTACGAGGCCAGCCGCCTGTACTGGAGCTCGCGCTACCCCAACCGGCGCTGCCGCTACCTGTGCTCCATCGAGGAGCGGGACGGGCGCCCCGCCTTCGTCATCAGGGTGGTGGAGCAGGGCCACGAGGACCTCATCCTGAGCGACACTTCGCCGAAAGGTAGGGCCTCCCACCCGGCTGCATGTCCCCCCCCCCACCCCCACCCCCAGCTGCTCAGCCCAGCCTTGCAGGGGGCTGGCGGCTACTGTCTCGCATGGGTTTGGGCACAGGCCAGGGGCTCCCCGTGGGCAGCAGCTCGGGCTGCCCTCTGGTGACCCTCGCGGCACACCGTGGGCCTGGCGCCTCTCTGGCCTCAGGCCTGAGACCACTCTGGAGCTGGAAAGCACGTGTGCCGATCCGGGTGTAAGCGCAGGTTGTTATGTCCTGAGGCCTGATTTAAAAGCTGTAGGAGGTGACTCTGAAGGTCACCCCAGCGGGAGCGTCGGGATCCTGTGTTTTGACCCAGGGAGGAGGAGCGGGGTGCCTGCCGGGGTCTGCTTCGGCCGCTGCGAAGTGCGGATTCCAGACACAGTCCCCTTCTCAGCCACTCTCGCTGCCCCGCGCTCCCAGTGCAGCGGCTCCTCCTCCCTGGAAGTCCGTAAAGGCTTGAAAGTCAGCTGCCCCGTGGTGAGCAGGCGCCAGGCGGCTGAGGCTGCGTCCCCGCCTGCCCTGGGGGCCAGGAGCCCCAGACTCCCCGTCGTCCTGCTCTTGTTTCTGACCCGGCCCCTTCCCCATCACCAAGAGCGGCCTGGTCCTGACATCCGCGCTGTCGCCCACAGGTGTGTGGGATAAAATCCTGGAGCCCGTGGCCTGTGTGAGGAAGAAGTCGGAGATGCTCCAGCTCTTCCCGGCGTACCTGCGAGGCGAAGACCTGTTTGGCCTGACGGTCTCCGCGGTGGCTCGGATCGCCGAGTCGGTGAGCACTGCGCCTGCGTCCCTACACACCGCCTGGGGCCTGGGTTAAAGACCGGCAGGTGTGGGTGGGCACCGGCGGTCCGCAGGGGCCCACAGACAGGCTCGGTCCTCAGGTCCAGGCTGTGGGCACGGGGGCCGGCACCTGGCCTGGCAGAACACTGAGGTGCTGTCTCCTCTGTCCTTCCGCTGCCGCCCACGCCATGCTCTGCACCCAAGCGGCGGAGGTCCCGCCACCGGGCTGTGGCAGCTGCCCAGCAGGCAGTGGGCACCATGGCCACTCTGGTGTCTTGTGCAAGACCAGTGTGTCTGGCGACATGTCTGCACATGCACCTGTAGGTACCTGCGTGGGAGTAAGGCGTCATTTCCAGGAATACAGGGAGTCCTGGTGGGGGATCCTGTCTCCTGGAGAAGGAGGGGACACCCGGAAGGCCTCACTGAGTCACGTGCTGATCGTGTCTTGGCACGACCCCACCTGCGCACACGCACTGCACATGTCTGCAGGGAGCCAGACTCCTAGGACGTGACGCAGGAGGCCGACGTGCCGCAGGAGGCCGACCCAGAGCTTAGTTTGCCAATCGACCTTGCGTCTCCACCTCGACCCCAGGACTGAGCAACGCCCCCAGCCCCAGCCGAGCTGAGGGAGGCAGATGACACGTGCTGCACTTGGTGCCCAAGCTGTAGGGATGGGGAGCTGGAGTCACTCGCGCAAGTGTGCGCGTGAGTGTGTGCGTTCCTCACCACGGGAGGGGTGGCCCCCGCAGCCCTGGGGGACACAGGCAGGTGGCAGCTGCTCGAGCCGCACATGGTCCCTGCCTTCTTCGTGGTGCAGGGCCAGGCCCACCGCGTTCAGCTGGGGACCCGTGTGTCCCCGGCAGTGGCCCACGGGGCCCGAGCGGGTGGCCGGCGTCCGCCCGCTCTCAGGACCGTCGTCAGCCAGGGGCCACGTGGGCAGGCAGTGACCCTGTCCCGTGCTTCCCGCAGCTGCCCGGGGTGGAGGCGTGTGAGCACTACACCTTCCGCTACGGCCGGAACCCCCTCATGGAGCTGCCTCTCGCTGTCAACCCCACTGGCTGTGCCCGCGCCGAGCCCAAGATGAGCGCGCACGTCAAGAGGTTTGTGTTAAGGTATTTTGTTTTCACTTCACGTAGTGCAGCCCAGCGTCCGTGCGCGCGGCTTCCTGCTTGGCTTGTCTGCCGCTTACGAACCCTGCCGTCAGCTGCGCTGGGCCCGTGTGGGCGCGGGCTATGGGGTGCGGGCGGCCTGGCTGGGCCCGTCGGGGGAGCTTCAGTTGTCCTTCTGTCCCCCGCGCCCGTGGTCTGCAGGCCCCACACCCTGAACAGCACCAGCACCTCCAAGTCCTTCCAGAGCACAGTCACCGGGGAGCTGAACGCGCCCTACAGCAAGCAGTTCGTGCACTCCAAGTCCTCGCAGTACCGCAAGATGAAGACCGAGTGGAAGTCCAACGTGTACCTGGCCCGGTCCCGCATCCAGGTGAGGGGGGAGGCCAGCAGGACAGTGGCAAGGCCCCAGCTACGGGTCGGTCTTGCCATCAGTCCCGCTGGTCCCCATCCCGTGCTGCCTCCCACCTCCACCGGGCTCTCCTCGTGCTCAGGTCAGCCCTGAGCTGAAGCCTCGTGGGGAGTTCCGTCGTCCGTCATCTGCTTCTCCTCCCACCTGCCTGCTGGTCAGCTGCGTCCATGGGCAGGAGGCCCGTCTCCCCGGGCTCCCAGCAGTGTGTCCGTCGGCAGCAGCGGCTTCTCCCTGAGCTGGGCCCTGCAATGCCCCGCGTGTCGGTGGCAGGTCGTCGGCTGTCGCGCCCCTGGCGAGGGTCATGTTACTCACGGCGCAGCCCCACTCACAGGGCGCTTGGGGGTCTCTTGTATCCTTGGGGCGTCTAGGCCAGCCACGTCTCCCTGGTGAGGTTTCAGTGTGGAGGCCATGAGTCCCCCTGGCAGCGGCTGTTCTCCCCTGTGCAGTGGACACTGTCCTGGCCCTGCAGTGTGCCGGCTGCTGGCCGCTGGCTGGTTGCCCTCCTGCGGGCCATACAGTGGCCTGTGTCCATCTGGGCCACGCAGTCTGTGCGCAGAGGCTGTCCTGTGTGAGCGCAGCGTCGTCTCAGCTCTGGCCGGGTGGGGCTGTGCTCTTCCGCGCCGTGCACGACCCCTGTGGAGGTGCCGCGTCGCGCTGTGCGCCTGCTGTCCGCCCGCCGGGGCGCTGCTCCGCATCCTCGCCTGCGCCCGCATGGCCTACGCAGGGTGCGCTTCCTCTCCGCCGACTCCGCCCGAAGCGAGCGGATGAGCCGCGTGACGTCTCCAGAGGACGGTTCAGGGCCCACGCCCGGTGCTTGGGGGTGGCCTCAGGAGCCCGTGCGCATCCTTCCCCTGCGGGGCTGCCCCTCACGGCCCTGTTGCCGCGGGAACTGTTGTGTTGGGAGGCTCCGGCTGGAATAGGGCGCGGATGCGGCCGCCCCCGCCCCCACCCCCATTGTCAGCGTGGTGTTTGTCCGGCACTTGGACGCTGAGCAGGAGCGTGCGGCGCATAGTGGGGTGGCGGGGAGCCCTGCGGTGTTCCCTCGGCAGCCTCGGGTTCTGCCCCGGGGTCAACTCCCTCTCATCGCGCCCTGGGCTTCAGAGCAAAGCGTGTTTCCTGGTCGTCTCTGGCTTCCAGGGGCCGAGCCAGACCTGAGACCAGCGCCGGTGTGGGCAGTGCTGGGTCAGCCTGCGCTGTGCAGCCTGGGAACGGAGTGGACATCCGCAGCGTCCTGGGACGCCCCTGCTCTGGCCCACCCAAGGGAATGCTGTCCGCGTGGACCTGAGGGCCAAGACGCTGCGGCATGGCCTGCAGGATGGCCGGGCCCCTCGCCCTGGTGATGACCAGGGATCCACGCTGGGCTAGGTGTTGGGGCCGGCCCCTGCGCCTCTGGGCACTTTTTTATTTTTTTTTTAAAGATTTATTTATTTATGCCTACAAGAACCAGGGTACGGGCCATAGGTGTGGGGAGGGTGAGGATTCACCAGAGACAGTGGGGAGCAGAACAGGCAGATCCACTGAAGTCCACTGCTCAGGGGAGCAGCGGGGAGACAGGAGAGGTCTGCTGCGCCCTGTGGGTAGTTCCCTGGCCAGCAGGGATCGAACCCACGCTGCAGAGGCCGGGGACAGCTGCACAGTGCTGTGGTCAACCCGCTGCGCCACCAGGGAGGCTCCTCTGGGCACTTTCTAAGGGGATAGCACCCCACGTGGGCTTCCTCTGCGCATGAAAGGGCCAGCGCGCGCCCAGGATGGCCTGTGCCGTGACGTGAGGTCAGGCCGGGGGTGCCGGAGCCGACGGCTCCCAGGTTCTCCCCCCCGGTCATCTCTGGACTCTGACTCCCACCTGGGTTCCCCTCTAGCTATCAGTTCTGTGAAACCCTCCTGGAGACAGTGGGATAGAGTAAGCCCCGGCCGCTGTCAGGCCCTGGCCAGCTGGCGTTGGCGCGGCTTGTCCAGCGAGGGGGACCTGGGGGCGGGGGCGCGGGGCCTGGGCCGCACTCACGCTGGGCTGTCGCAGGGCCTGGGCCTGTACGCGGCCAGAGACATCGAGAAGCACACCATGGTCATCGAGTACATTGGGACCATCATCCGCAACGAGGTCGCTAACCGGAAGGAGAAGCTCTACGAGTCCCAGGTGCGTGCGGCGGGGGCTCACCTGGCAGGCGCGGGATGGACCCCACGGCCTGGAGTCCCGTGTCTGCCACCAGCCTGGCCTTCGGTCACTGCCACTTCCCGGAGACCTGCCGTGGACGGGCTGGACTTATGGCCCTGCCGGCCGGCGGGTCCCCTCGTCCCCGTGGACGCTGTTGACCGGCAGCCCTTCAGGGGCCGCGGCTCTGGCTCGGCAGCCCTCGGCTCCAGCGTGGACGTGCGCCTTGTCTTGCAGAACCGGGGCGTGTACATGTTCCGGATGGACAACGACCACGTGATTGACGCCACCCTCACTGGGGGGCCTGCCAGGTGAGCCGGCGGGCAAGGCCTGGGCAGAGGGGCGGGAACGAGCCTCCCCTGGGCTGGCTGCGCTCCTGCCGAGCCCTCGGTGGGCAGGCGGCGTCGCGGGGAGACCCCGGGAGCTGGAAGCGGCGGCTCCCCGCCCGCCTCGACAGTGAGCCCTTCTCCGCACGGCGGCCGCAGGTACATCAACCACTCGTGTGCGCCCAACTGCGTGGCCGAAGTGGTGACCTTCGAGCGAGGTCACAAAATCATCATCAGCTCCAACCGCAGGATCCAGAAAGGAGAAGAGGTACCGTGTGGGCTCCGGTGGGGGGGGGGGGGGCCCTTGGCCACCCTGTCCTCCCTCCCCCCCGCAGCACCCCCCCCCCCGCCGGCCGCTCTTGGCCCCGGGGTCAGCCCCACGCCCCGGGAGGGCATCCCTGGCTGCTCCCCGCCGGGCAGGGCGGTGCCGGCCCCGCTGCTGTCGCCGAGCTGGCGCGGGCGTCCTGGGCCTTGGCGGCTCCTGGGCGCCGCGGCGGGGCCCACGCGGGTCTCGCGGGAGCAGACTTCGGGCTTTGGCCGGTTGGCGCTCCTTGTCCTTGGACAAGGGACCTTTGCAGCCTTGGTCCCCCGGCGGCTTCGGCCCACCCGCTCCCCTGCTGAGGCTGTGGGTCTCAATGGCCCCGCTCCTTACGGTTCTGGTTCTGGTTCTGGACTTCGTCTTTCACAGATGCGGTCAGCACCGATCTCAGGGCCTTGGGGACTGTGGGCCTAGGACAGGGGCCGCCAGGAGCCCCCGCGCCAGCGCCCTGGTTTCTGCTGGGGTGACCAGCTTGGGTCTTCCCTCGGCCGGCGCCGCAGCCCTCGGTGCCCCGAGCTGCGGGGTTGGGCGTGTGGTCGGTGATCTTTGTGGGATCCCCTTTGTAAATCAAGAATCGACCCCAAGGCCCATGGCCCGTCTCCGGCGTCCCCCTTGATGAGAAAGTGCGGGAAAGCAGGCGCGAGCCCGGGCGGGGGTGGGGGCCGCAGAGCACCCCGGCCTCGGGGTGGGTGCAGACCCCGCCAGGCGGCCGCGTCCTGCCCCTTTGTGCTCGGCGCCTCGAGTCCGTGCGCCTCCGGCCGCCGGCTGGCGTGACGCGCTGGGGGGTGGTCGTCGCCCCGAGAGCCGCTCCCGGGTGGACGGCCTCGGCGTGGGCGGCCTGACCCGGGGCCCGGAGCCGCCCCTCTGCCGGCCGCTGACCGGGCGTCGGCGCGCAGGGCCGGGCGGGGGGAGGTGGGAAGGGGCCGGGGCCGCCCGGGGTGGGGGGGCGGCCGGGCCGGGCCGCTGACCCGTGTCTTTGCATGGGCAGCTCTGCTACGACTACAAGTTCGACTTCGAGGACGACCAGCACAAGATCCCCTGCCACTGCGGCGCCGTCAACTGCCGCAAGTGGATGAACTGAGCGGCCCGGCGGACAGACTTGTCCTTCCCCCTCGATGACTTTGCAAACGCGCTTCTGGGCGCCGGCCCCGCGGCCTCGGGAGACACGGCCCGGCGGCGGGCCGGGCGCCGCAGACGGCCCAGCACTTTCGTTCTTCTTTCCTTTTCCCTTTCTTCCGTGGGTGGGTTTGTTTCGTTTCGTCTTTTCGTCTCACTAAGGAGCAACTTACTGGGGCAAAGAGCCGAAGGCCGCCCTGCCGCCGCGCGGGGCGCCTCTATGAATGTAAGACTGAGATCACCAGCGAGCGAGAGCCCGGGTGCTGGCCGCGGCCTTACGGAGGGGCCGGGCCCTCCGACCCCGTCGCAGACGCGTCGACGCCACTGAACAAGGAATGTACCGGGGAGACTTCCTTAGGGCTAGAGCTAAGGGATAATAACTTGCACTAAATACATTTAAATACTTGATTCCATGAGTCAGTTTATTGTAGTTTTTGATTTCTGTAAAATAAGAGAAACTTTTTGTATTTATTATTGAGTAAGTGAATGAAGCTATTTTTAAATAAAAGTTAGAGGAAAGCCAAGCTGCTGCTGTTACCTGCAGAACTAACCAACCCTGTTACTTTGTACAAACGTGTAAATATTTTGAGAAAAATGACAGTATAAAAATAGTTATTGACCAAATGCTACCAGGCTCTGCAGCAGCGCGGGTGCTTACACGATGTTCCTGGGGATGTCACAATATAATTTTGTTATTAAACACGCCCTTCTGGTTCTGTAATAACCAAAACGTCAACCTGGAGTGTTTGGGGGCTTTTTGGAAACCGGGGTCTACTAGGACTGACTTGTTTTATACACACCTCCCTTCTGTCGGGGCAGAGCGTCCGCTCCGACGACGACTTTTCTAGCTGTTTTGGTAACGGAAACTAATTTTTTCATATTATATTGTCGCATCCCTACTTCTTGAGTCAGGTTTTTTTGTGCTTACAATTTGTGATAACTGTGAATAACTGCTTCAAAGACACCCAAATGGAGCTGAAATTTTCTTCAGCAAAGTAGTTTTGAGTAGAACTCCGTTGCAAGCCGCCGAGAATCATGTAAACACGACAGGATCATGTAGCAGGAGCGCAAGCGGAATCTCTAGCCTTCTAGCTCCACAGAAATTGAAAACGAAAAAAAAAAAACCACAGGTGATTCGCTCGCAGCTGCAGGGTCCGCGACGGGCTTTTGAAAGATGTAATTTTAAAATGTGTTTGTATGGACGTTTGTTTACATTTCTTTAATAAAAAAGGACACACTGTTTTGTGTTTGCTTGTAGAGACTTAATCAGCATCTTGAACCAGGTTAGCTTTTTATTTTGTACTTAAAGTTCTGGTACTGGCGCTCCGGGGGGGGGGGGGCGTCCCTACCTGGCAGAGCGCCCGACTGTACATACTCCCCCCAGGCGGCCGTCCGGACCGCGTCCCGTGTACCGCGCCCGCCACCCCGCCAGTATTTGTTGCGTTCTGTATAATAGTGCGTCGTGTGGGCGAAGTGGGCCTTTTGAAGTATACAGAGTGTTATGGGTTTTGGAACTTGTGGACAGATTTAGAAGATCATTTACAAATAAAATATTTTACATCTACGGAGAGCCGCCTGCGTCTCTTACTGTCCGGGGCGCGCTGGGCCTCCGGCCTCTCCGAGGCCTCGGGGTGTTTCCGTCTCGGGGCCGGCTGACCTCGGGGGCCGGCGCCCGCCACTGAGGTCGGGCTCGTGCCGCCGGCCCCTTCAGCAGCCCTCGGCCGGGGGCGCGGGCCTGCCCTCTTGTCCGGGGCTTGGTTTTCGGCTGCGCCTGTCCCCGTTCGGCCCGCGAGGGCGGGCGCCCGGCGGCCCCGGCTCGGACAGCCCCTTCCCAGGATTGTCCGCGGCTCGCGGCGACGAGGGCGTCTGTTCCTGCGCCTGAGCAGGCCGGGGCTTGGCGTCTTTTGGGGGTGTTTGCCGAGGTCCGGTTGATGCCAGTAGGCCTCACGCCCTGGTCGACTTTTTCCCCCCGAGGCAGCGCTTCCCGACGCGCTCGCCTGCTGGCTGCGGGGGTGTGGACGCGTCTCAGGAGGCTTAAAGAACGAGAAATTGCTCTGAACACCCCGCTCCGTTTCTAAACAGACTCTCACCTCTGGGCTTCGTGAGCACCCGAGAGCAACAAGCTTTGTTTTGCTGAGCTGTGTAGACTCTCGGGGCGCCTGCCATCCGACCAGAGCCCGCGGGGAGCCCTGGCTGGGCGGGCCTGGCGGTAGCCTGGCCTTTGGCCTCAGACCTGACCTGTACGGTCAAGAGTCGAGTCAGGAGACTCCCGGTGCCACCTGCCACCAGGCCGAGGAGCCCAGGGGCCCTGGGCACGCAGGAGGCAGCCGCCCCGGGCCCCGTCTTCCTGCAGCAGCGCCGGGAGCACCCCCGGGATGCAGGTCGGAGCCCCCTCGAGGCCTGGATCGCGCAGTGGCAGTGCCAGGACAACCCCCTGCTGCCGCGGAGCCCGAGAGCCTGGTCTCCGGGTCTCCCAAGGCCCCGAGGAAGGGCGGCACCGTGGAGCGGAGCACGAAGGGCCTGTGCCAGGAGCCAGCAGGCGAGTGTGGGGGACCCAAGTGCCTGGGCCGCCCCAGACAGGGCTACGAGCCCAGCCCCGGGGGGGGGGGGGCTGGGGGTGGCATGCAGTGGGGAGGGCACGGGAGGTGGTGGCCTGGGGCTGCTCAGGCGGTTGCGCTGCTCTCCCCGGTCCCCCACCCACCCGGGGCCGCTCGGGGTCTTTGGCCTGGCTCGGCCTTCCCCGGGAGCGTCTCCCCGCGCCGGAGGGCCTTTGTGAAAAACCGCTCCCGTGGGGGAGCACATCGGGGCACCCCGGCTCCAGGCACCCTGAAAAGAGCCCCACCAGAGCCCCGCGGCAGCACCCGCGAGGACACTGAGGTGCGCGGAGAGGCCTGGCGTTGCCCTTTCTGCTCGAGCGAAAGGACCGAGATGTCCCTTCGGGAGGAGCCGGGCCTCCAGCACGCGGAGCCCGGCCTGTGACCCGCGCGGGTCCGGAGCGCTGCAGAGGCCGGGCCCGCTCCTGCTTGCGGACAGGCCGCGCCCGGCCAGCGCTACCCGCACGGCACCAGGCGTGGCGAGGACCCGGCGGAGCCCGCGCTCGGGGAGCGGCTGGAGGTGAGTGGGGGCGGGGGCTGCTCGGGCGGCCTCCCCGACCGACCGGGCACCGCGGGCGTTTGTGACGGCGGCTTCTTGCTGCTGCCGGTACCGCCGGCCCGAGAGCTTCCCCGCCTGCCGAGCGCGCGGTTGTGTGTGGGGCTGGGGCGCGCGCCCCGCGCTGGACCCTGCCGGCGGTTCGGTTCCCCGGCCGTGCTGCCGACCGGCGAGGGGGCTGCCCCGCGGGCCCAGCCTGCGCCCCTCGCGGCTGAGCGATGGCGGCCCGTGTGGCCCCCCGCAACTGCGCCTGGCCGTCCCGCGAGCCTCGCTTGGCCCGCGGAGGCTGACACGCGGCCGCACTCAAGTGGAGGCGCCTGCGCGGACCCGCGGCTCCGAGGGTCCCCACCTCACGGGGCTTGGGCCGTCTCTGGGCAGCAGGGGACCGCCGCCCGTGGGGGCTGTCCTGCGTTCCCGGCCCTGGGGCGGGGTTGGTCCCGGGGCCCCAGCCAGCCGCCCCCGCCCCCGGACGCCAACAGCAGAACTGGCCCGGCGGAACCTCTCCTGCCGCCCGGTTCCGTTTCCTTCAACGCCTCAGTGGTTGTCTCTTGGCCCAGGTTCATTTCGAGACTCTTTCTGCCGCCGCTGGACTTTCTGCGCTGTCACCGTGGGCTTCCAGGTCCCGCCCCTTGAGTCTTCCCCGCTGGGTGACGGCACCACAGGCCCCAGGGAGCGGGCCCAGCCCAGGGGCCTCGTCCAGGGCTGCTGCTCCCCTCAGGTGACGTGGTCAGGGGGCCGCCTCCGGCCTGGCAGCCGCTCCTTGAGAATTTAGTTTCCCTGAACTGGTGGGCCGCGCGGCCCCCTGGGGACGAGGCGCCTGGCCCGGCCCCTCCGCTGCCCTGAGGATGGCCCGGTGCCATCCTGCCCCGGCTCCGCAGGCTGTGCCCTAAAAAGCAGCCGCAGCGGCCAGTCCCCAAAGCGCTCAGGCTCCTGCGCTCCCCCACCGGAGTTGGGGGTCCCTCCTGCCCAGCGAGGGTCTCGGGCTCACCCCCACATGCGGGGTCACCGGCGGGGCTGGCATGGGCTCCCGGGCCGGCACCCACCACCGCTGCTCCCCTTCGTCGTCAGCCGGACGCGGGGCTGCCCCTCCCCCGCGCTGGGCTCCAGCTGGCACAGCCGCGTTCGTCACCAGAGACTGAAAACGTGGCTCTCGGCGGGGCGCGGGCGGGCGGGCGGGCGCTGGGCCGAGGCTTCACCTGCCCGTCTGGACAGAGGCGGCTGCTCCGCGCTGCTGCGACTCCCTGTCGCGCCTGAGCGGGGCGCTCGCGCCGCCGTCCACTTTGAAAATGGGGTTCCTGATGGCGCAGCTGCGAGGCGCTCCCTGCCCCCTGCCCCCGGGGCCCGGCCCACTCGGCTTCCAGGACTCGCTGGTCTCCGAGACCCTCGCGCCGCGTCTCGGGAGGACAGGCCGCCTCCTCCGGGGCCCGCTCGCCTGCCCGGCGCCCAAGGACTGACACCCCCCCCCCGCCCCCCGCCCCGGGCCGCCGGTCAGCCTGGAGGGGGCGAAATCCCCCGGTTTCCAGCCGGGCCGTCGTCAGGCGCTCGCAGAGGCCCTTGGGCCGGGCGGACAGCCCCGCGTCTGCCTTGCGGCGCCCGCATGCCCGCTGCCCCCGCCCAGCTGCCCCCCCCCACCCCGATGCCTCTCCAGGACGGGAGTCCATGTCCACCTGCGACGGGGGCACTGCCTTTGGCCCAGCCCAGTGGGGTTCAAGGTGGTCTGTTCCGCTGGGTGGGCAGCGCCACGAGGGTGCCCGCCTCAAGCTGGCGACGACCCGCCGCCGCCATACGGTCTTGGGCTGTGTCGAGGCCCGAGCACCTGGGGCCCTCCCTCTCGGTGAGCCGCCCTGCCCGGGGCTGCTGAACGGCTCCGGGGAGCTTCCCTCGCTGTCAGCCACGCGTGAGCTTTCCCGTCCTGTCAGCTCAGCCGTGCCTTCAGCTGTGCAGGGACTTGCCTGCAGCCAGCAGCGCCGGCCTTGCGTTGTCTGCTCTGGCGCGCTCTGCCGCGAACCGGCGGTCAGGCCACGGGCGCGCCCCAGCTGACATGATGGCGCTTGCTGGGTCGAACGTGCCATCCCTGCTCTTCCAGCTTGCTCTCCGTGCCACCTGGTCTAGACAACAGGCTGGATGGGATGCCCGACACCCAACACGTATCTGCTACAGCTTGGCCTGCTGAAGGGAGCTCTGAGGGGAAATGATGAAGAAAAAAGAAAACCTCCCTTGAAACGCAGGCGCGACAGCAGAGGATTCGTAAGTTCCTCTTTGTATGTGAGGCACATCTTCTGAGGCGCCCTGCGTCTGCATAGAGGCTCTGCTGAGCGTACCCCGGCTCCCACACGTCGGCTTCAGCGTTCAAGGCAAGAAGCTTGTGGCCACGTCACACGCAGCGCGCAGGCCAGGAAGGCCGGACGCCGGGTCAGAGAGGCAGCACGCCAGAAACCGCCAGGTAAGTCATCCAAAGGATCCTTTATTTCTAATGCAGAGAGTACCGTGATTCAACAAAATAATTTATAACAGTTACTGCCTCTTAAATATAATCTTGTAAATGCCTCTTCCTGCAGTTAAAAGCAAAGCCGTCTGCTCCGCGGCGCCCTGCGCTGGTGGCGGCTGCTCCCTGCTCAGAGGGCTGGGGGGCGCCCCAGTCAGTCTGGAGAGGGGGGTCCACTCCCCGGGCCTCACGCTCTGCGCCAACCGGAGCTGCGTTCCGGCTCCCCCGTCGGCCCCACACTCCCCGCTCGTCCTGCAGCACCCAGAGGACCGGCGACCAGCCCTCGTCCTCCCAGGGGGGTGCCATGTCCTCCTCGAGCACACGCCACCCAGAGGCGCACTGCCTGTTGGTGCCCATCCAGGCCACAGGGTCCCCCTCAACCTTCCAGATGCCACTGCTGCGAGGAGGAGCCGTCACAGATCGCCATAGCGACGTAGCCTTTGTGGCTCAGCGGGTCGGCCGCGCGCAGGCACTGTCCCACCGACACCTGGTACAGCCGGTTGCTCTTCTGGAAAAGGCACGAGGGGGAGACGGCACCGGGGTTCGCTTTAAACACAGCCAGAGCGGCCAGGCAATCCAGGAGAGGCCAACATTTTAGGAGACCTCCCCCAGCACCCCACTCCACCAGCAGGCTGCGCCGGGCCCCTAGGCCACACTCCCAGCCTCCCGCCACCAGCTCCTCACCCCGAAGGTCCACTGCTGCGACCCCCCCGAGCCGTGGCACTTCATGAGGCGCGGCGGGTCTGACGAGCGCGTCTCCGACATGTCCAAGCAGAGCAGGTTATTCAAGACCAATTCGTGCTCCTCATTGTAAACCCAGATCTAAGGAGAAAAGCAAAGCCACGCTGTGCTCCGGGGTCCGGACGGCACCGCGCCCCGAGTCTCGTCTGCGGGGCCTCGCAGGGCAGGCCAGACCCAGGGGGCTGCCGGGTAAGAGCCCGACACTGGAGTCACGAGCGGCGGGGCGCAGGGCAGGCCGCCCCTGCTCAGGACGGGCGGCCACGGCCACAGGCTGTGACGCCGTCGGCCTGTGCTCTGCGCTCCCTAGGACTGAGCTTGGGATTTCAGCCTGACACCCCAGCGTCGGCGTCTCCCTAGAAAGTGATCCTTCACAGCGTCTCCCTTACGGCCTCAGCCTATGTCCAGGCACAAAGGCCTAAACTGGCCAAAAAGGGCAAACGGCAGGAGGACGTGTTCCCCCTCCTCAGCACTCCTGCTCCTCCCCCCGAGGCCTGCTGGACCGGCTCGCTGCCGGCGCCGGGACGGGGTTCCCTGCGCGGACGCCCCACGTGGGAGCCAGCAGCCAGTGTGCACGGGGCAGACCACACCTGTGCCCGTGCCCCCAAACTACTTACCTCTTCCGGAACGAATCCCACCATCTCGCCTCCCCGTGACCTGAGCTACCGGGCGTGAACCCCGTGGAGCACGCACCCCGCCGACACGAGCAGCCCCCGCCCAGGCGTCAGCACAAACTACTCCGAGAGCCTCTGTCTCATGACAGCAGCTGCCAGGCAGACGGGCTGCCCAGGACAGCGCTTTCCGCGCCACAGCTCCGAGAGCACCCGATGGCGCCGGTGAGCAGGTCCAACCCGCACGAAAGGGGTGTCTGAGCTGCAGTGTCCTGAGGACGTGCACGTCCACTTGCTAGGGATGTTCCCGCCCAGAAGGCCGCGTCTCCTTTGCCGACTCTAACCCGTTCATTCTACGTAACTAGAAAGGACGACGGTGTTCCAGGAGACAGAGCCGCGCTGTAAAGCAGTTCTATCAGATGATCTCGGGGGCTACTCCCAGGCCCCCACCTCGGGAGTGAGCTGTCAGCAGCCGCCAGCCCAGAGGCGTCACCCACCTGGCTGGGGTCTCCGGAGTCGCACGCCTTCAGCACCACGAGGCCTCCCTTCTGACTCGGGCGGCCCTGGGCCACCAGACACTTGCTGGTCTGGAGGTGATAGAGCTGTAACGAAGAGGCTGCACTCACAACCCGCACCAGGGAAGGACAAGGCCAGCGGCCCCCTCGTGCTAGAAAAGGAGGCTGGAGGGGCTGTCCGTCAGAGGAGGGAGGGCGGGAGCCCCGAAGCCAAGGAGACGGCCCTTTACTGCGTCCGCGCGCGCATCGCACAGAATCTAATCCTGTACCAAGACACACAGAAGCTGACTAATCCACAAGGAAGAAAATTAAAACCTCTGCCCCGAAGAGCCTTAAAAGTGAAATCCAGGAAACAAGAAAGGCAGAGCCCAGCACCACCCGTCCGTGCAACACCCGCGCTGAAGCGTCGGGCCGGGGCGGTGGGGATTTCAGCCGCGAGGACACACACGGTCTTTAGCCTGGAGGAAGGGGGACGTTTTGCTCCACTGCCAGAGGAGGCAACTCCCTGAAAGAGCCTTGGGAAGCATCGTCTCCGTGACAAGAGGAAACCAGACAACCCCAATACCCACACTCCACTTCAGAAGCCCAGTCTGAGGAGTGATGTAGGAACGTACACGTTCACGTCTAGGCCCCTAAAATTTACACGCGACGTGAAACTGAGACGTGAAGGGTGGGTCTCCGGCACTGAGCACCGAGGCTACTGGGCACTGCCTGGCCGTGCCCGCCGCGCAGTGCCCAGAGCGGTGCCAGCAGTCCACAGCCGCCCGACTGTCTCGGCCACCCGCACGTTACCCCGACGCTCTGTACTTGCACGTGCGGACCACCTGTCTGCCTTCTGGGAAGCGAGCAATGACTCGCCCTCACAGAAGCCGCCCCCCGAGAGGACGGCGGGAAACTGCACACCTCGGCCGTGAACGCCGGGCGCCCACAGCGCCACTCACCCTTCCACGCCGCAGGACCTTGGGGCGTTTCGGCCCCCTGTTGACGAAAATGGGCTGCTGGGGCTTGGCGTTGGGCCCGGACACCTGCATCTCTGGGTAAATGTTATCCAGGTACCACTTGAATGATTTACAGCCCAGCCGCTTCCTCAGCTCCACGCGCTCGCTGACATTTCCATAGCTCTTGGTCCTCAGGTCGGGCCTCAAGGAGAAATACTGTTCCTGGATTTAAAAAAAGTCAGATAACAGGCATTTTTTTGTTTTTAATAAATATTAGGTCATTCTATGCGAGGATTAAATATTATTTATGTCAGTGTTTTCTTAACATGGCCAAAAAATGTCCACGGAAAGCCTTCACGCAGCTGGTCATCGCCGACAAGGAAGATGGCGCTGAGATTCAGTAATGGCGGATACGCAGCGCCCACGTCAGGCCAGCAGGGTGGCTCCGGGAGCCAGGCAGGCCCGACTCTGGCCCCAGGGTCCCAAGGGTTTGTGGATGTGTCACGGCTGCTACTTTAGTAGAAGTTAAAATTGAAAACATCTATTCATTAAAAATCATAGACTTCCACGCCGCGACATAAATGCCTTCAACAAAAGTAAGTTTCTAAAACCAAAAACCTTTAGTGGCAACAGTGAGACCACTGTGAGCCTCTCCCATATCGGCAGAGAAACGTGGGGGGCGTCTTGGTCAAGGAGGAAAGTGCCTCACGACACGTAGCACAGCCGTTGCCCGACCTCGCAGGCCACGCCCTGGGCTGAGGCAAGACGAGGGTTACACAAGATCACCGTGGGCGACGGGACGCCCTCCGCCACAGCCACGACGGCTGCCCTGGCGAGGCAGGTGGAGGTTAGTGCAGGGCTGGGGACACCGCCTTTTTGAGGGGTGAAGCATCACTGCTACAGGGCTGCACGTGGCGGGCAAGGTAAGACCCTGCTGTGCGAGGCCACAGGAGCGGGGGGACCACGGGGCCCGGGTCTGTGGGAGTCACGCGCAGGACCAGGAGTAAACCAGAGTCTCCCCTGAGTCAACTGTGACCTCCCAGGGAGTGGCCAGTCGGGAAACTAGAGACTCGGAATGAGAGAAAAAGAGCAAAGGTCAAGCGGACACAAGCCAGCGTGCAGCAGCGGGTGGGCTGGCGGGCTGGCCCCGGCCTGCGGGAGGGAGCGCCCACGCACCTTGTACTCATCCAGCCAGACGTGCGCCAGCCTCAAGGAGTTGTGCGTCATCGTGTCCTGGCCTTCGGGAGAACCGTAGGGCCGCCGCTTCCGGAAAATGTGGCCCACGCGGGAGCAGGGGATGATGAAGAGCCTCCCGCCGCACATCCAGATCTGCCGGGAGCAAGGGCCGTGAGCGCGCCCGGCGGCGAGTCTGTGGTAACAGGCGCTCAGGAAACTGCGGGGCTTCCCCTTGTTGGAGACGACTGCTCAGGTAAACCCAAGGGTAAGTCTAGCCCTGTCCTCTGCCCACCCGGGGCCAGAGTCCAGTTTCAGCAAAGCAGGAAACCTGATCTTCGGGCCCAGGCCAGGAGGCTCCCGGGCGGGTCCGCTCCGCGCACATCCACGCGTGCTTTCTACACAGGGCTGCGGAATGTCCAGAAGACCTCCAGGACCTCAGTTCTGCTCTAAAGTCTGTTCCTGACTCTGAGGTAACCTTACAGTTATTTCAATTAATTACCTTGAACTAATGATATCAATGCAACTTAAAAATGGTTAAGGATTACAGAGGAAAAACCGCCTTTGAAAAACTGGTCGGTACACACATGAAAACAGAAGACGACACGTGTAGACAGGCGCTGCCGGCGTGAGCACGCCTGCAAGGAGGCTGTGAGACTGTGGCCCACCCCTCCCAACCCCCCGCCAGGGCCCCACTCCCCTGCTGCTGGCCCAGCCTCGGCAACCGCAGAGATTGTGGGAGTGATTTTCTTCCCCGGGTTGGGGGTTCCTGTGCCTGCGAAGGATTCAGCAAGCCATTCATGGGGTGCTGACAGGCTTGCCATGTACACTAGGCTACTTCTGCGAGGGAAATGGGGGGTAACAGTTGACCAGAGCGGGCGTGAACCTGGGCGGTGCTGGGCAATCTGACACACATGGACACGCGTGTTTTCAGGATTATCCAGTAGGACAAACTGATGAAGAACAAAGCTCTAGATTACTTGCCTGCTGAAACGTCCCGCACCCGCAGCTACCACTTTATCACAGCTCCTTGCCTCTTAAAGGTTACAAAGCTAAGGCTTCCTGTACGCTTGTGCCATCCCGTGGGGAAGTGGCATTCGTTACGGGCAATTTGTCACAGAGGGTTTACAGAGGACACGGCCCCTTGGACGCAAATTCTATCCCACTGAACACACAGTAAGTGAACATGCAAAAAAATTACCCGAAATGATATTTCTAAATTTTCTCCTCCCCAGATATCCATGCCACTGTCATACTGCCCAAGCTCACTGAAGTAGTGCCTGTTCATGGCGAACAGCCCTCCAGCCATCGTGGGTGACCTGGAAAAGGAGAGGCGCGCTGTACCGACCCCGCAAGGCCAGCCGGCTACCTGGTTTCCTTCCAAAAACTCAACACAGCTGGGACACCCCCGAGGCACATTTCATCTACTGCCGGGGAACGCGCTGGCCACCAACTGCGTTTTCTAGATCACGACGACACACCAGACCCCTGGCAGAGGAAGGCCACTTTCCTGACAGAAATTCACCTGAAATGAATCACTCAGCGCCTCTTGAGAGTCCAGTCTCAGAACCGCTGGAACCAACGGCCCCACGGGAGACCTGGCGACGTGTCCACACTTGGAGATGGACTCAAGTGTGTGGCAGAGGCCGGTTCTCAAGAGTCTGCCCTCTAGCGAACAGCTACCATCGGGGCACAACTGGGTAGGGGTGCTACTGCATCTGAAAGGCTGAGGCCAGGGACGCGGCCCAAGAACCACCTGGCTCCCGAGCCACCCCGGACAAGGGCACAGATGACGTCTCTGTCTTCATTCTTTCCTCGGGACTTGCCTGAGCGCACAGGGCTCGGGAAGCACTCATTTTCTGCGGACGAACTAGGCCAACACCGTGGCTCCTTGCAGAGGAGGAGTTACTCCTAAAATACGTTTTCTCTCGCGGCAGTCCCAGTGGGACCTGCAGACAGAAGGGGGTCTTACTTGATCGGTGCAGTAGCTCCTTCTGGCCCCCCAAGCTCGGAGAGGGGGACGAGGTCCCACTTGAAGTGCAGTCCCCAGTTGAAGCCGCCGCGCACCACAGGGGACGAGCTGTAGGCCAGGGTGTCGGCGCTGATGATGTCGATCACCGGGCACACGACGGTCTGCCGGTCTTCACGGATGGCTGCCAGCAGGGGCTGCAGCCACATCACGTTCACCTCACAGTGGCTGTCCAGGAACACCAGGACGTCTCCTGGGGAGGCAATGGACACCGACCCCATCAAACCCTCCCTCGCTGCCTCTTCCGGGGTCTTCTTGCCAGGAGGGACGGGAGCAGGCGCGGCCACAGGCCCGCCCCAGCACAGACCGGCCGCCCTCCGTTGGAGAAGCACCCCGGGAAGGAAGTCATACCTGTCGCGTGTGCGGCTCCGATCATTCTGCCTCGAATTAACCCCTCACGCTTTGTGTTTCTTATCACTTTAATTTTCCCAGGGAGATACTTCTGGACATACTCATCGAGTTCTCCCTTCAGATCGTCTGCAACAGAGAGCCCATCATTGGTCAAGGCACAGAGGCACAGAGTTCACAGCTCCTCTCACACTGCATTTGGTTCTTGTAGCAACGAACTGCCAAGTCAATACTGAAGAACCTTGTGCTTTATTTTAAAAGGCCAGTGTAGACGCGCCCGTAAGGAAGAGAAAGGAGAGAAGTGACGGGGCGGGCCGGAGCGCCTGCCCAGAACCGCTACCTTCTCCGCTCACTTGCACTGTCCGAGCAGCTGCCCCCGGGCGTAAAGGACATCTGAGGTGAGTGTGTGTAGCGAGCGGGCCGCAGACCACATGAGAGTCGCGGCCCAAGAGGAGCCACGCTGTGTCTTTTATGGTCAAATGACGTGTGACGTTCACTGGACACCAGCTCTGCTGTGGACGAGAGCGGAGGCGTGGGGAGCAGGAGCCCGGCACGTTGTAACCTGCCCCCCTCAGCTGCGGTAGTGAAGAGCGCGGGGCCGGGCTCGGGGCCAGGGGCCTCTTCCAGCTCACGCGCAGCTGCACGGGACCGGGAGCAAGTCCCTTAGCGCCTGCACACGTGAAACGGGGGGCCAGTAGCTCTCGCAGGGCTGCCGACAGCTGAATGAATAGCGTCAATGAAGCCCCTTGCTTCCTGTGGTGTGTACATGAAAGCGTTCTGAGGAAGGATCCATGTTACGGTGAAGAAAGGTGTGTAAGACGTGTGTGGAATCACCAACTCTCAGACTGAAGGGCTGTCGGAGCACGGTCTGGGGAGAGCAGGCATGAGGCCACATTCCAAGACGCCACGCACAGAGTCAGGGCGAGGAGAGTGGGGTGATCTAAGGGGCAGCCGCTACCCAGATGGCAGGGTGCTGGCCAAACCCACGTCCGGGGTGAAATGACGGCACCCTGCAATCTCTGCCTGCACACTGCAGGCTGCTGACCTCAGAGGGGAACACGGAGGGACACCAGGTGCAGCGGCACCCCGACCTCTTTGTGACTTCCTGTGAGCTGATACGACTTGGAAACAAGGTATTTTTTAAAGGTCAGCCAAGGGGAAAATTTTCAGGGCCAAATTTGGGTAGCAGTTTGTAAGCAGAGGAAGAAACCATGCAGTTTCTTCGAAATTAACCTGAAACCAATGAGCAGGCGTCGACCCGCGGGTGGTGGCTCCGCTGGGGTCACGCGCCCCACAGAACGGGCAGCGCTGCGGCGGGTCCGCCCCGGAGGAGGCCAGCCACCAGACCCCGCGACCCGCAGGCCCCTCACCGAAGTCGCTGTCATCGTCCACGAGGATGACCTCCCGCAGCAGCCGGGCCGGCGTGCGGTCCAGGACGCTGTGCACCGTGCGCAGCAAGGCCGACAGGGCCTCGTTGTAGAAGCAGATGACCACGCTGGCCACGGGCAGGTCCGCCGGGTAGGCCTTGTCTCTGCACCTGCGCGCACACACCAGAAGATGCCAACAGTTGAAAAGGCCACATGTCCCAGCCTGCCACTCGGCTTATTTTCAAGTCAACATTAGAAAAACGAACCTCTCTTTTCTGGTGTACCCGCCGTACAAATGTGTTCTGCTTATGGAAGTTATTACATGTTTTCCACGGAGCCCTGGGGCTGACGTTCAGCTTCTCAATCGTTTCAACAGCAAGTAACAAATATAAAGCTCTGTGTTTTCAATTTTTATTTTGCTCACTAGATAAGATGGATGACCCCAGGTAAGCAGCCCTTGGTAAGGCGCCAGCTGGCTTCAAGCAACAGCAAACCAGAGCTGCGTGTGCTCCGGGCACCCGAGCCTCCCGCCCTGCCTCCTGCCCTCCCCTACAGCCCTGCGAACTGTGCGAGCCCGTGACAAGCTATGGGGGTTTCGGCCCCAGTGCTACACCCCACACAGCGAAAAACCAACGAGCCACCCAGCTCCACTCAACCTCGCCCTCGGGGAAGCCTCCCGCTCTGGCTTTGGGTCCCCAGCTCGCCAGCTGCCAGCGGAGCCCTCACCCTGCGCCCGCGCCGCCACCTCCCCCATCAGACTTTTAAGTCCTGGGGATGCAGGGACCACCTCTCCCATGTCCTTCAGGCCTAGCAGAGCATGTAGCAAAGAGAAGATGCTCACAAAGGCCTGTGTGGGGATGGCTGACTGACCAGCCGCGCAAATAAAGAGCCTCTGAAGAAACGAAACAGAAAGTGAAAGGAGTAAAATGCGCTGATTTTAATTCCCTGTCACAGACACGTGCTGGACACCGAGCGTACACGCAGGGGCTCCTTTTAAGTGCAGGGAGCACTTCTCATTCCACGAACTTTAATCTTTTTTAAAGATGTATTTATTTGTGCATAAAGAGCTGGGGTGCAGGTCAGAGGCCTGGGGTGAGAGGATTCCCCAGAGACAGAGCGGGGAGCAGAACAGGCAGACTGACTGAAATCCAGTGCTGAGCGGAGCAGCGGGGAGACAGGAGAGGTCTGCTGCGCCCTGAGGCTCACTCCCTGGCTGGGGATGGAACTCGTGCTGCAGGGGCTGCGGACAGCTTCACAGCGCTGAGACTTAACCCCTGCGTCACCAAGGAGGCCCCTTGTCCCACAGTCTTAAATTTCCAAAGCCACACAGCAAGCTCTGAGGCCTCTGGTTCCAGCATGGCAGGGGGCAGCCTAAGCGGGCCCGTCTCCCGAGCCATGGAGGCTGCTGCCAACAGCACCACCCTCTCGCCTGGCGCGCGGGCCCGCAGGGACGGGAAGCATACTCTGCACTCCTGGTGTCCGGCACATCTCTGTGGTAGCCCAGGCGGTTGCTGACAAGCACGTTGAAGGCATGCTTCTGATAGCCCAAGTCCCTCAGCTCCTGGTCACGTTCACTGAAAATCATGCCTGCAGGAGAGCAAAGGCGCAGTCAGAGGCAGCCCCGTGGCAGGCGACCCCGCCAGTCCGGCAGCAGCAGGCTCTCGGCCCGGGTGGCCCCCGCCTTCTAAGGGCAGCAGACCCTGCAGCAGTCTCAGTGGAAAGACCTTAGGGATAAACGTACCTTAGGGATAAACGGCCCCGGCCCACCAGGCACGATCTTACGAGTATTTTCTTCCACAAAAACTACCATCTAATCCATGTGGACTCACAGGCCACAAGTACAGGCGAGTTTTGAGATGAACCTCTCCCCTAAACAAGACCGTTGAGAAACCTTTCTGATGAAAGTCCAAGTCCGGTCTCGGATTAACCTCCCGGGCAGGAACCCCTGCACAGGCTAACCCTCTCCCTGTCGTGAACATTCTTGCTCCAACGGTTCCGAGACCGTCAGAAAGAACCCCTTCACAGGGCGTGAGACTGTCTCCTCGTCAACATAAATAAAAGCTGCTGGCACCCAACACCCAGCGTGTCTGGCACAAATCAGATTATCAATTAATACTCCTCGGTGCATCAGTTTCCAAATGGGGGCCTCGCTCCTACGGAATTCGGGAAGATCAGCTTCTGATAAAGATGTCCTGAGAAAAGATTCTTGTTACAATGTCACGTTCTGCCCGGCAGATGGCGTCACCTGCGCGGCGCGCTGCTCTACCCTGAGAAAGGAACTCTGCCGAGCGTGCCGCGGACGGGCCTGGAGGGCGCTCTGCTGACAGTCAGGTACAGAGACCGTGTCTCGTTTATGGGCGGGTTTTAAGAAAAAACTGAACTCGGCGGCTTTCACACCGCAGCGGGGCGGCCCGCAGGGCGGAGGCAGCACCACCGCATGGTGCGGTCCGACCGCCGCGAGTCACAGCGACACCGCGCGCGTTGGGGGAGATCCCGAGCCCTCCCCTCAGCCCTCGGCGGTGTCCCGCGTGAGCTGGGACTGAACCCCGGGGAAGGCCCCTGGCTTATTCTCGCTGCCCGCTCAGGGGAGGGCACGCCCGAGCCCGGCCAGCCCCGGAGGAGCCGCTTCCACTGTCTGTCAGTGACTGCGGGTTGGAGCCGAGAGGCCACTTTCAACTTTCCGTTGGCTGTGGCTCATCGCCGCAGCGCGCTGCGCACAGGCTGCAGGGGCTCGACTCGGCTCACTTACCCCGAACGTAAAATGTTCGCAGAGAGGGCTCGAGGACTACAGTGGCAAAGACATGCACGGGGGTTCTTGCTTCCGAGTGTAACTTTTTGAGAAAAAAGTTTATTTTGCACTAAGATTTCATGAGTTTTCACACACGCTCTGTCCCAGACCTCAGGGGTAAGTGGTCATCTTACTGGCCGCGAGCCCTCTGTTCTCTGCTCCGCGTTCTGCTTTCCTTCACTCGGCCTCTCAGGTCATGTTACAAGCCAAGTCACCTGTCAACTATTTCTTCCCTTTGTTAAATAATGCCGGCAGCTAGCATCTTCGGCCACAAGCTCCATTTTCCTTCCAGCCACTTGACTGCTCGTTTCCTCCCGGGGACCCGAACAGGCCGTCAGACCTGGACACGCCAGCTGTCACTCGCCACTAAGTCTGCAGAAGCCGCAGGACCCCGCCAGAGCACGCGAGCTAGATCCGCGGGGAAAGCGAGGACAGGCTCCCGCGGCCGCGCAGCGCGGGACTCAGGGGCGCTCCACCCGAGCAGCACCCGCACTCACCCAGCTCGGAGAACTTCACGCCGCCTCTCGCGGGGTCTCCATCCGCCGGCGCGCCGTCCACTCTGCCGGCTTTGAACTGCGACTCTAACACTCGACCGGGACCCCGAGTGAAACGGGGGTAGATTTTTTTGGGGAATGGCCCGTGGGGCCCAAACCCCTTGATGGGCACATTCTTAAGTGGCTGAGTCACTTCACTGAAGTTGAAATAGACAAAAAGCAGAACGGTCCAGGTGGCCGAGGTGAAAAGGCATCCGTAGCAGAAGTAGCGTGCGGTGACGCTTCCCATCCTAGACCTAGCTTCGCGGGGGGGCCATCTTCAGTTTCCTGAAAGAGAAGGGCAGGCGGTGAGACACCCCGTGATCCGCGAATCACTCGCCCAGTCCGCAGCCGGCAAGCCCAAGCCACAGGGCAGCGCCTGAGCCGATCCCCAGCAGTGCGCCAGGTCACTGAGCAGAAAAAGAAGGGACTCAACAACGAAGCCTCAGGCCCGCGGGTCGGCGCCCGGCAGACCAGGGACGGACCCTTCTCCATCCCCGCAGGCTCAGGCGGGTCCTCCCTCCCCGGGCTCTCACCGGCGCGGGCCATACAGCCGCTACGTGGGGCGACAGGCCGTCCTGGTCCTTTCACCGTGACCCTCGGAGCCTCCCTTACCCCCAAGGGTCGTAAAAATCTATTAAAAACAAGCAACGCGATAAAATCGTTCCATTTCCCGAGCAAAGATTAAACCCGCTGTGACGCCTGCTCTAGATCCAGCGGTTACATTTCAAAAGCATAATTAGAAGAGTTCAAATAAGTCCATCGTCCTTCTTAGATGGCCCCAAATAATGAGCTGAGCAGCAGCACTGCCCCGAGGCACCCCGGGCGCCCTCCGAGGGCGCGGGGCGCAGTCTCACTCAGCAGGCGGGCAGAGGCGCGCACAGGGCTGCGGACGCGCAGGAGAAAGCAACCTAGAGAGCCACGCCATGCAGACAGCCTCTCTGCAGGATGATCCATCCCCAATCAACATCCAGCCACTCTCCCTTCAGAAGCTGAGCAGTTTTATAAAGCAGTCGGTAAACAGCTCAGTTCCTTGACTGTCTACTGCCCAGTCGTAGTGACCTCGCTGATGCGGTGCAGAAGCTTAAAAAACAGCACTCGAACTAAAGTCTGCCCCACGGTACACCAGAGGCTGCTGGAAAAGACTCCAGCGCAAAGAAGGAGGGGGAGGGGGAGGGGAGCCGGCAGCGCCAGCTCGGGCGTTCTTCACGCGGGGGCAGCCCGGCAAAGCAGACCGTGCGTGAGAAGACGCGTCCCCTGAGCCAGGGGAAGGGCCCTCCCGCAGAGGGAGAGACAGCAGCGCCGCAAAGAACGCAGAGCAGCGTTCAAGTGAACCAGGTTTCACCTAAAACAGCCGTTGTTAGTTCCTAAAAGATCCGCTTGGGGAGTAGGCAAATAAACAACAAAACCAAAGCCTCCCCCGAGGCCAGGAAGCACCCCCACTACAAGGCTGTCCCCACGGGTGCCCGACCTCTTAGGCAGCGCATCCAGAGCCAGTCCCTCGCCTCCAGAACGGCTACTGTCCTCCCCAAAGCACCCCAGTCCCTTCGCTTCCATTGTGGCCTCCTTGACCCTGAGAACGGAATGGAAGGGAGCCAGAGCAACAGGCTCCGAGAGGGCGGCAGGCCAGGCAGTCCCTCCCCCGACACAGCAGTCAGAGGACACGCTGTTGGGCTCCCGTATCCCTGGGCCCCAGCCCCAGCGCACTGGGTGGTGTCCAGAACCCTTCAAACCAGCTTCAAAACCTCTAGATTCATGCTCCCCCTAAGTCACACGCCCCACCCGATCTCACCAAAACTGGGAGAATGACAGCTTCAATTTTAAATCCAAATCCTTCCACCACCACCGGCTGCCCAGCTGTGCCCTCACCCTCGGTGCCCTGTCCTTCCCGCCACAGCACGTCTGCTCCCAGCCTCCCTCCCGGGCCAGAAGCGACGCCCACGGCAGGGACGCTGAATGTTAGTGCTGAGGAGAAAAGACCACGCAGGCCGGTGCGGTGGGGGGTGTGTGTGTGTGATTTTCGATGGGTTCTGGAGAGGCCCCTCGGCCAGGGTGACCAAGCTGAACCGAACAGCGAGCACCGCCCACCTTGGGACGGGCAGTGGGCGAGAGGGTAAAGTCCTCTCCTCCCCCCCAGGGGCCCACCCAGGCCCCGCCAGTCTACCTGGCACAGCCCCCAGGCCCCCAGCCCACCTCAGACCCCACCGTGACAAAAAGCGAGCTACAGAAATGAGGACACGCGCGGGGCTGCCCACCCGGAGCCCGAGCGCGAAGACGCTGCTTTTCAAAGCCAGTGGGTGACGCCAAAGCGCAGTGGACAGCCCTGGGTGGTCAAGTTAGAAAACACGGAACACAAAGCGATGAGTTAGAAAAATAAAACTGAATAAACTCAGTGAAATTAAAAGAACACTACCACGGTCAGGCATTCACAGAAAATGAAGATGAAACCGGAGGCCAAAGTCGATTCTTTAAAAGACCAACACAGGCACACCCCGGCGGCCCCAGCAAGCCCGGACAGCGCTGCGAGATGCGCAAGGGGGAGGAAACAGAGGCGCAGAGTAGGTAAAATGGACAAACGCGTAGAGAAACAGAAACGCGCGGTGCTGCCTGGAAATCCAGATGGCCCTTTAAGCTGCCTGAACACTAAACTAGCGCCGAGAACGTTTCCAGAGGGTTTTACAAGGGAGTTCTCGTGGACGAGCGCGGAAGGCTGACCCAGGCTTACAGAATGCCACTACAGAACAGTCTCCACCCCATTTCCGGAGGTTATTACCCTGGAGTCAAAACAAGGACAACAGAAGGGACAGATAATTTCAGAGACATTGTAAAAGTCTTGAAACATTAAAGCTGAAACCAACAATGTTTTCTTAAACACATCACGAGTAAGTGGCATTTGTGTCAGGAATACAAGGTGGGTCCAATTCGCGAACGATGCGTCACCCACTACATTACAAAACTGCACGAGAAACAAGGATTTGATCAGTGGAGGCTGTTCATTAAAATTCAACACTCCATGCTTAGCTAACTAGGAGGAGGGAAATCCTTAACCTGACAAAAAGAATCTCCACAATTCTTACAGCAACTTCTACCCGGTGATGAAATGACAAAAGATATTTTCCTTAAAAGCAGGCGCAAGGATGCTCATCACGACCTGCATCAGACTGCCGTAAACGCACCCCTGGAGGCACCGGCTCCAAACACAGGCAGCCCTTCGTCCTGGGTGAGACACGCCCCGCCGGGACGGGCAGGTGCGGGGCCTGGGGATCCGGGCCCCGACGGCGACGCAGGAGACACGGCGAGGACGTGGCCCGGCCCGCTGCGCCCGGTCAGACACCTCCGCCTCCTTCCCACCCACCGTGTTCCCCGCGCACCTCCCGGCTGGCGGCCGGAGGCCGACAGTGAGCGGGGACGCCCCGCGGCCCGTGACATGAAGAGTCCATCTTCCCCGCGCGGAGCGAGGCTGACTTTCGCCGTCCACTCACGCCACCCCTCGCCCAGCCCAGGGACCGGCACACAGAAGGTGCCGAAAAGATCTCCAGGATGAATCTGGTAGAAACTCAATTGTTAACGTTTTCCTCCTCCTCCAGGTCTAAACGGAGTGCAGGATGCGAATGGACACGCGCCCGCCGGCCCTCGCACGCCCTCCCGCCCCGCCGGTAACCCGCACCCCCCATCACAGCGCCCAAGGCCCACGGCTTCCTCTCCGCCGTCCCACACGGGGCTCCTGTGTGTCACCACGTGTGTCGCTCACACTCCCGACTACGGACTGTGCCCCAGTTCTTCCCTCTGCCCAGGACACTTTCATTCCAGCCGACTTCCCCCAGCAGGACCTTGCCTGAACCCCGCCTTCTCGGCCGAACCCGAGTAGACTGCGGCGGTCAGAACGGGAACGCAACCACCCGTCTCCTCCGCTCTCCCTACGCCATGCGGCCAGCCAGCGCCCTGGCGCCCGCCCCGACTGCCTGCCTGCGGGAGCGCAGGCTCTGGGGGCCCCGAGCTGGGGCAGTGGCCGGCACACGGCAGACGCTGAGTCGGAGTTTGCTGAAACCGGTGGAAACATGTACCCTCCACGGCTGTCGACGTGCGTGCCGGGCAGGGCCTAAATGCGTGCGGGGAAATCCTGACTCCCTCGTCTCGACAGCACTGTCAGGAGGAGGAGGGCGGCTCACAGGCGCGGAGAACAAGCTTTCGCTGTCCAGTTTCGCTCATTCAACCAAGTTCTCTGTGATAAAGCGGGAGGCTGCGTCCCACCTGCTCCCTGACCTGCTCTCAGGTTCCCTCCGCAGCCGGCCCCTAGGGGCCAAAGGAAACACTTTTCCCCTCAAGATCTCACCCAAAGGACTTGGCCAACTCCGCGCAGCTTCCTCACAGAGCCCGGCCCGGGTTATCCTCCCTGCAGTAACTCCCTATCAAGAGTCCTTGGTCCTTGACCCGTAAAACGTATCCAGTCAGCGACTCTGTGGAGCAGGCATTATTCTCCTCAAGACACAATTCTTTAGGCGCTACAGACCTCTCCTGCCGCACCCGCTGCTCCCCTCAGCAGTGTATTTCGTCGGTCTGCCTGTCCCGTTCCCCGCTCTGGCTCTGGTGACTCCTCTCACCCTCCCGTGCTTCTGACTGTACCCAGCGCTTGTGTAAATAAATAAATAAATCTTTGGCCGGGGGGGGGGGGGGAGACATAATTCTTTAGAAAACGCTTTGTAATGTAGTGAATCCCAGTAAATTAAGGAACCTATAAACAAGAGAAATGTACAAAGTCAGGTCATTTCTTAATACTCTTTACACCGGTAGTTTCCAGACAGGTCAAGAGGTAATGCCCCCAAATGAAAAGCAACCAAATGCCTGTTTTTAGTAAAATATCAATACAGGTTCTTAACGGCTTAAGGAAAGGGATTAAAACATCCAAACCAAAGTCAAGTTCAACGTCTGACCTCACCACGTAGCCGGCCCTGCCGCCCTCGCTCCTCGCGCCGCGTCCTCTCCGGCAAAGCCCCGCCGCCAGCGTCCAGGGCGCAGTTCTTTAAAAGGAGGCCACAGCAAACATCTTAGGGCTACCACTACAAACAGCCAGGGAACAAATCCTTTCAATCATAAACTCGCACGGTTCATGAAGTCAAAACTCCAGCAGTTCGGTATTTTCCCAGAGTTCTAGGAATTAAAGGTTAACGCGTCCTGTCAATGAATCCTCAGGAGAGGCCAGCGCACTCTCGTTCTTGTCGGGTCGTGGTCTCAGGTTGCTCAGGGACAGCAGCCTGGGAAGGAGAGGAACACCCCCCCCCCCCCCCCGC